CCCCGCTTGTAACTTACTCTTAACCTTGATCTAGTCTATACACCGGCTACCTAGCTGCTTATCTTGGTTAACCTCGCTCGCCCTTGTCTTCGTTAGTAAGCGGCTGCCTAGCCGTTGCTGACAACTGGGACTGTCTACCCTCGCCGGGTCACTAACACAGATCCGAACAACCTCACGCATAACGATACCATTGGTCGGTCGACCGTCGCGGACACCCACTCACAGGATGAACCGCGGTCCCTCAGCGGCGCGAGAGAGGCACCTACCGATGCTGCGAGCAGCAGCCTTGATGACCCCCGCGAGGGATCTCCCCGCAGCGAGACTCCCGCACCAGGAGTCTCTCAGGAGGGTCACAACCCATCCTCGCAGGCTACCCAAGCCGCCGACACGGGCCCACACCCGTTGCCGCCACTGCCCCAGGCAGCAGGAGGACCCCCAGTCCACCCTCAACCGGCGAACCCTCGTCCGCCGCGAGGCGCGAGACGCACACGAGCCAGTCTCCAGATAGTGACACAGAACATCCGCGGCAGAAGAAGCGCGTCGGACAGGGTGGACAAGCTCGCTGACTTTCACCTGCGTATCAAGGAACATGGCTTCGCAGTATCAATGATTCAAGAAGCACATACTTCAGTCGAAGACGCGGCCACTCTAGAACAAAACTTTCAACGAATCAAAGCCTTCGCGTCACCCATACCAAACCACAAATCCTCACACGGTGGCATCCTCTTCCTGGTAAACACGGAAAAGGTATCACCAAAGGATCTTCAACACACGGTCATCATCCCAGGACGCGCAGCGCTACTAACAATCAAATGGCAAGCGGGCAACACCCTAACCCTCCTCAATGTTTATGCTCCTGCCACCTCCGACCAAGAACGGAAAGATTTCTTCAAGGACATAGCACACTTCTACGACCTGCACCCCGGAACGCGCCACCCGGACTTCATGGGTGGTGACTTTAACATGGTCGACGAAGGCCTCGATAAATCCGGAAATGACGACTCGTCAGCAAGTGTAGTCGAAGCGCTACTTGCACTCCGAACGCGTTTCAATCTACAAGACTCCTTCCAAGCGATAAACCCCGATAAAAGAGTACACTCATGGCGGCGAGCAGACGGTACCTGGTCGTGCATAGACCAAATATACATAGCGGCGTACCTGATCCCATACATGTTGGATGCCAACATAGAAAACATAGGCGTCGACTCAGACCATTTGACCGTGTCAACGACTGTAGAATCGAAGGATGCGCCCTACATTGGCAAAGGGAACTGGGTGTTCCTGAAAAACCTGCTGAAAAGCAAAACCCTGAACGAGAAGCTAGATGTACTATTCGTAGAAACCGGTCAAACCCTGGCACAAATGGAAGAGCGATCCGAAGAAGCTAACCCACAACTTCTGCTACACGCCTTCAAACAGAAAGTCCAAAAGATCACGCGCGAACACGATAAGGTAGCCCAACCGACCAAACTCGCAACACCACTGAAGTCCGCACGAGAACAAAGAGATCGCACCCTACGCAGAGAGGGTCCGCAAGTGGACACCATTACGGGGCATTTATGCAATAAAAACCCGTTTATTATCTACCCGGGTCGTGCGTGTGGGCTCAATTTCAGGCACAGAACCGATTTCGGCCGCATTTGGGTTAATTAAAACAGTTAGTTTCTTGATAACTACGTGGGTTTTTTGCTGTGGTCATGTTTAGTACATCATTTTGAGTGCTCACCATTTTTTTGAGTATTTCTCCTCTCATATTCCTTGTGTCACAATACAATCTCTCTGGCATTTTGTGTTCTCACGCTCACCTTCACTGGTTCCGTGTTTTTCTTTTTGGTTAGCTCCCTAATCTGATCAATCACATGGTCAATCAGCCTTCCATTCAGAACTCCACATTATGTCACTAAGTTTACTGGTGGCAGTACAGGCCTTGGGACCGATCTTGTATACTATTATTTGCAAATCCATGGAATAGTATTGGGGTTATAGAACTAGGGATCTCAGCTATCTGGGAGCAGAATTTGGGAAAAGGAGGACTTGGGGGGAAAGGCTATTGGGCCGCACTTACAGACAGTGTGTAGCTATGATCAGAAAAGTACACAGTCATATAGAGCATACACCAAGATAGCTCAGACTACCACTCCAGGAATGCTGGCACTTTCCCTCACCTCTGCTCCGGCTCCTTTGATGTCTACAACAACAACAACAACCCTCTCTATCATGCCTTCTGTTTCTATAGCCATCCCTTCTGAACACGTCGCACCGGGCAAGCTTGCCACAGCACAGGCCTTTAAGCCTACTCTTAGTGTTTGTACTGGTACAGCACCCGCCCAGTAAATGGGGCAGTACTTGGGTATCTGGGTCCATATAGACTAGGTAAATTCAGAATCATATAGTAGATACCATATAGCAGATACATACTAGGTCCCATCAGAATCTATCCACTAGAACAGTCAGGCCAGAGATGCTGCTCTAGTTACAGATGTGAGCACCTACCTTTCAAAGGCCCTGGTGACCTGTCTACTTACCATGACACTATGATTGTCGCAGATTGAGAGCTACACTGCAAAATATGTCGCTTTGAGCCCTGTATAGGCCCAAAGCGACCAGATATAGTAAAGGGCCCCAGACTTCACCAAAAGGGTGCCAGGAGTAGCAGTTAGGAGCATATAGTGATGGCAGGAGTGTAGATAGATAGCAGAATGACTAGCAAACATGTAGGAAACCATGACAGACTAGTAATGAGACAAAGAAACCATTAGAATTGAGTTCAGGGGGTGATGGGGAGGGCCCACAAGCCCAGTAGGTCCATATGGGTCCATGATGGGGCTATAGTCGGCCACGAGAGGCTCTCGCGACCGACGATGGTGTCACGTCACATGTGACTTGTCACTCAATCCTGGGCCACAACTTTGGTTTCATAGCTACACACTTGTCTACCTATATATGGGAGCATAATCTGTGCTACCTCAAACTATAGTGTATAGGTTCAATACTATCATAGTAGATTCAGACAAATTGGAGAATAAAGTCCAAAAATCTGCCACCTGAGGGATTTAAACTCAGGAATTCACTTAAAAATCAGGCCATAAAACTATTGAGCTACTGAGACATGAGATGTGATCTCCAGTAATATTATGCAGACTACTTTCAAACAGTTCTATTGCTATGCAAACATACTTATTACTACTCATAATAGGCATAAATGCCCCGTCTATGCCACGCTTGTGGTGGCCTGTCCTCTGGTAGCAGCTATAGACAAGAATATCATCGCCCTCCAGAAGCTCCAAGACGCTAGGCACAGAACAAGGATGGACGCCACCCAGTTCATCAAGGCGCGCCGAGCAGGTAAAGTGCTCTCAGGACAGAACAAGCCTAAGCAACTGTGAGAACCAATCGTTCGCCTCAAGAAACTAGAGGGAGAGGAAGCCTCCACTGAGAGAGACCGCCGCCACTTGTCGCTACGGGACGAAGGCCTACCCAACCATGCACCTCCCACACTGGAAATGTCCGAGCAAGATAGACTAAGCGCGGAGCAAAGAAGAGAGGAGTCGCATGTAACCCAGTCCCAACTGCTAGCCGAAGAGATGGCTATCTTCCATCTCCTACTTCAGAAGCAGGATGAACCACAATCCAAGGAAGAACACGCTGAAAGCATCAACGAGGTCGCAAATGTCAATGACAAAAAGTTGACCGAAGCGCAAGCAGCCCGACTAAGACAGACGGTCACAATATCCGCTTTAGCAAGCACTCTCAAGAAAACAGCATCGGATTCGGCGCCAGGTCCTGACGGCCTGACCTTCGAGTTCTGGAAGCACTTCCGGAAGAGAGCAGCCGAAAGGAAGAAACAGAGGAAACCCTACTTCTGCCCGATCACCCTCATACATGCAGCATTCGACGACATCGAAAAACACGGCCTGTGCGAAGCCGCCCACATAAACGACGGACTACTGTGCCCAATATACAAGAAGGGTCCGAGAGACTTACCGCAAAACTACCAGCCGATAACGCTCCTAAACACAGACTACAAGCTCTACACGAAGTGGCGCTCTCTCCTCCTTGCACCCGTCATGCCATACCTGGTCTCCAAAGACCAAGCCGGCTTTCTCGCCAGACGCTCCATATACGACAACGTAGCCCTAGCAAGAATGGTCATGGCGCATGGAGAAGTGAAGAACAAAAACGGCGTACTAGTATTACTAGACCAGGAAAAGGCCTACGACAAGATAGACCTTGACTACCTGTGGAGTGTGGTCCGAGCCTACAACATCCCCGAAGAATGGATCGCCCCTGTTGAAGCACTCTACGCGAAAGCGACATCTAAGGTGATCATAAACGGAGTAATGAGCCAACCATTCGAGCTCACCAGAGGGGTCCGCCAAGGAGACCCGTTATCATGCCTCCTCTTCGTCCTCGCGATCGAACCCCTTGCCGAAATGCTTCGCAAATCAGAACTCAAAGGGATTGAAACCCCAAACTCAATGGAGTGTCTCATAACTACGCTCTTTGCAGACGACACGATAGTATTCCTTAACTGCGACGATGACTTCGCGACACTTGAACAAATTCTAACCAACTGGTGCAAGGCATCAAGAGCAAGGTTCAATATAGCAAAAACCGAGATCATCCCCTTCGGAGATGAAGCATTCCGAAGAGACTTCATCAACGACAGACGAGCGAAACCCTCCCACCAGCGCATTCCCAACAATGTACGCATTCTCCCGGATGGAGAGGCCGCACGCCTCCTCGGAGCCCGAGTAGGCAACAAGCTCTCCCCGGATACAATCTGGGGCCCAACCTTACAAAAACTAGAAGCGAGAATGGCCTTCTGGTCGGAAAGAGACCGCTACCCAGACCTTCGCGTGCAAAAGATGTTTGCAGACTGGCTCCCTGCGGGAATGACACAATTCCTCGCAATGTGCCAAGGTATGCCAAAGTACATAATTGACCGAGTAACCAAACTCCAACAAAACTTCATATGGAAAGGCTCTCGCTACCCGACAATCAACATCAAGCAGCTTCAGCGCTCCAAGTATGAAGGAGGCCTGGGCCTCATCGACCTACACGCCCGCATCAAAGCCATACAAGTGATGAGGATCAAGCGCTGGCTCAACGGAGAGGAACAACCAAGATGGGCGAATTTTGCCAACGCCATCATAGCATCAAGGGTAACCCAAGAAGAAGAAGCCCGATCCGACGAAGAACTCAGGTGGAACCCCTTCACACAGGCGTGGTTGCCCCCGGGAAACAGCCACCTAGCGAGCCACTGGCCGCAGGAACTTCAAGAGATAATGAACACCGCCAGTAAACTAGACATCGCGCTACACATCCTATTCCCCTCGCAGGAACTCAGGAAGCGCCTCCCAATCTGGAATCACATAGCCCTGACATCCACCAACCAACGTATCAGAGTGAAAGTCCGAAACCTCCTGAGACTTGAAACATCTGAATGCCTGTGGAAAGAACACGGGGTCAGCACTGTTGAAGACCTCGAACGAATAGCGAACTCGCGCAAAACACCACTCATCACGAAGACGCGGAAGACTGCAACTGCGACCCTTGCGGGAACAAACGTGAATTCTGCGTCGAGCCCAATGTATGCTTCCGAGACGCCCAAACAATATGGGAGGCGATCAAAGCATCGCGCTGGAACCCCAAAACTCCAGACCCACCAAACCCCCACGGAAACGAACACCCAACTGCCCTCTCGAAAAAGACAGCGAAGCAAGAAGGTGAATGCGCGCCAATCACAGCGCCCCGCACCCTAATCTCTGGCAACGAGATAGCTGATGCAATACGCCTCTTCGCGCCCCAACCCCCCTCTCAAATCAAAGCCAAAGCCCGATACGAAGCTTGGCACAACGCGGAGGCAGCTGCCTTCGCCGACTCCCGTACAAACCCGAACACCAACGTGGAAGAAATAACCGCGGAAGTCATCGCCGCTATGCTCGTCACCGACGATGATATCATTACTCGCCACGGAGCCCTGCTACACCCCGAAGGGTCCCATAAGTACAACCTCCCTCAAGAATTTGAGATACGCCCGCAATGCTCGACACAGGAGAACAACCCGATTAGACCGCTGATCCTGGCCACCATACAGGCAATCGACCTAACAGACCAAAAGGCGACATTAATCATCAGAACCACGGAATTGAAGTTTGCATCCATACTCACTGAAAAGAAGCAAGCCGAGGAAGACCTCGACCTGCTGAACCTGCGAAGCGCAGACGCATGGCGGACCTTGTTTGCGAAAGTCAACCAACGATCCGGCGTAACCAAAGTAATCCTCACCAGTGCATCGTCCACAGAGGCAAAGAACCTCCTCTCGGAAGCGTCGAACGAGCCAGAGAACCAACACAGCGACCTTACAAACGACGATTCAGTCGAGAGATGGCGCCCAAAAGGAGCCATACTTTCGAAAATGACCCAGAAACTGGCCTACAAGTTCATCAAATGTGAACATCCGATTACCGACAAAGAAACACCCACTATACACCTGGCAATGGCGAGACACGCCGCCTGCGAACAAAACGGCTCCCTTCCCTCCAACGCCGCCGTCTGGGCAACTACATGGAGTAAAGACCTAAAGACCAATGATCAGGAATGGCTTTGGAAGACTATTCATGGCGGCTTCAAAATCGGAAAATACTGGGAATCCATCCGCAACTACGAACAACGAGGCCGCTGCTCCCTGTGCGACGCGGAAAGAGAGTCGATGGAACACGTACTATTCGAATGCGACATTCCAGGCGCAGCTGAAGTGTGGGAGGAAGCAAAGAGCCTCTGGGAGCGGAACGGCTCCGGCCCCTGGCCGACAGGGAACCAGTTCGGCGTCATCATGGCTGCCGGCTTGATGCGATTCAAGCGTAACAGGAAACGCAACCGCGGAGCAGAACACCTATTCCGTATTATAGTCTCGACGGCATGCAGAACCATATGGAACATTCGATGCGAGCGGGTCATACAAGAGAAAGAAATCTCAGCCTCGGAAGCGAAGGTAAGATGGTGGTCAAACATCAAGAAGAGGCTGAACGTCGATCAAGCCATGACGAGCAAACGGTTCGACAACCTTGCCATTTCCAGGCAGAGAGTACATGACACATGGTACAATATCCTCAAAAAGGACAACCTCCCGCAAGGGGAATGGATCGGTAGAGGAGTGGGGGTTTTAGTGGGTAGCAACTCGCTCGCAAGCGAGTTCGGAATCACATAGCAGTCCCACACATCAAAAGTGCGTAATGCATTTCCTCCCGGGGCCTACCGACTACAGACTTCATACTACATGGAATACTACGAACTACTTCAGGCGGGCTCTTGCCAGCCGAAACTTTAACGCCCTTCTGGACCTTTGCCTCGCGAAGGTGGTCGAAGGATACGCGTTCCCCAAAAAATAAAAAAAATAAATAAATGTTAGTGCTCGCACTGTGTGGCCCTACCTGAGCATGGCTTTCGTGCTTCCATTGATATGTCCACATGCACCCACAAGCATGTGATGTGCTTGGGTGTCCAGCACCCATCAGCTTCTTCTCACCTCCCCGACATCTGTTCACATTGGCATCTGTACGATTTCTTGATGGCTGAGAAGAGAACATGCTCTCGCTGCTCACAGCCAAAGTCTTTGCCTGCAGTGATTGGTGCATAGGGAAGTCAGACAAGGTCACATTTCCAATTGAGAGATATTGACGCGCCATTTTCGGCTTTGACGCCAGGATGTGAAGAGCAAGATGCTGATGTGCGTATCGCCGTGCAAAGGTGCAATCTGGGCGAGCCGAAACAAACCCAAACCCTAACCCTAGCGTCGAAGACACAGTTGCGAGAGCGTCACAAGAACCGGGCTTGCGAGCGCGGTGGACATGATAACGGAGAAGGCGCGGCCAGGAGGCCGAGGCGGAGCTGAAGAACTTGAGGCACACGCACTCGCACTGGAGAGGGACAAACAGTGGGATTCGGGAAACTGGAAGATTGTAGTGTACAGGTAGAGCGAGGTTATATAGTAGATAGAGGGTATGAGAGAGCTGTGCAAGATACGTAGCGTAAGCAGTACAGTATGTCGAGTAGCGCGTAAGGGTATGGTATGTACGGGAATACACAGTATGGGTGTGAACAAGATCATATGGGAAGCTGCAAACCCGGGCCGAAGTGAGGCGAACGGGGAGAACGAGAGCATCGCACCACTCGCAAACCGAGGCAAACCCATGTGGAATAGAGCCTAATCATGTGTATGTGTCGTCAGGGTGGTACGGGGCACATCATTATCCCCCAAACTCAGATACTGACCATCCTCGGTCAAACAAACACCGTGCTAGGGTTCGGCCCTAGAACACTATGATGAGCCCCTCGGGGCCGCCGCTAGGTGGGCAAGAGTGACGAGCAAGTCTAGAAAGAAATGCAAATTGACAAGCTACTGGTAACATACATGCGAGACCGACTACTTAAGAGCACATCAAAAGAAGCTTGATCGGATCACATAAGCAGCCCAGAACATGAACAAAAAGCGGAAATCCGGAAGTAAAACATAAGAAATCAAAAGAAAATTAAAATTAAATTAAAATTAAAAGAAAAAGAAAATTAAAAAGGGTGACCGAACCATGACACACCGCCGATGATAAGGTGATTGACGAGACAAATGGTAGCAATGGCCGTGGCAGGCGGGACTTCAATCGGCAAACGGCTGGGAACTCCCGACGGATACTGAGTGGCGTGCTGAGCTGATAGGTGGCATACGGGTGCTGGTAGCGCATATAAAACCGCGTGGTGTGTACTGGAGAGACCGTCAAACAAAGCACAATGTCTTTCTTCGTCAATCGCGCTACACTCGGGCTTGCTCTCATCTCTCAAAAGATCTTGCACTATGCCCTTGAGGTGACCATGAACGGGCATGTGTACAACCACGAGCACGCCAATGACCGTATCAATTTCCGTAACATTATTGTCAAGTTGCATGCCTTGCTGGTAAGTCATGTGTCTTAACGTCACCATTTTTCTTGCTCTAACGCGGTCTTGAAGCGTGCATACGAGGCCGTTGGTGGCAATTTATCCCACGACCGTACCCTCGAGCGCACCATCCGTGGCTTTGTCGCTTTCACTGAAGGCTTTATTGCCCAGCACACCGAGATTGTGGCGCCCTTTCACCCTCAAATTCTCTACTTCAAGCCTGAAATGTGTGGCGAGATCGAGACCTTCCTGTACCGCCAGGACGAACATGCCGATGAGGATCGCTACCCGCAGACGCAGGCTGCTATGCAATCCGTGATGAACTTCTTCGTCTGGCGCACTGACACCGAGAGCGCCAAATACATGTCGTGGCTGTGGGACGAGGTTCGCCAGAATAGCGGCGCAATTCAGGAGTCGAACGACACAGTCTCGTTCCTGTACCGTCCTGCAGCGATGGGCGAGATTATGAGTCCGGCAAGCTGCATCGAGATCTCGCGTGCTGAGTTTGAGGCGAATGTACAGGAGGCTGATCTTTGGCATGAGCAGTCGGTTCCAGGTCTTCGCTTTGGTGGGTCTGTGTACGAAGACGATTGTGTGGTAGGATCATCACAGCAGGCAACTGTCGGGTCGATGGAGTCGTAGGTTCTGGGCGGGTTGATTCACACTTGTGCTTGTTATTGCATGTAGTTCCGTCGTTCATTGAGAAAATGAATGTTTCATTCAAAATTAGTCGATATAAGTGTCAGGCTCCTCCCCGCAACTCAGCAAATGACCCTCCGTGGTCAATACTGCAGCAAAATCAGCTAGTTGTTCAGCTCTTCATCTACCAGGCCCTCACCATCACCCTCATCGTCGTCGTCAGCTTTGTCCGAGTCCTCCATCTCACGCAATCGTGCCATTGAGATGTCCAGCAAGCCGTCTAGGTTGGGCAGAGTGATCAACTGTTGAGCAAAGTATGGGATCAGGCGAAACACGGCGATAGGGCAATGGTGTACCGAGCCACCCAATTCACAGACGATGTAAGCTCCGCTGCGGTTCCTCGAGATGATGACAAGCAGACCGAGATAGCGTGAACGGGTCTTGTTCTTGAGCCCCTTATCATAGTGCGTGTTCCTCATGAGCATGAGAGATCCAGCCTTAAAGTCGTAGTCGTGTATAGTCGCAGCATGTTCAGCCTCGAACCGGCAAGCAGCCTCTATACGGGCCTTATAGACGTTGTAATGAATACGAGCGAGGTCTTCGTGACGCTTGAGAAGATCCAGTGAACGGCGGGCAATCAGATCGGCGGTGGAGATCGGGAAAGAGGTCGGTGGCGGCTGGAGATAAGTTGCCTCTGCAACATCGAGCGGGAGTATCGGATGGGTGCCGGTAAGCGCAAAATATGGAGAGCAGCCCATGCGATGTCGGACGGTAACGCGGTCGGCCCAGAGTACCGAATACAAATGACGGTGCCACTTGTTCTCATTGCCGTGAGCTGCTTTGAAAAGAGACTGTCGGAGATCAAAATGCGACCGCTCTACGATACCATTGGCACGGGAGTTGTAGTCAGATATGCGGATATGATGAACAGGCACCTTGAAGTCGTCGTGCAAGCTCTCAAGTGCCTTGATGAAAGGTTTGCCGTTGTCGGTGACGATTTCGGTGAGAGCACCATAGCGATATAAGAGCTCCTCGAACATGAACTTGGTGATTGCACGGCCAGTTTCTCGTTTGAGCGCGATAGCTTCGACGAAGTGTGTTACCGAGCATCTTGCATGAACTATGTACTTGTAGCCACCTGATAGAGGCATGAACATTGTGTCGGCGTAGATCTTGGCCATCACGGGAGCGGGAGTCGCGACGGTCGGCGGAATGCGTAGCTGGCATATTTGGCGCTGCTGACAGAGATCACATGTACGGGCATACTAGGCGACGTCCTTCTTGAGTGCAGGCCACCAGAAACACTCATTTAGAAGTGCTCAAGTAGCGAAGATGCCACGATGTCTGACGTTGTTGTGAGCTTGCTGCAGGATTTGGAGTCGATCTTCTGGCCAGACCACGATCTTGTGACGTCCATGCGGGTCACGGTGCCAGAGTCAGTTATCTAGAACAAAGAATTGCCATACGTATCCCAGAAACTGCGAGAACGCGCTGTCGGACAGGTCGTCGGGCCGTTTTAGGGTCAAAAGATAGAACCGGACACGTAGGAGGCACCCGTCACCTGCGAGTGTATGTTCCAAGTGCGGGATAGACACAGGAGAAGCTGCAGAAGACGGTTCCTGGTCCGATTGGCTGAAAGCATGTTGAACGGGTGGGAGGGCGGGAGAATCGCGGCGGCAGAAAGCATCATTGATAATGTGCATGAACTCATACACATTATCAATCCAGTTGTCGTAGTCGGGCAGGTGGAACTCGGGCAGATCTCCATCATAGTGGCATCGGCGCAAAGTACCGTCGACTGCATGTGAGGCGCCAGGTACGTGCTGAAGGCGGAAGTGGAAAAGCAAGATGGCGATGATCCAACGGTTGATGACAGCCGTCGCCTTGAGATCTGGATTGTTGAGCATTCCTTGAATATACTGGGCATCAACTTCTACCACAAGGCTGCGAACTCCAACGAGGTAGTGCTTGAGGGAGCGTAGGGCGCGATAGAGACCATATAGTTCCAACTTCGCCTGGGAAAACCATGCCTTGCGATCATTGAGCAGAATTGAACCGAATTGAGCATAGTACCGGATCTTCGGGTCCTTTTCGTTGCACTGACAGAGGGCAAATCCGACGGCGATGTACGAGGTATCCACAGCAAGAATGACTTCAGCAAGAGAGCTGTAGTCAACGAAGAGCCGGCGAGTTGATTAACGCGGTCTTGAGATTGCCTTGTGACGCGATCTGATCCGGACCCCCAGTAAAGACCGCCTCCTTGCGAACGAGCGAGAGCAACGGGTAGGCGCGTTTGGCAAAGTCTTTTATGAACATACGGCCGATGCCGACTGTACCGAGAAAGGCGCGTACATCCAAAACGTCGCGGCAGTCGCCCCAGTTAAGAACCTTGTTGACGATTGTTGGGTCGGGAACACGTCCGGCATAAGTACACTGATGGCCAGCGATCATGAATTCGGGAACGCAGATGTAAGCCTTGAAACCGGAGAAGGTGCCGCCACAGTAGCGCATTCGCTGTATGTTCCGATTGACGACGAGGAGGTGCTTCCAGACAAAATGGCAGATACTGGGGTTCTCCGGGATCGTCTCGTAGGTGTCGCCTAGCTCGTAGCGTGTTGCTGGGCCGCGTATGGGTACATCGTTGATATACGGCTGGGTGAACTCTGGGACTTCTGGCTGGAGGATGTACGTGACGTTGTCATGGAAGATCGGGACCGAATTCGTCCAGCCCATAGGTAATGTCGTTAGTCGCATTGCGCCGAAGGGAGTCTGGAAAGTCGTTAAGTTGCGGTAAGCTTCATGGAGACGCTGTTTGTCGTATCCGGTGTATAGATCCATGACGGCGCCGCACGCGCGGCCTGCAAAATGATCAGCGAGCTGTTCCGTGAACGGCGGGACTCCTGAATGCGTGATAGTGACCGCGTTCAGCGGCTCGAGCGAATGCACAATACGCAAACTCTTGCCGTCTTTCTTAACGACGGTAAACCAGCGGCCACGGTAAGACAAGTTTGACAGCTCGTAAACACCGGCGGCCTGCTTGATTCTGATCTGTTCGCAGACTTCTGAAAAGATACCTGGTGGAATAGGTATGTTGCGCTCGACCCATGGCGTATGCGGGAGCATAGGGATCTTGACGGGCGGGAAGAAATCCTTGCGGAAGTGACCGCGTTCGGTATCATCCCAAGTGAAAGCTTCATTCTGCATGGACATGAGGTGATGGAGCAAGTCGTGCTCGCGGGGCCAAAGACAACCGTCTGGGTGCGCGCGGTCTATAACTGTTTTGCATTCGGCAGTATAGTGGCCAGTGGGAGTGTATGGGGGCGGATCGGTGGGAAGTACGGGCATGTCGGCTAGCGGGTCGCCTACAATTTTGCGTACGATGCGGAATTCGTCTGGGAGGTCTGCGCGTACTGGGTGGACATTCCGGGAAACAGGCTTATACTTTTTCTTCGATGCTGCATAGATCGGTAGAGGCTGGAGAGTATCGGCAGGTTCAGACAGAAAAAAAGTACGCCCGAGAGACATGTGAGGCGAGGAAGCGTTGAGAAGCACAGAAGGCTCAGGCTGACAAATGGAGATAAAACTTGATGAAGGTGAGGCGCGCGGCGCATCTAGCGGCGCATAGTTGTACAGAGTCGAGTACGGGAAGCTAGGGTTAGTGAACTGGTCAGTTTCGAGAAGCTGAGGGTCGCAAGCAGATAAATAGAGAGCCTGTAGCTCTGAGGGTGCGAGAGGAGAGGCAGAATCAAAGGGAGCATAGGCCAAGACAAGAGGATCGGCCATATCTAGCGCAGAGACAATAAGCGCAGCCATCTGGCCGTCCACGAGGCCATCAAGAAGAGGACCGAAATGAACGGCCCGACGCCGGGTTAGGAAAACGCGGGCGTGAACGCGGCTTGGTCGGAATCGAGATGGGCGCAGACAAGTTAGAATCGTGTACCGTGATGAGCTGTGACTCATCGCAGAAGTTCTATACTAGTGTTTCATCGAGAATGTCAAAGAGGCGACCCCAGAGAACGTCATAGGCGGGGCTGCGAATGACATGCACTTGCAAATAGAAAGTGATGGTGTCGAGCTTGAAGGGGACGTTACACGCGAGTCTGAGCGTATGATTGATCTTGCCGTTTGCGGACTGCATGGGGAGCTTGAAGGTGTCATTGTATGGGATGCTGTAGGCATGACATACGCCCTCCGACATTGAGATGATACTGGAGCCGGGGTCGATGATGCAGTTGACTTTGCCTTTGTTATTGATCACAGCTTCTAGCTCGCGTATCGCAGAGGACTCCTTGGACACGACCACCATGGGGACCTCTTCCTCCTTACTGTGTTCCTTGAAGTATTGCTTGTAGACGTCCAGTACGCGAATCCCTCTATCCAGCGACACCTCGTACTGACTGACCATTGTATTAAGGAAGTTTTCAAATGACGCGGCGCCCTCAAACGCGGCGGGTATATCCTGTAGGCGCTGCTCGGCCTTACTGAGCCTAACAGGTATGTCGCGCACTTCTAATCTGTCGAACGCGTATGATTCTGACACATTTTCGAGGACAGGCTGAACCTCTGCAATTCAGCGCGAGGAGACAGCTTCGCGGATCTTAGCGTGGACCTTGGGCGCAATAGAGAGTAACTCCCGGTGAGTCAGTGTCATGTCTGTGCCCATCGAGCGCTCATAAACATGCTGTGCAGCTTGTGCGTAGTACACGGGCGGCTGGGTGCGATACGCGGGCTCGTTGCATTTGGGCGCGGTGGGCTTTGGCGGCGGGGCTCCGACGTTCCGCGTCTGCAGCGGTGTGTACACGGGATTGCGTGTGTTGGCGTACGAGTGCTCGGGCATCTCATTGCGCATATTCGTGTGTGTTTCCGGTGCAGGCGTGACAGTCTCGGGCTTAGGCGTGGCGCTGTTACGTGCGGGCGGTGCGGTCATGCTCGAGGCTTCCTCGCGCGGCATATGCGGTGGCCTTTCGCACTTGGGCGATGATCCTGGCACGTCAAACCGTACACTACGGCGGTCGGCGCGGTCTTGACGCGAGGCCTGTGCCTGCGGGCGCTTTGTGGCGTGATTCATACGTCTAGCATCCTCGGGTTGTTGCATGTAGGCCGCTTGCTGACCTGCGGCCCGTTCTAGAGCAGCTTTTTTGTCTCGGAGGTGCGCGAGGCGCTGTTCCCGGCTTAGGAACTGCTGCGTGAGCGATGGGGCGGCGGACGTGGGCGTATATGACAGGTTTGGCGCATAGTTTGTGTACATAGGGCGTGGCGCCAAAGAATGTTGCGTGGCGAACATCATTTGCGGTGACACATTCTGCTGCTGCTGCTGCTGCTGCTGCTGACCCGCGAGCGGGTTCTGGTGGTGCCAGGCGTTGATGCGAGCTTTGAGATTTGGTCCGGAGATGATGCTGGGCACGTACTTGCCCGTCGGCAGTACGAGATCATTATGCTGATTCCGCATCGCGCGCCCTGTGCGTATGTATTCTTCTGCAACCATACAATTGCGAAGGTAGTGGCCGGGAAGTCCGCAGAAGCAATAATTTCCGTCATCGGGCTGGTTCCTATGCGGCTGCATCGAGTTCAGCTGGTATTGCTGTGGGAACTGAGGCTGAGACAGCGGGAGGTTATTCCGCGGCTGCTGCATCGACTGCTGGCTAATGTTCTACATGGTCTGCATGAAATTCGTCATGGAACGGAAGAACATGTCCATTGATTCGGTCTTAATAATTGGCGCGGCAGGATCTGGCAGCAATGTGGTCACTGACTGCGCGGTATAACCCTTTGTGCCATGAAGTACGTGCCGAGCAGCAGCGACGATGTCTGCGAGTGCATACGGGATGCCAGGTAACACGTCGGGCTGCTTGATCGCGAGTCTTGCTGACACTTTGGTCCATAGGCCAGGTGGAAATCCTCACGCGAAAGCCCTATTGCGCTCACGCTCAGACAAGATCCCCTGGTCAATCAGGTACTTAGCAACATGGCAAAAGTTACGCTCGTAGTCGGCAAACTCAACAAGAGTGCTCATCCCGGGCCATGCACGCGATCCGACGATCAGATCCAGATCTTCTATGTCATATTTCTGTGTGTCGCCAGTGCCGGGATACAGCTCATTGACAGCCTTCTTGAAGTCGTTGTAGGTTTTTGTGTTGTCAGTGAATTCGGCGAGTTCTTCCCATATCTCAACCTCGCTCAACGGTGCCAGGCGAGTCACATGCTTTTTCTTCTCAAGATCATCATTGACACGGCAGGAATCAAACAGAAAGTCGAGGTTGCGCCAAAATACACGAATCGTGTGCGGATCCTTCACATCAAGCTTCGGGGCAGCACTCGCGCCACGAGCAGGTATCATACGGTCGGCCATTGGCGGTACAATGGGCGATAAGGGACGAGGGGTGTCGAGGAGGATTAAGGTCGATGGCGTAGTCAGTAGCGAATAGGGAGTATGACGGGGATTGGCTTGTCTTTTGTCAAGCCACGGGTCAAAGGCTGAGCTTAGGGGGCTAGAAATGTCGTCGGGGTCAAGATCAGGTACTCCGTGTAGATCTAGTTGATTGTGTGTAGCTTCGTTGTCTTTGTCGGTAAAACTTGAGGCTGTCTGAGCACGCTGTTGCTGCCCTCGGGTGACTGGAATCTTGAGAACTGAAACTTGTCGCTAACAACTAGGCGACGATTGAACGGTCTTACTGAGGGTCCTAAGGGGGGCACTCTGGCCGAGACTAACAAGAATGCGTGCGAGAGAGAGATAAACAGTTGTTGATTGATGTGGATGTCCGGTGTACCAGCAAGAAGTTCAAATGTAACCCTCGCGGTAGGCTCCATATGATGTGCATATTGCCGTGCAAAGGCGCGAGCTGGGCGAGCCGAAACAAACCCAAACCCTAACCCTAGCGTCGAAGACGCAGTTGTGAGAGCGTCACAAGAACCGGGCTTGCGAGTGCGGTGGACACGATAAGGGAGAAGGCGCGGCCAGGAGGCCGAGGCGGAGCTGAAGAACTTGAGGCACACGCACTCGCACTGGAGGGGGACAAACGGTGGGATTAGGGAAACTGGAAGATCGTAGTGTACAGGTAGAGCGAGGTTATATAGTAGAGCAAGAGGCCTTCGATAAGATGAAGCACACATTTACGTCGTCCCCTGTCCTCCTTATGCCAGACCCTACTAAGTCTTACCGGGTAGAATGTGATGTGTCAGACTTTGCCATCAGTGCCATGTTGTCACAACATGCCGAGGACAATGACTGGCATCTGGTGGCATACCTTTCCCATGCCCTCACCACCTGGGAACGGAACTACGATACCCACGACAAGGAGCTGCTGGCCATCATCCACGCGCTTGAAGATTGGTGCCATTATCTCGAGGGTTCCCTTCACCAAGTCGAGATCTTTACTAACCACAAGAACCTCAAGTACTTTACCACTGCGCAGAAGCTAAATAGACGCCAGGCTCGGTGGGCCCTATACCTATCCCGCTTTGACTTCATCCTCTGCCATTGCCCTGGCCGGTACTCCCATGCCGACCCCATGTCCCGCCGTCCTAATCATTGACTCGGCGTCTCCAAGGACAACTCTAACCGTGTCCTGTTCCCGGCGGCTGAGGTGTCCATTAACGCTACCCAGCTGATATCCCTGGACGATGTCAGGCAACGAATTTTGGACACGGACACGAAGGATCAGGAGGTCACGGCGGCCTTGCGCATTATCGAAGAGGAGGGACCGGCTGCCCTGAAGCACAAGCTTGTTGGTTGGGAACAGAAGGACGGTCTCCTGATATACAACGCACGACATTGTACGTCTCTGCCATGATACGCTGGCTGCGGGCCACCCTGGGCGCATGCGTACAATGGAACTCGTGCAGAGGGACTTCTGGTGGCCCGGTATGTCGGTTTTCATTCGCGAATATATTCGAGGCTGTGCTACTTGTCAGCGCATGAAGATCCGCAACCACCCGCCAGAGATACCACTCCATCCAAATGAGGTCCCCACACGTCCCTTCCAGATCATGACAACCGACTTCATCACCGACCTCCCACCCTGTCAAGGCTTCGACTCAATTGCCGTATATGTGGACCGTGGTTACAAGATGGTCTATATTGCTCCCACAACCAAGACAGTTGACAGCCTGGGATCAGTGTCCCTGTTCATGCGCTACATCTCCCTCACACCGGTCTTATGGAACAGCTTATCTCTGATCGCGGTAGCCAGTTCGCTAGTGAAACCACTCGAACACTACTCACCAAACTCGGAGTCAAGTCGTCACTCAGCACCTCCTACCACCCTCAGATGGATGGCCAAATGGAACACTTCAACCAAGAACTAGAACAATATCTGCGCGTGTTCTGCAACTTCTGCCAGGACGACTGAGTTGACTGGCTCCCACTGGCCCAGTTTGCTCACAACTCTTAAGTTCAGGCGTCCACTGGCAAGTCGCCGTTTGAGCTGCTTTATGGCTTCACGCCGTGTGCCTACCCCCAGCTCAACCCCACCACATGCTTCTCACATCTCCGGGACCGGCTACGTCACCTTGAGTCCGTGTGCGAGGAGGCCCAGGCCAGCCTGCAGATCGCTGCGGAACTCATGAAGGACCGTCACGGTGTTCCTGAAGCTACCTACAAACTATTCAAGGTTGGTGACAAGGTCTGGTTGGAGGGCAAGGACCTCAAGTCCGTACGACCAAAGGCGAAACTCAATGCCAAGCAGCATGGGCCGTTCACTGTTACAGAGGTCCTCAGCAATCTGGAGACCGCCATCAACTTCCGTCTTGACATTCCAAAGACTTGGAAGCGGATTCACTCAGTCTTCCACACTCATCTCCTCACCCCATACATGGAGACGCCAGAACACGGCCCTAACTACACAGAGGAACCACCTGAGTTGGTCGATGATAAGGAGGAATATGTGGTAGAGGCCATCCTCAATGGCTAGGAAACCAGGAACAAGCACGGCTTTGAATACCTCGTCAAGTGAGAGGGCTATCTGGACACGGCGAACCTGTGGTGACCGGTGTCTGCTCTCAAGAACGCAAGGATGCTATAGCTGAGTACCATAAATATCATCCTAAAGCGCCACACCCAAAAAGTTACCAAGAACCCTAAACGACATGCTCTGGGCGTAAGCATGTCTGAGAGAGGGGGCAATGCCATGGTTCGGCCGTTGCGTGATTCAGCAATATCTTTATTCTTTTCTTTATTCTTTTCTTTTCTGACTCGGCATCTCGGCATCTCGGCATTCCGGCACACGGACTTCGGACTCGCATGACTCACACCATTCACGTATGACTCGGCCCGCTTATACACTCTTCCTTTGTCAGTGGGGCGCGGCTTACTCAGTCATCCACCTGCTTGTCCGTCTTCGTCATTACGTTCCCGCACTGCCTTGACCTGTATATAAGACTCTTCCCCCATGTACCTAAGCTCCTTTAGTTCGTCCATCTTGCAATCTACCCTCTGTGGTGTTCTCCTCTGTCCCCTCTGTCTCTACCATCGCATACCCTTGTGTTGTCACTGGGTTCCTGCGCTTGGTATCTGTCTGTCTGTCTGTCTGAGTGCCAATAGCGCGGCTCAGAGATCTCCCCTAAGTGCGGCCCTAGCACAGAGCAGTCGATACACCCGCTACCGGAATACTTCAAACACTACTTATGGTTCCTCTGGAATCTGTACCAAACACAGCACCCGGCACTTCCGGGTGCTAAGCCGGTACATGGCGTGATCTCCGAGCCAAAGGAACCCGATAAGGCATCCTGCCTGGTCTGTACCCTACACAGTGAAGCTGCCATACACGTGTCAATAAACACCGGCACGGGCCGTGACGCGTTGGCATGCTTCTTCGGGACCCCCAAGTTATACAGGGATCTCCTAGAAGACAACAACGTCTCCGTCAACCCAAACAGCAAGCTCGCTCGCCGCATTTTCAATCTCTTGACGACCAACCTCGATATGATGCGCTGGTTTGCGGAGCGCAGACTTACCGTGGAGGAAGCCAAAGAACTGTTTGCCTGGTCGAAGACATACATCGAACGGCACTATATGGTCCCGAACGCGAGTGGAACCAGCATCCCGGGCATCATCAAGACACTTTGGGAGTGTATCCACAACCGTCGTATCGACACGAAGTACAACGTTCTCGGTGAAACCTGGGAGCGCCGCAAACCAAAAATGCACAAGGCGCTCACTGGCTACGGTGCTAACTTGGAATTCAAGAAGAAGACAAACGCGGCACCCACGCCCGCCACCGCCACGCCCATCGTGTCGTCATCCTCCCCCGTCGTCATCAAGGAGACCGACGAGGAGATGGAGAACATGTCTTGAGATATCGCGATTAGCTACCCGTGTACGCCCAGACTGTAAAGACGTACTCGGAAACTGTCTACCTGTATAGTTTTGATTTGTGCCACAAATGTAATGAACTATGCCGGGATTGTTGTGTGATATATGCGACGTACCTCGTACTGGGTTATTGTTCCAGCCTTAGGCTTTCTCTAGCGGGGGGATGTGTAAGTACGCGGTGTTCCGCCACATCAATTGTAGTTTATCTTATCTGTAGATGGATAGCGTGGGTAGCATACAATCCCGGTGACTAGTAATCACCGAAGGCCGAGGGTATTTAAGGGCGCGAAGCGCCCTCCCAAGTCCTTACGCTTTTACTATCACCTCGACGTACACTCTGTGTTTTATCTAGTTCAATATAACTGGGTCTAATGCATTCTCGTGTGCATCAAGGCAGTATCGAAAGCGGTAAACTTATAACCGCTCTCGTCTCCGGCCCGGGCGGGCCACCAGTCTAATCCGGCCGTTGCCAGATAATCGAAGGGAAAAGAAAAGAAAAATGAATAATCGTGGGACCAAGGGTCGAACCGTGACACACAGCCTTGGTGAGAATGTGCTTAGTGAGCCACCCGGCCTTTGCTGACTAAGCAGAGGTGAGTCAAACTGGGCCGAGTCATACGAGAAGGGGATGAGTCATGCAGTCAAGGAACCTTCCGGCACATTCCAGCCAGCACCAGACCGCTCCGGTCTCTAGCCCGGGCAGGCCACTGGTCCGATCCGGCCATTACTGGATAATCAAAAGGAAAAGAAAAGAAAAATGAATAATTGTGGGACCGGGAGTCAAACCATGACAGTTTAAACAAACAAGTACATAGGGTGGTCAATGAATGAGTCCAGGTAGAACAGCATAACACAAACGGGCACATCTTCAGACAACCACTGAGAGCCCCGGATGGGGCAAATTTCGCGTACTACTGAGGTGAAAGCCACCTTTCACCCGGATCCGGAGTGAATCCGACATTCACTCACGCAGTAAAATTTGCGTCGGGCGAGGGTGACAAAAAGCACGCGAAATCGTGTCATAAGATGCAAGTGAATTCTGCCTGAAGAGGGCAGTGAATTTCACATCAAAGAATACAGTACAACTCGGCTACACACTGCAGCGTACATATGTGAGACCACAGAGTATGAGCACGCCTGGTTCTTTCATCGGTGTATAATGACCCTCACCGTTGTGAGAAAGGACTGGCGAACAACAGGCAAAGATGACTTGCGTGCGGAATGAGAGGCATGACGTCATACCGCCGTTCTAGGGCTGCGCGCGATGCCTTGGCATGGCATCGCCGGCTTGTCCTCCCCTGTCCTCCCTCCCTTCAGTGTGTTAGGCTTGCGCACGCAACCGCAACAACATCTGGATATGAGGAGTGAGAACAGCAACACCATGGGCAATCAGCGTGCGTCCCATGGGACTCTTGCTTGCCTGTACCCCACTAATAAACTTCGTAGAGTCTCTGCAATTTCTCGATGGAGGCAACTTGGCGTCAGACGAGATGGTGATTGCGTCAGAGGCAGGCAAGGGGTTGCATCAGGACCCTCTATGGTGGGTATGGTCTTCGGAAAGGGAAAAGGGAGTGATGAGTGCAGAAGATCAAGCATCAAGACAGCTAGTGTATTGTATTACAATTGTTCGCTTTATTGTATGAGTAGTCTAGTCAATGTACTTTATTATCTGTCCGCCCTGTGCTTTCTGTGTGAGCAAACAAATGTAGTAGTTCGTGGCCCTGTGGCTTTCACCACATATTTTCATGAAATTCACCTCGAACGGAGTGAAAACATTCAAAAGCTGGACAACGTGATAGCGACGTTGAAGGGCCTGAATTTCACCTTCTAGGACTTACAACATCCGGCAGTGACAAATCACTGCGCCAGAGTGAAGTTCACATTCAGACAGCCGGAATACTTCTTCGAAACGGGGTGAAAAGCAGGGCAAATTTCACTCCATTCCGGGGGCTCAGTGAACCAACCCAGATCTGCCTGTCTTCCGAAGTTTGGTACTAGATGCCAACTCCTGAAGATGACATTGAGTGGTACAATGAATGCGCGGGGTTCGCCATGCTCGATATACCACAATACTCCCCAGAGCAAGCTGTGCCTCTCTTGTCCTCCTTCAAAGGGTGTTAAGAGCTCGAGATAGGCCAAGTCCTGACAAGCACCTGCCAGTCGACATTTGCTGATCACATCATGGAGGTTAAGTTCTGGACAGAGACAGAGGCTCCAGTCACAAACAGAGGCTCTGTTTGGGGATGGAGGGGTCAGGTCAGGGCTGGACATCCCTTGTCGGCAGAGCGTGTCTCTGGCGAGTCTCCGACCGGAGCCTGACAGAGACAGACCATGTTTCAGAAGAACAAAGAGTACTCGAGCCTGCCTCTGTCACTCTTCTTGTAATCGGTCACCAGACTAGATGCCTCCTGTGAATCATGCTTCTCGAAGCGCAGTTGCGCAACCCCACAAGTATGCGCGACCATAAATCGACCGCTCATCCCAATTGGGAAGGTGTCTCAGACGCGTCCGACTTGCGACGCGCCTCCGACACCCGCCCACCCGAGCCCCCTGTCCACCTCCCCTAAGCCCCTCGTCCCCCTTCCCATTGCCCTTCGCGTGCCCGCCGTCGTCTGCGGCTGCGTCGAGGGCGAGGAAATGGGGGGATGGGGGAATTCGGGGATGGTGGAAAGGCAGGCTCTGTCTCCTTCCCGTGCACCAAGGGCGACCTTTATCGACTTTCGCCATCAACCTCGGACCGGGCTGTCTGTTTTCAGGCCAGTCCGATTTCGAGTGTGACCGGGCGTGTTTTGCTTACGCCTAGTTCTAGCAATGCATCGGGCTGGTCGAGTGCAGCTTCGAGCCAGTCCGCGCGCGGCTTCGAGCCAGTCTGCGCGTGGCTTCGGACCAGCACCCGCGCCCTCCATCTCTCGCGTTCGCCTGCGTGGGGGCGTAGGCCGCCCCCACACCCCCTGCCTCGTAGTGTCGGTCTGGCACAATGTCATTAGATACTATCTATTATGTATTTATTTATTTCCGGGGGCGTTGGCCGCCCCCGGACCCCCTGCCTCGCGGAATCGGTCGGACACATCGCGGCTGTAAGTGCCGCTGGCGAGTTAAGTCTTTCCGGGGGCGTCGGCCGCCCCCGGACCCCCTGCCGTGCTGCAGCTGGTGCGCGTCTCGGACAACAAATCGCGCTCGTTTCGCGAACACTGCGTGAGCCGTTCTTTTCATTAAGCTCCAACAATGCTTGGGGCTCGTTCCTCGCCCGCAAAGCATTTTTTCGCTCAATGAACGAGCCATTCACTCGTGCTTCTCTGCACGTCGCACGATTCTTATGTCCTCGATGGGGGCGTGCCGCCCCCAGGCCCCCTGCTCCGTCGCTCCGCGATGCGTACATCTTGTATTAATTGTTCTTGTATTAAATAACCAATAAAATTTGACATTATGACCGCTGACGGGCGTACAGAGGGCGCTTCTGTAATAGTGCTGTGAGATCGCGACGCATAGAGGTGGCCTGTGCCTCTATACGCCCGATATCCTCCTTCGAGAAATCCGCCGGTGAGAGAACTCCGAGCTGCTCCGAAAGTTCGGCGATTTTCGCCAGCTCGGTGATCGCGCGTGTACGTGCACCGTCTTTTGCGAGATCGGCCGCCGGCATGTTCGTGTCAGGCAGAAGCTGAAATTGGGCTAGGCTAGCTGAGGTGTCAAATGTGGAGAGGGGCTGGACAAGAGGTTGGGGTTGTTGGAATTGTGGTGGTGGCGGCGGCAGCTGTGCGGCAGCAGGTTCGGCCGAGGCGGCATAGATGTGTGCCGCGGGCTCCACCGAGTACAGTGCGAAGCGGGCGGCGAGGTACATGTGCTTGCAAGACAGCAGTGTCTGTGCATATGCCGGGCACGAGCACTTGGCGATGACCGGTCGTAGCAGTTCGGTAGTCGTACGGCCTGGGATTTCGCAGACAGAGACTTCGTACCAGACTTCAGGGTCACGCGTGAACGACATGACGAGGATATCCGGGACCTGTAAGCTATGAGCTGTGCAAACTTCTGAGGGACTGATTACGCACGGAAGCATTCTCGTCACCCCCGACATCAAGTCGAACCATGTCACCAAGCTCGATGCTTGGGATCTCATCTGCGAGGTCGCGCGACTGCCGCTCTCGAGCACATAGAGCGGGCCGTGCAAAGCCAAGTCGAATCCGGGCCTCCTCACGGCGGAAGTCGGGAAGGACTTGGCGCGACAAAATATAAAGGAGAATGTCGACTCGTTGCCGGCGCATGAGCTTGAGGTAGAAGGTCTTCAGGTGCGAATGCCAAGACTCGACGTAGTTGTTTGTTTCAATCCCGTATTGTACGATGCCCTGTACAATAGATGATTAGCTAAACAGTTGAATGTGCTCAGTATACACACCTGGCGATATGCCCGCACCCACTGCCTATGCTTTGGTAACCACTCTGTCTGCAAATACTTCTGCCACGCCGGATACTCAGCATACTTGTCCATGTGCTTTGCCCAGAGTTCGTGGAACTTCTCGGAGGTATCACAGAGCGCGAGTGATCGGAAATCATTAACGGCGCCATCACGAAGCGCCCGATTTGCGGCGGTCTTGTCCCGACGACCTGTTGTGGCAACCTGTAGACGCAGATGTATCAGACTAATTGACATATTGCCCAGGACTGATCGAACACACGTCTAACTTCTTCGTCTGCTCAGCAACTGCCTTGTATACGTGCCACATACAAACAATGATCTCAGCGCCCGGAATCGCGTTCCGTATTGCTGCCGCTTCGGCATCAGAACAATCAATCATCCATCGCTTCCCTTTGTAACCAAGCCCTCCCGATGCTACAGGCTTAACAAGCCACGAGAGCCAATCAGACACTGGCCACTGAGACTCTCCAGGCGAAATCATGAATGCAGCTGGCACACCCTTCCCGGTGACAAGGTTCTTGACTACGAGCGTATATAGAAAAGCTTTCTCTTCCTTCCCATTTGCAGAAAAGCACGTGTTGTGTGTGGAATCGAGGCAGCTGATTGCGGAGTAGTCGCGTAGAAGCTGCAAGATTAAATCAGTTCCTGAACGTAAACGAATCAGCCGCAGCACGAACCTCTTTCTGCCATGGCGACGCAAACGCAAAAACATACGACTCCTCTCCATCAGCCCGAACACTGACATCTTGGAAGAGAACCGAGTAGCCCTTAGCCCTGAGCTCCTCAGCCCAGATCCGCAAGCTCTCCATCCCATCGCGGCTGCGAACTGCTGCAGTCGTAAACTTGCGGCGACAAGCATTATAGACGTCCATATATTCAATTGCGAGAGTTTCGGGGATGGGGGCATTGTCACGCCCAGAGATCTATCGGGAAGATCAGCAATTGTTGGGAAAGCGCTAGCAGCGGAACACGGACCGCGTCTAGCATCTCTTCATCAAGCCGAAGAAGCTTCTTGAATGCTGAGTAGCAGTCTAGCCCTAGCTCGATATTCTCCGCGATGTATCGGGTATTGCGCTTCGAAAGCATGCTCTCGGCCATGGCTGCTGCAGTGCCGACCTCATGGTTGTGGTCATCGTCATACTCAACGTGCACGACATCTTGACCGACGGGGCGACGAATGACGAGCCGAGCCTCACAATGAACAAGTGCGCTGCCATGCGAGCGGTTCGGACGGCGCTTGTCGGATGGGATGTCCGGTTTGTGGCGATCTTCGTAGGCACCGCCGCGCTGACATTCCCAGAACTCCGTGTACTGCCACACCTTCGGACGTCCACCTCGACCTACAAGGCCCATCAACACGGGGATCAGAAAGCTGCGTGGGGGGACGTACCTGAGCTTCCGACATTCCTCTTCGCCCGGGCCTTATTCGCCACCTCGTGCCGCGACTTCTTGATCTTCCAATCATGCTCCGAACATCTCTCTGCCAGCCACTCGTTCGCAGCTTCTTCGGACGCCAAGATACTACAATGAGCGGGGCGGTCACGCTTCGTACGCTTCGCGGGCCTTTCGGCAGGTGGGGAGACTTCCAGATCGGTAGGAGTATAGCATTGGAAAACGAATTGTTGATTATTTGATGCGAACATGCTAGTGGGCATGGGAATAGGATGTGGACACGATTAGGAATAGTGATGGTGGGATAACGGCAAGCGGGGCGGGTGCAGCCACGAGCCCACCGGTTTGTATTCGTATGTACAGGGGGCATCCGAGACATTGCAGGCTGTATCGGAAGGGTAGCAGGCAACCCGAGACAGCAGCAGCCGAAACGGCGGGCGGGAGCGGCGGCAAAAGCGCGAACGGGGGCGTCCGAGACATCTTCCTATTTGGGATGATCGGTCGATCTAAGGTTTTCCCACAAGTATACTACGAACACACAGACGAAGTGTGCATACATCACCAGGCCCGAAACCCCCACCACAGACAAGCTACACCTTCCTCCTCTTACTACTCCTCCCCTCCTCCCTATCCGCCTCCCTCTTACTCTTAATCCCCGCAACCCTCATATGCTCCTTCCTCTCCTCCCTCCTCTTCTCCTCCTTCCTCTTCCCCTCCTTCTCAATCTTCTTCATCTTCGCCTCCCTCCTCTCCCCCTGCTTCTCCCTCCTCCTCTTAACCTGATCCTTCCTCAACGCCCGCACCTGCTGCATGACCGCCAACGCGCGCTTCTCCTCCGGCTCGAGCACCACCGCGCGTTTCTGCAAGTACGTCGGCTTGTTCTGCGGCTTCATCACGCGCGGCTTGCTCGCGTACGGCAGAGATGCCGCGAGCTTCTTCGGCACTTTGAGCGGGTTGAAGCGCCGGCCGGGTCGCTCGACGGGCTTGTACGTGCTGTTGATGTTCTGCGGCGCAGCGAGCCCCTGTTCGCGGCGGACTTGGCCCGTGAGACGCATACCGGTCCAGTTCTCGCCCGGAGCGAGCAGCGCGGATGTAACGGGGTTGTAGTACTTGCGCGGCTCGATCGAGTACCACGCGCGCAGGAAGACGAGATCTATGAACGATCATGAGCATACTGTCCTCGTATGCCGAACAGAAATGGGAAGACGTACCGCTCATGAGAATCTTATCCTCAAAAGTCGCCCTAAACGCCCCATCCGGCTTCGCAAGCGCCTTCTTAACCTGCCCCCGAATGCCCGACACAGTCTTCACATTCGCGCCCTCGAACTTGGCCACCTCCAGCGCCGTACTGAACATATCCTTCACGAACGCCGTGTTCTTGAAGATCTTGTACGGCGTGCCCGTCAGCTTGAGCTTCTTGACGATCTTCGCCGTGCGGTCGATATCGAGCACCACGCCCGTCGCGGCGACGCGGAACGGCGTCGCTTGGGAGGAGAGCTGCGTGAAGGCGCAGAAGCCGGTGTTGGGCGCTGAGACGGGACCATAGAACGTTGCATAGCAGTGCATGTGCTCGGGTGTATACTTCAACATCCGCATCCGGATCGAATGGTCGTCGAGGGAGTATATCGGCGCCGTCTGGAATCGACGCCAGCCCAAGCTCAACACGAGCGGATCATTCGTCTTGAGCGTGCGCGTGTACCACCTGTGGCGCTTGATGCGGACCTGCACGAAACCCATGCGTTCTTCGGCTGGTAAGAGGCCACCGGCGATGAGTGGGCGATGCGGCGAGAAGTGGAGGACCATCTCGGCGGGGACGTCACGTAGCTCGAGGCGGACGTACGCCCCGGGCCTGTAGCCTTCAACGCGTGCACGGGTCTCGGGATCCGCGTCCTCGAACTCGGCGCGGTTGAGGGCGGCTTGACGCGCGAGCTCGTCCTTTTGCTCGTCGTAGAACGTGGCGGCGGCCTGAGCGTCGGGGTCATCGTACTGCTCGTCGAACTTGCGCTTGAGCAACGCTTTCTTCTCTGCGAGTGCCTTGGCTTTCACCGCCTCGGGATCATCCTCTCCCGCGTCCTCAGCGTCGGAGTCAGCATCGCTACCCTCCTCATCGCCATCGGCTTCTCCACCTTCGTCCTCCTCGCCGCCCTCACCATCGCCACCCGTGATGAACAGATGCCTTATAGAATCCAACATCTCCTCGTCCGCCCACTTCTGCAACTCCTCAGCGCCCAGCGGCTCCTTCGTAGCATCAACCACCTCCTCGCCCTCCTCAGCCGGCGCCGCCTTCTTCACCTTGAAGAACTCCTCTTCATCGTCTTCATCTTCGTCCATCCTATCATCGTCTTCCTGCGCCAACGCATCGTTGGAGAGGACTTTCGACGGTGGGAGAGATGTAGCGTAGATGAGGCGCGTCCAGTCTTTTCGCCGTGATCGGGCGTTGGTGCGCATGAAGTCCTGTGCGCGGTCTGCGAGATTCGCTTTCCACCGTGGTACGTCCTCATCGTCCTCCGCGTCGCTGCCCTCCTCATCCTCGTCACTCGGTAAATCCGCACCGCCCTCGCCGTCCCACCGCATGTCGTCCTGATCTCCGCCCAAGTCCAGATCAGAGTCGCTGTCCGCATACGCAACATCTCCGCCGCCCTCGTCGTCGTCGCGTGCATGTCCATGCCCACCGAGAGAACGACGACCCGTCCGCGGCGCAGTCCGACCTGACCAGCCCGTACTCGGCCCCGGCTCCGCCTCATCATCATCGCTTCCCCACTCTTCCTCATCTCCATCCTCCTCGCTGCTGCCCGACTCCTCATCGCTACCCTCCTCGCCGCTCTCATCCTCGTCGCTCTCAGATGCGGCAAGATCGTCGAGCGTGACGCGGCTCGACGAAGGGTCGACAGAGAGGTTCTTGGACGAAGAACCGAAGAGCCTGATCTCCCTACGCGCGACGACGTCTTCGAGCGTTTCGGGTGCCTCTTGGAGGTCCATGACCATCTCCTCTCCTTCTCCCTGCGGCACTACAGTCACAGGTTCAGCCCATGTCATAATAAGACAAAGACTTGAAGAGAAAACACGTACGCTCGTTGTTCCCCCGGCTAAAGCTGCCCGGCACATTAATATACACCGCGTCCTTATCATACATCACGCCCCCCACATCGCTCATAGGCGCATGCACGACCAACTTCTTCTTCTCGCTCAGCTTCCTCCTCTTCTCGCTATCCGCGTCGGGCATCGGACACGGGTCCGCCAGCTGCTGCACGCTCTGCACGTCCAGATCGCCCACGCCCGGCACATGCACCTTCGTCCCCGTCCGCAGATTCGTCCCGCGCAAATACCCATACATCGTCACGACCCTATCGCACTTGCCCCCACTAACGCGCACATCCTCGCGCGGCGTCAGGTCCTCGAACCGGTCCGCCAGCACATACGGGTGCGTATTCCGAAACACCAGCGGCCGGAACTTCATCACGCTGATGAACCTGCTCAGGTTCAAGATCTCCGCGTCGGGGTAGCGCCCGTTCATCACGCCCGAGAGGTAGAACAGCTTCGCGCCCTGGTAGATCTCGGCCCAGAAGCGCTTTTTGAGCGCCTTTTTCGTGGCGCGGAGCGTCGCGGCTTTTTTGACGAGGTCGAGGTGCGTGAGGATGCCGATTACTTTGGGGAAGCCGTGGGATTGGAGGATGTTGAGGAACTCGAAGGTTTCCTGTGTACCGTATAAGCATTGTAGTGCAAAGAATCATTGAGCTGGGAACACACCATCTCGAAGCCGTAAGAGCCGTCGATCATGAGCAACACCAGATCCGCGACCTTGCCCACATCGACCATAGAATTCAAGTCGTTCGCGCACTCCATAAACGTCAGCCTGCGCTTCTTCCCACTGACGACGGTCACGGGTCCACGGATATCGTTCATGGACTGTTTGGTGTAGCGCCTGACGAGGGACTTGACGAGCGTGCTCTTGCCCACGCCGGGCGGACCGACGATGGCGACGACGACGGGAGGCGGCTCGTCATCGGGCGTACGGTTGACTAGAGGCACGTGCAGTCGTGTCTGGTCCTTCTCGGCAGCGCGCCGACCCTGGCGTTCTGCGCGTCTACCAGACTTGGGCGCGAAGGCCTGACCAGAGTATATTAGCACGTATACAGGAGCTATAGTACAGTAATACGCACCTTTTCGTTGAAGCCCTTTTGCTTCTCCTTACCCTTGGACTTCTTGTCCGCTTTGGCACCAGACTGTGCCGGCCTATGGGCCTTATGCGCGCGGTCGTCCATGGCAGGTCGTACCAAGCCGCGCCTTCTCAAAAATCCAAGAATTGATGGGGCCACCGGCATGCCGGCCCGCGCTTTGCTCACGTGATGCCCCACTTCAGTTCGAGTTTTCTTGCGCTGCTGATGGCTTGAACCACATCGCTATCTCACACTCCCACTACGACATGGCGCGCCGCACGCCGAGCGTTTTCGACTACAGCATTGCCTACGACGATGGCGAGCGTAGCCGGGCCGCCCTAGAGCGTAATCTGCAGAACACGGAGCACAGCCTGCACCTGAGCAGCCACCCGTCATCGGACGACTACAGCGTCGAGTTTCCGCGGCACAACAGCGGGCCGCAGCCCGACTTTAGCAATTTCCGGAGCATCGAGTACAGCTATGACGACGGCGAGCACGAGCAGAGCAGCCATGTCAACGCTTGGTCGTACCGCACGATGGACGACGAGGAGGGCATCACCCATCCCACGCTCTCCACCGCCGCGCACCACGCCAGCGCACTCACGCTCAGCGCTGGGCTCGGTGGCAGGGCCGCGCGTAGGAGGAGAGAAGATATTAGTCTGAGCGGTGCAGAATATGACCCCGAGCGGCCACTGGACGACCTCGTGGCCAACATTTCGGCGCTGGACCCCGACGACACCCGCTCGCGCACTCAGAACCACGTATGTTTATTCCATTTCCACTCCAAACATACATATTTCTAACATACGATGTAGTACCGCCAACAACAACGACGTGTCCCGCCCTCTGCGTCATCGTCAGCCTCAGAGTCGTCCTCGGGCCCAGCCACACCACCCGCCGGCTCCCCGCGCTCAAACCTCTCCGCGCACCTCACCCACCTCGCCTTCTCCCCCAAACGCCCCCGCTCCCCTGCGCACGCCAAGTCTCGCTCCGCCACCAACTACGCCCGTGCCCAGTCACCGCTGCACGACGACCCCACCCCGCGCGCCCGCAAAGTCCGCTCGTCCTCGTCCGCCCACGTCAATGTGCACCCCGAGATCAACGTGCGCCCACCGACGCCCTCAACGGCCGACTCCAAGTTCACGCGCATGGCCAAGAGCCTGGCACGGGACATTGAAGCTGCCCAGGCGGACGGCAATCTCGCGCAGAGCACCATCCGCGGCGGGAACAAAGGCCACCAACAGCCCTCCCGCAGAGCCGACGACCTCTACGGCAACGCCCACTCCTACACCCGCGGCGGCGTGCATCTCCCCGACGTAACAGGCCTAACAGCAGCCGTCGAAACGCCCTTGAAAGGCGGCGTCCGCCATTACCCGTACAGGGACGACGGGCGCACCGACAGCGCCGGCAAAGCCCGCCTCGTCGAGATGCTCGGCCTCGTCCAATCCCGCCTCCTCCAGCTCGAAGGCGAGAACGCCGGCTCCGCCCGCCGCATGCGCGAGCTCGAAGCCGAGCTCGAGTCCTGCCGCGCAGACGTCGCGTCCGAGCGTGCACGCATGCTGCGCCGCGAAGCCGAGCAGGACGAGATATTGCGGCGCGTGGAGAGTGCCAATTCGAAGGCGCGGGCGGCGAACGATAAGATGGTGCGGGACAATGAGCGGAGCAGACGTGAGATTGTCGAGGGCGAGCAGAGGCGGTACCGTGAAGCTGTTGAGGAGAAGAAGGCGCTCGAACAGCTCATCGGGACGCTGCGCGGCCATATGAGTCGTTTGACGGACGAGTTGGCTAGTCAACAGGGTCTTCTGGACGAGCTTCGGGGTATGCGCGAGGCAGATGCGTCGACGCTACACGATAAAGTCCGCGAGGTCGACCGTCTACGGACAGAAGTCGAGCGTGTTGCAGGCGAGGTCGAGGTTCTGCGCGGGTTCGTCGAAGAGGGACTCCGCGAGCGCCGTGCTCGGCATCCGGATGCTTCTCAAGTGCCTCTTCCCGAAGAGGATGAAGAGTCCGCCAGCGACCGCTCTCCATCGCCCGTACCTACGGAACCTCTCACCGACGACGAGCGTCAACCTGCTCCGGCTCAGGCGCAGAACCTCACCTACGACGAATCACAATCGTTGTACTACGCTCCTCCACCCCCCGCCGAACGGACAACACGTACAGACCGAGCAACAGTCGATACCTCGCGCCCATCTCCTCGACCATACGTCGAGCAAAGCGAAATCGACCGTATCGCCGAAGAACTCTCCGAGCGTCGCAGTGCCTCGCGCAGCGGTTCTCTAGCAGGTTCATTATCGAGCGCCGCGCCTTCGCCCACCAACTCCCGCTCAAGACAAGGCTCACGCCCAGCCTCTGCATTATCAGGCTCAATACCCAGCCGCCACGCCGCCTCACCCACCCCCGCTCCCCCGCGCCCAACAGCACCCACACCCGCCCACGCAACCGGCCACCACCAGCCCCACGCCCCGCTCGACGACAGCCCCCTCCCCCACCGCCCGCGCCGCTCCAAGGACAAAGACTCCAAATCCAAAGGCAAAGCCCGCGCCCAGCCCGCAGCAGAGCATGAAACGCCCTTCCCGCAGATCCGCGGCGAGCGCCTCGAAAAGCTCTTCTTCTCCGCGCCCGCGCACAACTCGCGCACATGCGCCGTCTGCGCGCGCCGGAGCGGCGCGAAGCGAGATAAGCAGCCTTTGTGGGCTCGCATTCCCTCTGGCTCGTCCGCGCATCCCCAGAGGAATCGAGAGGAAGAAGTCGACGAGGGCTTCGAGGAGGGCTCGGACGCCGACAACCATTCCGCCGCGGGAGGCGAACGCGGTAGCGGGCCGAACCTCGACTTCCTGCGCCCTGGCGCGCGTCTCCCGCCCCAGACTGTCCTCGTGCGCGTCCTGCGCGAGCTCGAAGATGACTTCACGCACTATAAGGGCATCTATCTGGAGTTGGCGCAGCAGTATGGGCTTATGGACCCGGTGTCGAATGTCGCGAAGAGGAATGTGCTGGCTGAGCATTTGAGGGAGGTTATTGATGTGCTTGAGCAGCGGGTACGTTCTTCTCTATTAAATATAATTGGGATTCAAGCTGACGTGTGTGTATTTGCAGGGAGATCAAATCGCGAGCTTGTACGATTTGCTCACGTATGAGGATAAGCCGGATATGAAAGCTCAGGGCAAGCGGCCTGAATCCCGCGCTGCACGGCCCGAGTCGCGGGCGACGGGCTCGAGGAAGCACGCTGCCTTCGTATAGCCTCCTCCCATTGACCGCCTCCCTCCCCTCTCCTATCAGTAGTAACATTTCACTAGTTCTCCTCCGTGTCTCTGTTCCCTTCCGCATACACACATCTTGTAACATATCTTTGCATCCTTCCGTTCTCGTTCCCCAGTCCCGTCGATCATGCGCCTTCATTTGAATTTTGGCCGTCGGACTCGAGCTTCGCATCGTTTCGCGCTCCGTTCCGTCTCGTACACACCGCATTTTGTACATCCGCAATACATTCGCATTAGTCCGCACGCCGATCTTAGTCGGGTGCGTCGCCAATCAAAGCGCGTCGTATGAGAACTGTAGCATGAAGGCAAGTGGGCGAGATCGTGTTTGGTCAAGAGATACGCCTGCAGGTCGAGTGAGATGGGTGCACAAGGAGCACCCAGGGTATCCAGAGTGAGCGTGTGCAGGCCGTGTGACGCATCCGCCCAACTCCGAAGCCGCGCGTAGAGCGCATGTCGAACGTTGGACCAAACCATCGTCACCTCGATTGCGAAGCTCATTCGAACTCTGTAGACTCTCCGAACATATTCGTACCGACGCACTGTGCAACGTGTGAACGCGACTATATGGATCTCACTACCACTCTCCCCGCCGAGATACTCGCACATATCTTCGCCTGCGTACAGGCCGTCGATCCCATGACCGGCAACCGAGACGACGCGCCAGGCTGGACGCGTGTCACCGCTGTCTGTAGTAGATGGCGGCATGTCGTCATCGCAGAGGCGGCTCTGTGGGCACACTGGACACCTGAGCTATGCCTGTTTGGCGGGGGACTCGAGATGTTCATCGCACGCAGCAAAAGTGCTCTAGTCAGCGTATCAACCGGAAAATCTAGATCATGTAGCCAGAGGTTTCGCCTCCTCGAAACGCTGGTCAAACACGTCAATCGCGTCCGCGCCCTGTCTCTATCTTGCGTCGACACGGATCACGATCTATACCTTGTGCCTATTAAGATCGTAACAGACAACTCCTTTGAATTTCTGGTATCCTGTCATGTGCAGATTGACTATCTCTTCCCGGAGGACATAAAGGTCCCCTTAGTCCTATTCCGAGGACAAGCGCCCCGTCTTCGACACCTTGTCTTGGACTTTCGCCTGCTATCACTCGATGTCCTTGACTGGACATCGTCGATCTTCAACAACCTTATCTCTCTCGACCTAACGATGCTACGCGAGCAGTACATCTTTGACACGGCGGACATTGTGAACCCCCTCCGACGAATGACGAATCTCTCTCTGCTTGCAATCGAACACTGGGAAGACTTTGACACGCATAGCGAAGACGAGGACGAGGCGGAACACGGGGGCCTGGACGCCAACGTCTCAGCAAGAGCCGGTATCAGTGCTCGCGCGTCCGGCGATCCCATCGCCGTCCTGCCTTGTCTGAAGCTGTTTGTCATCGTCGCACGACCTGACTACTTCCGTCGCTTCTTGCCCAATATCTTACTACCACCGTCCGCTTCTGTAGCGCTCGCATCTCGCCTTGTCGCACGGAACGCGTTGTCGTTTCAGGACTACGAAGCCCTCTCCCGGGGTTTGTTATCGGACAGCCGCACCGCAAAAGTCGCACCATATCGCGCAGCATACCTAGCTTTCGACACCTGGCCACGAGAGTGCGTTATCCTCAAGTGCACGCACGAGCCACTCCCGAGCAGCGCCTATCCCGGACAACATCCGCGCAGCGTATTCCATGCTAAAGAAAGGCATTACAGCGACAACTATGATCTATCGCTTCACCTCGCAGAGCCACACATATCCAACTTTCTCCCCCACCTATTCGCGGATCATGTTACAATGTTGACATTGAACAAACTTCCGAGCAATCTGAACGCACGTCTGCTACGCCCCTTCACCGGGGTTACGCATCTCCGTATCCTAGGTCCGCTCAGCAAGTCAACTCTATCCTTTCTCTTCGAACCAGAAGACCTCGTCCTTCCAGCCTTACAGGAGATCGACTTTGCGGACATTCGCGGTCTCAAAGACCTCCTTGCCTACTTCAAGTTTGGATCACGCCATGGTTGGCATCACTTCTGGGCCCTCGAGAGGATTCTCAGCGTGCGAAGAGAAGAAGGACACCCTCTCAGAAGTGTATATGTGCACGTGCAGGACGAGAGTCAGCTCGTCAATGAGGGTTGCCTGAAGGATGTGGGGTTCGGTAATTGGAAGTTGGACAAAATGCGCTCGGCTCTTGCGCTATTGGATGACTTTGATGAGGTTCAGATTGTTGAGAAAGACATTGACGTGTTCCTGAAGGACTCTTGAACGGTAGCGGATGAGACTCAGCCAGATGGACTTGTAGGTTGACAATAGGCGTTAGTTACACCTGTACGATCTCAAAACCCTATGGTTAACTTTTGAGTTCTGCGATCTAAGCATGATCCTCGCACGATCACAGGGTATGGCTTCGTATCTTAAGTGTCTCGGCTCGCTCAGTGATCGTCGTAAAAGCACCCACTACATCAACCAGGCCGTACTTCAGCCAACTCCGAGTCGCGCGTTGTTGACATCGTGATCGTGATTCATCGCGTTTTCAACACGAACCGCCACCATCCCCTCTGATATCGCTGTTCCACCCGCCGAGATCTGAACCCCGCGGGACTACACATCTCGACAACTATATCAAATTTTGACATTCGGGCTTACGCACATTGAGGCCATGCCGCCCAACCTGCTGCCTTCGAGCAGAGCACCGCAAGGCTGTAGAAGAAAGACGACGTGCACGCATGCTCCACCACGAAGCCGAGCAGGACGAGATATTCCGGCGTGTGGAGAGTGTAAATTCAAAGGCGCAAGCGGCGAATGATAAGACAATGAGCGGAGTGGACGTGAAATCGTCGGGGGCGAGTAGAAGCGGTACCGCGAAACCGTCGAGGAGAAGAAAACGCTCGAACAGCTCGTCGGGATGCTGCGCGGTCGTATGGGTCGCCTGACGGACGAGCTGGCTAGCCAACAAGGTCTTCTCGACGAGCTACGCGGTATGCGTGAGGCAGACGCGTCGACGTTGCACGATAAAGTCCGCGAAGTCGACCGTTTACGGACCGAAGTCGAGCGTGTCGCCGGCGAAGTCGAAGTTCTGCGCGGGTTCGTCGAGGAGGGGTTACGCAAACGTCGCGCTTGGCGTCCGGACGCTTCTCAAGTGCCTCTGCCCGAAGAGGATGAGGAGTCCGCCAGCGATCGTTCTCCATCGCACGTCCCTACCGAGCCTCTCACCGACGATGAGCGCGAACCCGCTTAAGCCCAGGCGCAGCACCGTACCTACGGCGAATCACAATCGCTGTACTACGCCCCTCCACCCGCAGCCGAACGCACAACACGCACAGACCGCGAGCGTCGAAGTGCTTCGCGCAGCAGTTCTCTTGCTGGCTCGTTATCGCGCGCTGCACCTTCGCCGACCAACTCCCGCTCAAGACAAGGCTCGCGTCCGGCTTCTGCGTTAACAGGGTCGATACAAAGCCGACGCGCCGCATCACCCAACACCGCTCCTCCGCGTCCTACCGCACCTACACCCGCCCACGCAACCGGCCAACACCAGCCGCACGCCCCGCTCGACGAGAGCCCCCTCCCTCAACGGCCCCACCGCTCTAAATAAGAAGACCCCAAAGGCAAAGCCCGCGCTCAACCATCCGAACAACAAGAAACGCCCTTTCTCCAGATCCGCGGCGAACGCCTCGAACAGCTCTTCTTCTCCGCGCTCGCGCACAACTCGCGCACCTGTGCCGTCTGCACTCGTTGAAGCGGCGCAAAGAGGGATAAGCAGCCTCTATGGACTCGTATCCCCTCTGGCTCGTCCGCGCGTGCTCAAGCGAGGGAGCGAGAAGAAGAAGTTGACGAAGGATTTGAAGAGGGTTCAGACGCCGACAACCACTTGAAGACGACTTCACGCACTATACGGGAATCTATCTGGACCTGGCGCAGCAGTATGGGCTTATGGACCCCATTTCGAACGTTGCGAAGAGGAACGTGTTGGCCGAGCATTTGAGGGAGGTTATTGATGCGCTCGAGGAGCGGGTACGTGTTTTCTGCTGCATATGATGGAGAGGGGCGCTAACCTGGGTATGTGTTTGTAGGAAGATCAGATTGCGAGCTTGTACGATCTGCTCACGTACAAGGATAAGCCGGATACGAAAGCTCGGGGCAAACGGCCTGAGTCGCGGGCGACGGGCTCGAGGAAGCACGCTGCATTCGTCTAGTCATCTGTCCTTCCTCTTCCCCTCTTATCAGTAGTAGCATTCCAATCGTTCCCGACCCCCGTCTCCCGTTGCATATCCTCATCCTGTATCATACTTTCACATCTACTGGTTTCAGCCCGCTTTCTTCGGCCCGTTCCAGTGCCGTCGGACTTTGAGCCTTACATCTTTTCGTTCCGTATGCACCGCAATTTGTACACCTGCAATGCATTCACATAGTCTGCCAGCCACGCTTACTAGCGCTGCACGGCGCATATCAAGTGCTCGCATCTGAGTGAACATCCGAGTGCAAGAGCGTGGAAATCGTGAGGCCGTACGCGCCTGTGACGCGTGTCGAACGTTGACCCGAACCACCACCACCTACTCCTCCAAAGTTCCCTTAAGCAATAAACAGAGCCTCATATTACTCTACTATTGTGATCTAGAGCTGGTATCTCGAAATATCGAAAGCCCCCATATGGATCTAACCGCCACGCTCCCCGCCAAGATCCTCGCGCATGTCTTCGCCTGCGTACAGGCCGTTGATCCCATAACCCGCAACCGACACAACGCACCAGGCTGGATGCGTGTCACCGCTATCTGTAGGAGATGGCGACGTGTCGCCATCGCGGACGCGACTCTATGGGCACACTGGACACCTGATTTATGCCTGTTCGGCGAAGGCTTCGAGCTGTTCATCGAGCGCAGCAAAGACGCTCTCCTCAGCATATCCAACGACAAGCTGACCTACGAAGAATCTTCCAATGTCTTGGCTTGCATCGCAATTAATGTAGATCGCATCCGCACCCTATACTTGGAAGGCGTCGACTACGACGACGATCTGCATATCGCAAAGATGCTGACGCGAAACGTGTTCAGTTCTCTCGTCAGCTGTCATCTGCGAAATTACTTGGGATCAGATTGGATCAATGACCCTCTACGGCTCTTCGAGGGACTTGCACCGCGCCTTCAGCACCTCGTGCTGCATTTGCCCGGGCTACCATTCGGTATCCTAGACTGGCAATCGCCGATCTATGACAATCTTGTTTCTCTCGATCTGACAATGTTGCGCGAACAACACATCTTCGATACAAATGACATCGTGGACGCACTTCGTCGAATGACGAAGCTATCCTCATTGGCAATTGCGCACTGGGAGGGCAGCGACACGCAAAGCCCGGATGAGGATTCGGACGAGGAACTCAGTGTCGATGTCCTACCCAACAGTGGTACCAACAGACAGCAACGCGTCGCACACGGTCCTTTCGCCGTCCTAGCTCGTCTAGAGCTCTTCGTGATCGTTGCACGTCCCGACTACTTTCCACGCCTCTTGCCCAAACTTTCACTTCCGCCGACCGCGTCAGTAGCGCTCGCGTCTCATTTACCTGCACGCAATACCCTTTCGACTCGAGAATACACTTCCCTCGGCCATGGCCTGATCTCAGACTACCGCACTGCGCCGGCAGCACCGTATCATGCGGCTTACCTCGCCTTTGACACCTTTCCGAAGGAATGTGTCGTTCTCAAGCTCACGCACCAGCCTCTCTCACGCAGCGCATATCCCGGGCGCTATCCGCATAGCGTGTTCGGCGTTAAACAAAGGCGCCACAACGAAGACTACGACCTAGCGCTTCACCTCGCAGAGATGCACATTCTCAACTTTCTTCCCCACCTATCCGTGGATCGTGTGACAGTGTTGACATTGAACAACCTTCCGACGCATCTGGACGCATGTCTGCTACGCCCCTTCACCGGGACCACGCATCTCCGCATCATTGGCCCGCTGAAGAAGTCAACTCTATCCTTCCTCTACAAACCCGAAGACCTCGTCCTTCCAAACCTACAGGAGATCGACTTTGCGGACATTTGTGGTCTCAAGGACCTTCTTGCCTGTTTCAAGTCCGTATCGCACCGTGGTTGGCATCAGGAGTACTTCCGGGCCCTCGAGAAGATCCTCAGAGTGCGGAGAGAAGCGGGACACCCTCTCAGAAGGGTATATGTGCATGCTCAAGACGACATTCAGCTTGCCAACGAAGATCGCCTGAATGACGTGGGGTTCGGGCATTGGAGGTTGGATCAGATGCGCTGCGTTCTTGCACTATTGGATGGCTTTCCCGAGGTCCAGATCGTTGAGAATAACGTCGACGTGTTCATGAATAACGAATAGATGGTTGTGGGAACGGTCTCAGCTAGATAAACGCGTAGGTTGACGATAGGCATTGTGTACTCTAGTTCATACGACTCGAATACCATACGTACCTACTGCGGATTGAAGAGTGATACCCTCGTGAAATCATAGGAACTGCTTGGTGTCTCAGGTAGTGAGCCCAATGTGCTTGGTGTCCGCGTAAAGGTAATCATTACAAGTACCGGGCCGTATTTCATCCAAACTCCGGGTCGCGCGCGCTTTGTTCGCATCACTATCCGTCGCATCTTGGACACGAACCATCACCATCTCCAATAATACCACTATCCTACCCGCTGAGACTGAGATGTCGCTCGACTACACGACACGGTTGTCAGACGAGATTCTATTGCTCGTCTTTACGAATCTTCGGGACATGCTGCCTGTCCAGCTTCGTCCGAGCAGTGCACCGCAAGGGCCGCGGCTAAACTGGCTCACGGACCACGATCGCCGTTTGGGCTGGCCAGTCGTCACGTTCGTGTGCTCTCGCTGGAGGCGCATCGCAATTTCCTCTCCAGCACTATGGTCGGAAGTGGTTCCCCACCTAGGAGGAGGCTGGTTGTCGGAGTTTGGGCGACGCAGCAAGTCCATGCCGCTATCTCTCAATCTGAGAGAACTTCCCATAACAACACCATCGAACATCATTACCATCTTGCCAGCCGTTCGCGAGTTCTTGAGGCAGAACCAAGCCCGAATACACACTTTGGAACTCTCGCAAGTCTGGGACTTCCTCGAAGACGAATACTGCTTCGAGCATCTTGAACGTCTCGTCGCAGACGTGCATCGCCGCGGCCCGCATACCCGAGATGCGAACATCATATTCCGGCTGTCGGCTCCCAGGCTTCGCTATCTCAAGCTCACATTCGGTAACTTCTACAGTCGTTCTACCCGCATTGACTGGCAAGCGATGAACTTCCATGAGCTTGAGACCCTCGTCCTCAAGCTCAATCACGATGTTGCCTCTCTGCAGATGCCCTCGATGTTTAAGGCCCTTCAGAACATGCCACGACTATCAGAACTCTCGATAGTAGCACCCAATCTGAGTCACTCTTTCCCCCTCGTTTGTGTGCAGTCCTGCCCGTGCCTGAGGTATCGCCCATACTGTTTACCGGCGCTTGCTCGACTGAGTCTCAACGACGACTTTCGCTCCACTGCACACTTCCTTCAACATGTTCGCGTCCCCTCCGTAACCTATGTTCGCGTGAATGAACGCGGTCTAAGTGGAGCCGAGGCCGTTCGGTTCGTGACTGCTTCTGTTGCCCAGGCGACGCAGCCCGTTCTCAAGGCCCTGCCGCGCTTCTACGCTGCGACAGTATGGAGCCCGGATCCCCTTTCCAAGAGCATCTATGGTCAGAGAGATCGTCAGGCATACGCTACTCACGCAGTAGTCACTCTGACACGATCATCAACGCCGTCATCCTTCTCCATTGAGCAGCCGTACGACTTCCCTCTCCACACCGTCGTCGTGGGATTACCTCTGATTGAGGGCACCATCAGGGAGCTCGCGTCTGCGTATCACTTCCGCAGTCTACGTGCACTCTCCCTCGAGGGCTACAAAGGCGGTGTCTGGATCGGCACGCTCATAGGTTGCGTCGCGCTACGTGGATTGGAGTTTTTGCGCCTATCACGAGGGTACGCTGATGGACACGCACTGAATTCGTTTCTCTGCGACAACGATGAAAGTGGCAACTTCCCTTTCCCCAATCTGCGTACACTCGATCTTCTCGCAAACTTCACTCTGAAACAACTCCTTGCGAGTGTCACTCTTTCTCTGCATGGAAGCAAGCTCGACGGTACTGGCTTCGTGGCTGCGCCGCAAACTGTGCTAGAGAACATCGTGCATACACGGCGCGACGTCGGATACCCGCTGGATGACGTATACGTTCGTATCGAGGAGAGTATCGCGGAGCTTAGGGCAGAGGAGTACTTCGAACATATGAGTTGCGAGCTACTCGACGATGAGGGGTTATTAGCAGCAGTGGCGCGATTGGAGATGCTGGGTGAAGTGCGGATAGTCGGTCGAAGTTTCGCCGTCGAAATGCCAGCGGGTAACACGCGATAAAATCCGGTGTAGATGTACGGAAACATGATACTTTCGCAATTTATCGCGGCAAGTGTAGCATAGAGCAGGACTTTTGGGCATTACACAATACGCATACGGGAGTGAGCGTCGTGAGTAAGCCGCGACGTGTTGGTCATGCGTCGACGCGATGCGTGTTTAGACCTTGGTCTGAACCACCAACACGCCCGTCTCCCCTTCTCGTAACGTGCCAATGCCACATCCAGCGCCCTCTACCATGCCCATGCTTTCTATACCCTAAGTCGAATGAAGGACATGGTCACTCCACAGCAACAACCCCTTTACGTATTTGCTACCGCCTCGTCGCGCGTCTCGCGCTTCGTTCCACACTTCGCGCCTAACTCACGACGTTATGTGGAGCGAACAGAAGGCCACGACACTTCCGGATAGCTAATCTCAGCGTGAGTCGCAGTGTATCTCTCGGAGGCTCTATATTGAACGCCGCACTTTCGCATACAGAGGAACCCTCGTAGCCCCCCATATTGTCAGGCGCGTCATACGACCCCGGCCTACCACATATGTTAGGCTGGTATAACTGCGCTACGCTCCACGGTAGCTCTATCCCAGGCAAATCTCACGCATGGACCGACGCACATGTTCGTAGTATGCATGGACACGATCTTCCTCATGTCACCGCACAACCCGCGCGTTGGTGCAGTAACGCGAGGAGATGTGCGTCCGAGGGTGCTTCGTTGGGCGCATGTACACCCGAGCGGCTAGGCAAGAGATCGAGAGAGAAGAAGGTCGACGAGAGCTTTGTGTAAGGCTTTGCGGAACCTTCAACTTGTACAGCCCTGCCCGTGCGCTCCGATCCGTTCTTCTGGATGTGCTATGTGAAGCCGTCTTGAGCTCGCGTACTACAGGGTCGTCCATCTGGTGCTGCTGCACCAGCACGACTCAATGGGCTCGGGGTTGATTGTCCAGAGAGAATGACGTCTTAGAATCAGGGAAGTGTTTGACGCACGAGAGTAAAGGGTACGTCTCGCTGGTAGTTTTTAACCCGAGTAAGAACACTGATCTCGTGGGCGTAGGATAACAGGATCCCGGCACACTACGATCTACTTTCATACGAGGAGAAACCGCAGCGCAGCATTCAGTACAATGAGTCGCGAGCTACATGTCCACAGGCGAGAGCCGTACGGGCTCCGGGTCCGAAGTACTACTGTACCATGTCATCTCAATGCGTTTTCTTTTTCATATCAGCCTTGCATTTGTGCACTCTTGTCCTCATCATATCTCTGCACATCGCAACCGTATCATGACCTGTAAACCTTGAACAGGCTCTGCGCGCATCTTGGCAATAACTACATAACCTTGCCCGACCGGGATGCCGGAAGCCTGGCCAGCAAGTGATGCGAACTGTTGCGAAGCACAAAGTCATGAGGCCGTCGGAGGTGCGTGCCTTGTGCGTGCCGTTCGCGACGCGACGCGCGTCGAACGTTGACCTAAACCGCCACCACCTCCTTCGCTCCTTCCGAGGCCACCCTAAACATTTCTTAGATCTTTCACGTCGCGCCATACGCCTCTGTCCAATTGGATATTTGACTTCAGGAAGCAGCCATATGGATCTCACCACCAATATACCCGACGAGATGCTCATGCGCATCTTCGCCTGCGTGCAGGTCGTGGACCCTATCTACTGCGTGGACCGTGCTTATTTTGGCTGGTTGTACATTACCTTTGTTTGTAGAAGATGGCGGCGTGTTGCCATCGCAGATGCGACGCTCTGGACACATTGGACGCCCATCCTCTGCATGAGTCCGTGGGGTATGGGCACATTCATGGAACGTAGCAAAAGTGCTCTGATCAGCGTGTCCATCCGGGGCTACTGTCCCGATCACGATGCATTCAAAGTTCTTCGAGCTATGAAGGACAACTGCATACGCGTGCGCGCGTTCTCTTTATTGTGTCGCAGGACATATCCCGACATCAGCTCCGAAGTCATGGAGATCTTGGCGAATGTCCCGTTTGAGTCTCTGACATCCTGTCACCTTCAGAGCTTGCACCTGGAGACCGTTGATGCGAAGGGATGTCTTTCTTTGTTCAAAGGACGCGCACCTCGCCTGCAGCACCTCGTTTTCGATCTGCCTCGGCTCCCGTTCAACATCCTTGATTGGACGTCCACTATCTTCGATAATCTCTTATCTCTTGATCTCATCATGCTGCGCGAAGACCACCGCAACACAGTTACCCTTCTCGATACTCTTCGCCGAATGCCAAAGCTGTCCTCATTGGTGATTGATCTTCGAGAAGAGAGCAGCGCCAGGTCGAGTGAAGGCCCGGGAGAGGGAGTTGTCGGAATCCCTCTTCGCAATTCAGACAGCTCAATTGTACATCTGCATCGTCTGGAAAAGCTTGTTGTCGTTTCACGACTGGACGACTTGGTTCGCCTATTGAACGGCATCACCGTATCATCATCCACTTCAGTGGCACTTGCAACTCGCAGGCCCGGAAGTACATCCCTCCAGGATGAATGGTACACAGCTCTGATGTATCATTTACTCTCGGCCAGCCGCATAGCTGAACTCTCGCCATTCAGTGCTGTCTATCTTTCCTTCGAAGGAGGGCCTGCCAATGTGAACAGTGTCATCTTGAAGCTTACCTACGAGCCTCTACCTTACGCAGCACATGGCAAGCTGCGTACACATGGTACACGTTCCTCCCCAGAGATACCTCGCAAGGACGACTATGATCTATCGCTTCAACTTCCTGTGTCGGATATATTGAGAATTCTTCCCACTCTGTCGACTCGAATAGAACACGCCACGATGATGACCCTCGATAAGCTACCTTACAACTTCGACACGCGCCTTCTACTCCCCTTCTCCAGGGTCACTCATCTTCGTGTCCTCGGCGCGTTTGATAGACCAAAAATTTCCTTCCTTTTCGCGCCCGAGGAAGTTCTCCTTCCTGCCCTGCGAGAGATCGACTTCGCCGATGTCGACAATCTTGACAAACTCGCATCATGTTTTAGGTTCGGGTGGCATGCCAATTATACTCACTTTTGGGCGCTCGAGAAGCTTCTCAACACGCGTAGAGATACGCATAGGCCCCTCAGCAGAATCTACCTTCATGTTGAACGCGATCTTCAGCGCCTCAGAGAGGAACGCCCATCTAGGGATGTGATTTTCCACTACTCCTCGGATGTCTCCTTGACTTTGCCGTGTCTCGGGCTTCTAGCGGACTTCGCTGAAGTCCGAATCGTCGGGAGGGACATCGATGTATTCACAGAGGACGCGTGAGAATTATCGAGGCTTCAAAGCTTTCCTAGAGATCCACAGCTGTCGTCAGTAGAGGTAGCATACATTTGTACGTGACGTAGTACTTGGTCATCATTGCATTTTCCCCCGCATTTGAGAGTTCCGGCAACTCAGACCTTCACCAACCCTCATACCTGACTAAACTCCGCTACATCGACCTCCCTCACCACAATCTTCGCTCTATCCTCGAGACCTGGGGCTCAGGCGGCCTTTCAGACGTCTCAGATCGGTTCCCGACCTTCGAAAGAGCATACAAGGCGCGCCTGGAGATGGGCTTGCCACATTTGACCTTCTGTCTGCACGTCGCGGAAGAGATGATAGTGATCAGAGAGGGCAGCTTAGCAGGGACCAGTTGCGCGTCCCTCGGACTGGACACGGTCTTGAAGTCTATCGGAGCTCTGGCGAAGTTGAGATGCGTGAGGATCGTGGCGAAGGGATGGGATATCCATACGCACATGCCTGTGGCGACCGAGATCTACGACGCCTGACGCGTTCGCATGCTGACCTGGTCGTTCCCTCACTGTGCTCCAGTGCGTCGGAGGGTAATCACTCTCACACGATCGGGTCGAATGGAAAGCCATGTATTTAGACACGGTACATGTATGATTGGCAGTTATGCGGAGAGAATTCGATGAGCAGAGGATGCATGTGTAACCTATGTAGCAGACAGGGCAGATCCAGACGTCCGAGCAATTGAACCCAAACAGAGAGAAAGGCCTGCAAATCCCCATGATCAGATTCTGAACGAGACGACAAAGACGTGCAAAGGGCCGACTTACGAGTATGGACCGAGGAAGAGTAATACACGAGTGCCAAACGAAAATAAACGAGTATGAGTGCGTGTTTGCGATGCCCCAGAACCCCGAACCTGCGCCGCTCGTCAGCACCCGCTCTTCACAGCGTCAAGACAAAGAAGGACATACCGTGCGAGCGGAGAGCCTACTTAAGCTCAGGCGCCGCGGCGCGCGCCGGCGCTATGCGGGTAAGACCCGGCGGCGACGCGCTGCCAGGGCGGTTCTGCGCCGCGAGTTGCGCCTCGACGACGGCCCACTGGCGCATGGTGTGCGCGATGAGCTCGTCCGTGTACTGGCGGATGCGCGCGTTGGCGGCGGGGGAAAGAGGACGGGCGGGCGTGTCGAACATGATTTGATTGGCTGATGCGGTGCGCGTGTGTGAGTGGGTGCGTGTGGGTGCGTGCGTGAATGGATTCGTGTGTGAGATTTGCGGAGGGCCGGTCGTGTATGTGGCGCTCGCAGACGGGAGTTGTTTATGGGTTGGACGAGAGGTGGAAGGTGATACGAGGGGAGGGCGCTTGCAGGTCGGAGGACAGGGCAATAAGTACGCCCTTGTGGGACCTGGCGCGTCATACAGACACGGCCTGGCTCGAGGGCGCCGAAGACGGCATTACCGGTTCTTCTTAGCGTAGGCGCTTGGACGCCGTGAGGGTGGGAGAGGGGCGCAGGCACGGGTTTGAGCGTAGGCGTACTACGTGACGTGCCCGTATTAGGCCGCCGGTTGATACAATGATCATCTGCTTCCGTATATTATACAGAAGTCGACATGAGAAAATCAGCGGCGGTCAAGTACAGTCTACCGAGAGAAAGTACGGTAAAGCCTGTCTTTACTACAGAACACGCGATATTGACTGGCGGAGTTGCGCGCCCGCGAGAACACTCAAGGCGCTAAGCGAGTGATGCAGTGAACGCATGTCCTGCGTCAGCGTTTATGGAAGGCTGTCCTCACAACGCAGCGGCGGTCTAGAGCACACTGCCCGTGACAATACAGTGGAGCAAATGTTCTGTGAGCGCGCAGGTCAAGCGTAGGTACGTTGAGGTCGAGAGCGAGGGCGATGAGTTAGAGTGGTGGGGCTCGCGCAAGATCGCGGGGAACGAAGCCGCCACTCCACAAGGAACGTGAAAGGAACAAGGTATGCGCATCACCTTAATCCGTTCACGACCGTCTCAAGGATGAGTGATGCAGCATCATCCTGGTATAACTAGCCGTGCGGTCCTATGCGTATCATCGCACCCGTTGGAGCTGTAGCTAGTGGGTACGATATGTCGGCATACGCCATCAGCGAGCAAAGAAGTCAGTTCTCTACGGTAAAATCGGCGCCGCGTACCTAGAGCACGCAGAATCAAAGGTCTGGCGCATTCCTATCTTCCGCGACGGAGAGGTTGCGGGTACGATCCCACGAAGACAGGCACGTTCGTCCCGAACAGGGTATACGAGACGGAAGACATCGAAGAGTAGCAAGCGCGCATCTACCTACCGTTCGTCGTTGGGGCGCGTTTCAAGTACGTATAATCCACAAGCATATAGCTTCAGAGCCATACCTTTACCACGTACGTATGGCTGGGGTATGACGGTCCAGACGAGCCATCGCGTCTATTGGAGCAGGAGGAAGTAGTACGATATGTCGAGCTATGGCAACGCTCCTTGCAAGAGAATGCAATCGTTATAGTCGAGGCATCTATCCTGGTATCAGCATGCCTGGAGGCGCCGAAGTACGACAGCGGAGTTATATCGTGGGCAGGTCGGACTGAAGAGTCCACATTCGCCCACGGGGAATAGGAGATCGCGCCGAGGACATCACACGCGTACGCGCGGATGATCATAGGACAGCGCGAGCTTGATAGCTCAGCTTCATTTTACGCCCGTATGTACCAGATACGGGCTATGGAGGCTCAAGGAGACGGGACGTGAGCAGGCGAGTAGGCCGATGCTTTGAACAGCTTCGAGCGCCGGAAGTGCGGTACGCGGGTCATGTAGTTGGAAGGACCATGTCTGCGGCAAAGGGAACCTCAAGAAGACACCCAATATGGTACCCTTAGGACTCTCGTATATTTTCGCCAAGAGAAGGAGCATAGAGAGAAGACTAAGCCACGCGCATCGTGGTGGTCCAGAGAAAACTCAAGTCGCGACTCGGGCGCGCTTCGGAGGCCCGAGTCACGCGTCGATCAATTTCCGCGCCCGCCTCCTGCTCGACGACCTCCACGACCTCCGCGGCCCACCCCACGACACCAAAAGGCACGTCTACACGCTCCAGAGGTGCAGAGGCTATGCCGGCGCGCGGTATGAGATGGATAAACCGGGTGGAATGAGATGGATTGGATGGGATGCTGTCGGATGGACTCGCGGATGATATGGGTTCAGAGTCGCGCGCCGGGCGGAAACTCTGCACCTCTGCTTCATACCCCCATCGCTCGCCCAGCTAACATACCGGATCTCTAGCAATGGCTGCCAGCAAGAGCACCACGAAGAAGGCCCCGGGTGCGCATTCTCTATACTGTATATAATTAGGCAGAGATATTGACAGTTTGATATAGTCGCCGGGAAGAACACGCCGAAGGAGACGAAGGCCAAGGCGGCGAAGAAGGCGGCGCTCAAGGGCGCGCACAGCCACCGCTCGCGCAAGGTGCACACCTCTGTGTCGTTCCACCGTCCCAAGACGCTCGCTCTGCCCCGGGACCCGAAGTACCCGCGTAAGAGCATTCCCCATGCGCCCCGCATGGACCAGTTCAGGACGATTGTCTCGTGCGTATTCTCCGCATCATATCTTTGTCAGGGGAGGAGGTTGAACATGAGATGTTGGCCAGGCCGCTGAACACGGAGAGCGCGATGAAGAAGATCGAGGAGCACAACACGCTCGTTTTCCTCGTCGACATCCGCTCGAACAAGCGTCAGATCAAGGACGCCGTCAAGAAGCTGTGGGACGTGCAGGCCGCCAAGGTCAACACGCTCATCCGGTGCGTTTTATCAACTCAACATGATCCACAAGATACGTGTATACTAAATATGGCAAACGTAATGATGTAGACCGGACGGAAAGAAGAAGGCGTACGTCCGTCTGACTGCTGACCACGATGCGCTCGACGTTGCGAACAAGGTACGTCTTTTTGAGCAAGGAACGGGGATATGAATGATGTATGCTAATGGGCTGTGCTTTGCGCAGATCGGTTTCATCTAAAAGTGTTCGCTGGGCTTGTCGGACGAGTCGAGTGAGGGAGGGGTACTACCGCTGTTGTTATTGCTCTCCTGTTTCTCTATGCCATGTACCATGCACCGCACACCCGCACATATGATCAGAGCATTTTTCCACTACATATCAAAGCCCAAGAAAGTCTAGACCTGAGAGAAGCACGTGAGTGTTCTGATGGGACCTGAGAGTAGATGTTGGTGATGGCGACGGGGGTCGGGAAGGGGAAGGGTCAGGCGAATCTCTCACCCGCTCTTCGTCGTTGTCCTCCTCGTCCTGCCCGCTGTCTCGCACAGCCCCCACGCTCTTTTTCCCCCCGTCTGTCTCTATCCACAACACCCAACAAATAGCGCCGCCTCGGAGCGGTACCCGACCAGGAAATGTACTCCCACACGCGTACACTCGCACTCGCACTACTTTTGGCCTGCCTTGTTGCGCTCGCACAGGCCAACACGCACTCCCCGCTCTCGTCCTCGCACACCCGCAAGTCGCTCGCATTCCGGAAGAAGCCGGTCAAGGAGCTCGATGCGCCCGCCCTGCACGGCCGCGACCGTGAGTATCCCGGCTGTCAAACACATATTCTGGTCTAACGACGCATGTTTTAGCTCAATTCGGCGGCGGGGACGACGACGGAGGGTTCAATCTGAGCGGATTCATATTCACGCAGACGCGCACGGATACGACGCAGACGTATAATCCCACCTCGACGGCCACCACCACCACGACGGCCACCGACTCGACGGCGACGACCACTGCCACGGATTCCACCGCGACTACTTCTGCGACGGACTCGACCACCACCACCACGTCTACCTCGACTACCACCACCAGCACCTCGACAACTTCCTCGTTCGGGTGCGGTCTGTTGGGACTGGAGGCCTGCCCCGCGTCGACGACGACCACGGACGCAGCTCCCACGAGCACAGACCCGACCACTACTGATGCCGGCTCTGCTCCCGGCACGACCGACGCCGCGACGAGCACAGACCCGGCAACTACCGACGCCGCGACCACGACGTCGACGACCCCGTCGACCGGGTGCGGCCTGCTCGGGCTGGAGGAGTGCACCAGCACGAGCTCCACTGATGCCGCCTCGACTGCGCCCACGAGCACGGATGGGTCGAGCACCGACAGCACGGCACCCAGCAGCACTGCGCCGGCTGATACTACTTCCGCCGCCGCATCGTCGTCCACTGCGCCCGCCAACACGTGCGGTCTGCTCGGTATTGGAGCTTGTACCGACAGCTCCTCGACCGCGGCTGCTACTTCTGCGGCCGAGACGTCCGGCTCTGACGCGACTTCGACTGCTGCGGCTACTTCTGCTGCTGCGTCTTCGTCCACCGCACCCGCCAACACGTGCGGCTTGCTCGGTATTGGGGCTTGCACCGATAGCTCGACTGCTTCTGCTACTTCCGCTGCGGAGACCTCTAGCGCCGGTTCGTCGGCAACTGCAACTGGTACTGGCGTAGCGACGACCACGTCTGCACCCGCTGATACCAGCTCTGCACCGGCTTCATCTTCGACTGCTTTCACTTGCGGTCTGCTGGGAATTGGCGCGTGCACGGATAGCTCGACTGCATCTGCAACCGCCACTGCTACGGGCAGTGCATCGTCTGCCTCCGCTACCGCAACCGCGTCTGGCACAGAGTCGGCCAGCGTCACTTCGTCGGCTACTGCCTCTGGATCGGGCTCTTCGGCTTCGGCCACGGCTTCTGCTACCACTTCGTGTGGTCTGTTGGACTCGCTTTCGGGCAAGTGCTCGACTTCTGCGTCGAGCGCTTCGTCGACTGCTACGGGCACTTCTACTGGTACGATCACTAGTGGGCTCCCGATTACTACGGCTATCGGCAATAGCACCACCACCACTACGTCGTAAGTCGTTTTGTACGATTATTCTATGTGCATGATTGACTGATTGATTCGCAGTGGTCTGCCGATTACGACGACGACCACGGATATTGGTAACGCGACGTCGATCATTACCTCGGGCCTGCCCACGTCTACCCCGATCATCTCGAGCAACAGCACTACCACCACATCCACGCCGATCACCACGCAGCCGGTCTCTGCCAACAGCACCACCACGACCACCACTGCCCTTAACAGCACCACCACGACCAGCGTCATCATCTCGTTCCCGAGCAGCAGCAACACCTCGACCATCGCCACCTCGACGGATGTCTCCTCGACGCTCACATCGACCGCTTCGTCGACCAGCATCACGCTCCCTGCCGCGCCCTCGCAGTTCTCGTTCCTCACGCAGACGTCGCTTCTGCTCGAACCCAGCACGACCTCCAGCTCGGTCTCGAACACGCAGACGAACCCCGATGCGCCCGCGACTACGCTCTCCGTCGCTGCGCCGTCTTCCGCCGCATCTGCGTCGGCGACCACTGCCGCAGCCGCACTCCCGACTTACCTCGCTGCGCGTGTCTACCCGCCCACCGGTACACCCGTTGCAGGCTCGACCTCGGGCGACACCCTCGTCTCGATCCTGTTCGACTCCGGCCTTGGCTGGGAATTCGTCAGCACCAACACGGACTCAGAGACGCAGCTGTTCAGCTGGATGCCCAACATCCTCGCCACAGCGCTCAACATCACCTCGGAGGCCGTACAGACCTTCGCCCTTCAAGTGTACATCCCGAGCGACTACACCGGCCCCGCGGACGTCGCGAAGCTCTTGACGACCTACATGGTCTACCTCCCCACCTCCTCCGTCTCCGACCTCGCAGACCAGCTCAAAGCCCGCGGCAGCGCGTTCTACACCGCGCTCGGCAGCCCGTACAAGGACCTCGCGGCCCACGTGAACCCGAGCTTCGCCATCACGTCCGTCAGTGCGAACAACATCCCCGGCAGCGGCTCGAGCACCGAAGCGTCCTCCTCGAGCGCGAGCTCCAAAGACAACACGCGCACCGACGCCATCATCGGCGTCGTCTCCGCGCTCGGCGGCCTGACGCTCATCATCCTCGCGTTCCTCGTCTACCGCTCCATCAAAAAGCGCCGCGAGCTCGCGCACACGCGGCTCGCGGAGCCGACGCAGCCCGAGCAGCCGTACGCGGACCGCGCGGGGCGCGACTTTGACCAGGACAGCGTCGGCGGGCAGCGGCGGCGGTCGTTCTACTTCGCCGAGGACAGCTTGAGGGGCTACGGCAGCGTCATGAGCGGCGGCGGGTTCCAGGACCAGCCGCACCGGCAGAACGCGCAGATGGCGCAGTGGGACGAGGGGCAGGCCGGGCCGAGCCACTTTGGCCAGCAGGGGTACGGGCAGCAGCAGGGGGGGTATGAGGGGCAGCAGGGGAACACGGTCGAGTATTCGTACCTCGACCATGCTGGGCCGTCGGAGCCGGCTATGAGGCAGCGAGGAGGCGGGCCGGCGATTAGTGCGCCGATTATGCAGCAGAGCACTATGAACTGGTAGACTGGTTTACGAGTGGCTTTCTCGATGCTTTCTTCTTGACGACCGGTACGTTTGCTTTCATGCTGTTGTGATGTTAGAATGTGTGTGCTGATGAGAGTGTGCAGTGACGAGTCTACGCCGGGCCGGGGCTCGTGGTCCGTTCCCTATTCGATCCCTCTGCGCACAGCATGCAGTATACCACCACCCTCTAGCCGTGCTAGCGAGCTTCACTTCCTCAATCCGTCCATCCGTCCATCCCTGCCTTCACCCCGCTCTACCCGCTTCACCCGCTCTACCCGCTTCACCCGCCTTACCCCCCATTACCTACTGATCAACCGTGCTTACTTCACCTCACCCCGATCATCCAAAGCGCCCTACGGCGCCCCGACCCCCACCCGTCGTATTTAAACGCCACTCTCGCGTTCGGACCATTTACCTTACTCACCTCTTGGGCGGATCTGATTATACTCACCTTCTTGAACATCAATCCCCGTGCCGCGGTCGTTGTGACGGCGCGCATAGATATATCCGTACCTCCTTTCTCGTTGCTTTTACTTTTGCCCTTGCGTTTGACTCTCTCATCTTATGTTGTTCCTCGATTATGCATTGTGGCATACGGTATCGTGATCTGTGGCGCGCGGGTCGCGTGTGGTGTGATATAAAGGTTGCTTTTTGCTCTCGCTCTCTTTCAGACAGTGGTCGTGTATTTATATGGCTGCAGTACCGTACGATAATCTTCATATTCTTCTTACTTCTGCTCATTTCGTCTTGTGCTGGGTTCGAGTTCGTGACGTTCTAGTCTCCTTCGCAAACGGAAATGATGCGGTGAAGGGAGAAGAGGGCAGCATCAGTGACGTTCGGCTTTCTCGTTCGTCAAGGTTTCTTATTGGCGTCTACTGCGAGTGTTTCAGCTTAATTCGGGCTCGTACGGGCGTATTCGGTATCATTTGGCACTTACTATCTATCTGGTCTATGTGCCTCCAGGCGGCGAAGAGATCAAAGTCCTTGTTCACGATCCGTACGTAGTCCACCCCCTTCAAGCGGTCGATCGCCTGCAATACCCTCGCTTCGGGTATACCTTTGCAACTCGTCTCTTCAATCTTGCCATCGCGAACGAACGCGATTTCCTCTTCAACATACAGGTAGAACGTGATCCCATGTTTCTGCCAAAGCTCTGCTCGACCCGACCTTCCACTGAGTCCACCAGGAGCGAAAGTGTCGAGGGCAGAGGAGAGTCGAAAGTCGGGCGCCGAGAGATGACGAAGGCGTGGTAGCAGTAACGGTACATCTTCTCTCAGTTCAAGAAGACGTAGAATATCGGTGTACGCGCGCCGTGCAGCCGTAGGACAGACGTGCAGGCGCTCTATGCCGATGAACATGAACAGATTGGCATAGCTCAGGTGAAAGCTCCCGCCCTGCAGTATCAAAGATCGCACGTGGTGTATGGGGAACGCTGGGATGATGCTAGGGGCGCCATCATCTCGCATGTACATGCATAGAGTGTTGCTCGCTGGCCCATCGCTGACTCCGTGGAAGGGTAGTGCTGTGGGGCTCGGCGTTCTCGGGGTAATGTCCCGCGACAAGCATAGCTGGACGAGGTAATCACCTCTACGCGCCGTCTCCTCAAAGTACATGCAGGCGGCCTGGAAAGGCGGTACGACTTCGTTATGGCACCACACGTCTTTCAAGGCCTCGCTGAGCTCGCCGTACATCCTTTCAGGGGGGAGCAAGACGGCGGGGTGTGGAATTGCGCCGTTCATCACGAGGCGGCTGTGGGGCTGAAGCCGAATGTGGCGTAGAAAATGGGCATGGTTATGTGGAGACCCCAATAAGACGAGTGTTTCAAGACCGTCCAACGGGACGATGTTGTGTTGTGCATGAGAACATGCATCGCATGCACTGACCACGCTGTGCATAGTGAGCTCCAAGATGCAGAGCGTTCGAAGGTGCGACATGCGGCGTATAGCCTGTAAGAAAGTTAAATTAATGAAATGTGCATTCGTGGCATCCAGTGACAGTCGGAGCGTCTCCAGAGTATTAAAAGCAGGACTCGTCCAATCAACGGAAGAGAATGGGAGGAGTGGGTGCATTAAGTCTAGCACGCGCAGACGAGGCGAATGCCCACCAAATAGGCTCATGTCCCTCAGAGATAATGGCCGGCTCGCCTTGTTCACGGCGAGAGTGAACTGCTCGAGGGACTCGAACGGTAATGACAGTATGCGCTTGACAACGTCGTGCGAGCGTCTAATCGACGACAGACGTAGGTGTGACAGGCGCCCATGATGGGAAAGGACCAATTCGGCAAGCGGATCATTCGCCCCATCTGACACGAACTCTTCATCGTCGGCGTGGAGCAACGCACCCTTGCTACGCATGACGAGCTCGTCGAGCCACCGCGGCCCAAGTTTGTCGGTCGGCCTGTACCACAGCGTCGCCTCGTTTATCGCAACATATCTCCATCTTCGACACACAAACGTGGTCCGTATCCAACCAAAAGCAGGGTTGCAAGCGTAGGAATGAGACTGGTCTCTGTGGCGTGCACCGCTGGTTGCAGGATTTCCCCGTCTCGCGATAGGTAGGATAGGATCCAGAGCCTGCAAGAAAGAAAAGACTAGTGCAAGGGAATCGTTGGATATGGTGTCGCAAGATATCTGGTCGTCCTTCGACATCGTATCGTACCGTGTCGTGTGGGAGAGGGGTAAGATGATGGTGGACCAGGTGCAAAGAGCGGGTGATCTAGGTGAGGATCAAATGCGAGGTTCTCACCATGTAGAAGTTGAGCGCCCATCTCAGTGAAGCTACACGTAGAGATCTCCAGCTGTACTCGCCTCGTAACGTATTTGATCGAAGTATCAGCTCAGTACATATGTACAAGAAGGCCCATTAAGGCTGGAGCCACGGGGAAAATGCAGGACGTCAGTAGCCACAGCTGGCTAGTCAGTGGTAATTTGATAACCGCCCAGCTAAGTACATGGTCGGCTCGATGCGGTGTCCAACTTCATCACGCGTCTAGCAGGGTGTCATGCATAGCTGCAGATACATGGAAAGGGAGACGGGTGCGACAAGCAGTACGCGGGAGCCTTCAGATAATTCTTCGGCATTGCGCGCAAATGTTCCCACGGCCGAATGCCATAGCGCTCGCGGAAGTTGCGAGCCGCCACCATCACCTTGGTGGTACACGCATATGAGCTTCAGGTTAACGGAATATCTCACCGGGACTGGGACCTTATAACATATGTCACCTATGCCAGAAATGGCACATCGCTCTGAAGAATTGAAGTAGGGCGGTTCGCCGAGGTACTCAATCTTGCGGGCAACGCGTGTGCTTTATGGAAAATTGTGCGAAGCTTGAATGAAGACCCGGATTCGCACAATGGAAGGTACCTCCGCATCCAGCGCCCGTACTAGGAGACGGAGGCGAGCGGGCCGAAGGGACGGTGAAGGGAGGGATCGAACGTCGTGGTGGCAGCAACCTTCTTGCGTGTCTGTCCTTCACAACGTGCGTGAACTCTCCTTCTGACCAGCACACACTTCTCATGGAGATGTCATATCTTTCTAGAAGGGTCCGATTCATCACCAGAGAAATTCGATATACAACTTATCAGCCGCCTACACCCTGTGCACATGCAACCCAGCTATCTTCGCTGCCTCGCGTTGCTCGCTCGGACCTCGACCAACTTGCACCGGCAAGATCTCGGTCCCCTGTAGGCTGCCGAAGAGAGGATGCGCATCGTCTTTGCTGCTCGGACTTCTACTATAGGCGTGCGCGCTTACCCGGCATCTGTGAGCGCGGTGTGTGCCTGCGTCTAGGCGCAGTTCCCTTCCGTACGCTTACCTTACCAAGTTCTCTTGTGACGTACCCTATACATCGGGCTTTCGTACGGTATCGCTTCTATCTGCGAAGATACTGGCACTTCGGACCGGCATCGTGTTCAACCCTGGAGGAAGATCGTCGGTATGCGGTACAACGTTAAGTTATGGGACATATAAACGCAAATGAGCGTCCATAGATCGCATACCAGTTCTGCCTGGCTTGCGCGAGTGCGGCCGCCGCAGGCCGCCGTTTTCCCTCTGCTCGTCATGATACGCACATCCGTTTCGTTACTGTCCCTTCAGTGTTCTTTCTTGGATTCACCCCAGACGCACGATGGCTCCAGCAGATAATGCCCGTTCACGGCGGGCTTAGTCGGGCCGTCCCCGAACGTCGAGTACATGGTCGTGTGCCCCGCATATCTTAATTAAACTCGCAGCTGCTCCATGGCGGTTCTGATATTTCATTCTGGGTCCGGGGAAGTTGCGTCATAGGCGGCTTCGCGCTTTCGCAAGCCTCGCGACATCTTCCACAAGGTTCTGTGCCTTGAGATTACTTGCTCGTCTACTCCTCGGGGTTCACATCCAACAAGCAGCGCAGGAGTCTTGAGACCATCGAACGTGCTGATCCTGAGTGCGCGCTGACGCGTGGGCGGCGGCATCATTATCCGAGCTAACGAATACGCGCCACAGCTGGTCTAGCGCGTACCCCGGGGGCGAATTGCATGGGATAAGAACCTCCGCGGGCCTGCCGAGGGCTCTGGATCCCCTCTGCAACGCGCCACTACGGTCATAAGCGCAAACTCTACTGGCTGTCCTCTCGCCGGTGCGAGCTCCGGAGTCAGCCGAACTCCTTCCGTGAGCACGACGTAGTCTGGCGTGCGGACCTTGGTGCGCGGGGTAAAGTCAGATAAATCATGATGCCCTACACCCTCGGCGCTCCGTGATACACCTTACCTGCATTCCGCGCGCTGATAAATAGGTCCAAGAGTGGCCTCCTCATCCTCGACGTGCGGGCCCCATACACGACATCAACCCCACATCACACCCAACCCTCACGATGATCACCGCCGCCCCCGCCCCACGACGCATCACCAACAGCGCTACGCAGTCCTACTCTCAACAACTAGCCGCCTACACTATGCGCCAGCGTGCTGAGGCTCAAAGCGCACTCGAACTATCACCCGAGGAGGACGCACGCCTGCTTGCATCTAGGCTCGCTCGCGCACATTCGCCCACCGACAAACTCCGCGCTGCAAGGGCGCGCGCACGCGGTGAATGTATGTTGCGATGCCTCTCTCACAGCTCGAGACGACTGACATGACATACAGCACCACGACGCGGCTACGGCTTCTAAACACGCATCATACCCTTCTCGCTGTCTGTACACATACACACAGTGAGCGGTCTAAGTATGAGATTTTTTTGCCTTGCTGACCACGCTCTTGCAGCTACCTCTCGACTTCTGCTCTCACACATGTTCTCCGAGTATCGCTCCCCTTAACTCGACTGTGGCATTTGGGTGTTTCCGATACACGTCGCTGTCATCATCTTAATTATTGGGCTAATTACTTGTGCTATATATATACATCGCCATTAGGCCACAAGATACCCTTTGCCCCGTATTGTACGGAATATGTGGTGAGGATGGGCGATGGCTATGTAACTTAGCTGTGGACAGAGTGACCGGGCGCATGAGTGACCAAGGTTGGTAGTACGGTATGAGGAACAACGGAGCCATGATGGTTGGATACCGGGTCGGAAGTGGCTTCAAGACACCCTACACAGTAACCCAAACCTCTGCACGCCGCTCTTCTGGATAAATAATGACGACCATCCTCTCAAGATGAAAGGTTGAGTAACGGTTGCCATTTTTTATCTTGGTGACACCGAAGAGTGAGCCCGCAACAGCATTCGAAAGAGTCGCGACGACAACTGGAGTCGACTCGTCGTATGCTAAAATAAATGCTCAGTCAGAGGGACAGGGAAGGGAGAGCGTTTGGCCATTGTTACGCACTGGGCGGGACAATCTTAACGCCTGTGCCAGAATCGAAGAACTGACGAAACCACGCAATGTCCATCTGAATCTACGAGCTATGCATGAGCGCGGATAGCCTGGATATATGTTACAATCGACGTACGTCAAATGACATGGACTGTATCTCATATTTCTCGAGTCTTTAGATAAGGGCTCATCAGCGGGGTGGCGCGGGGCTATTGAGATGTCCGGGTGGGACTCTACTCACCATAAGCCGTCCTTTATCCTGTCTCCAAACTCCTTCTTGTTCACACTACAGAAACCAATAGAAGGCGCAACTTTGGCCTTCCGCTTAGCCGTGGATGATGCCGAGGCGGTGCCGTTGGACTTGGCCGCTTTGGGCTTCTTCGCCGAAGGTGCGTAGTCCTCGTCATCGGTCGCTGCTCGCTGAGGCACATGAGCTCAAGCACCCATACAGTACTCGGGACATCATAGCACACAGACCTTGGTACCAGTAGCGGGCTCCGGCGAGTGAGACATGATGGTGAGTGGCGACGGGCGATACGGAGCGCGACGCGACGGGTTCGTAACTTCGTCAACAAGGAGAACGCGTGACGTCACACGTGTGACAACTGCGGTTTACGGCTCGACCGACCTGTGATGGAAGGGTTTTCCTCTCACCGTCATGACCTGTATGTCAACATTCTGGGGGTGCCAGTCTCTCAATACCTCTCTTCCTGAAGGAGGGGATACGACGTTGCTGGAGCGAGAATTTTGCTGCCGGGGCCGTCCCTTCACGCACTTGCACACTCAACGCCAATCGCGGCACTTCCAGCTAGACCGCCAGCCTCGTTCCGACCGAGGGTCGCCTTCCCACCCACCCGCGCCACTAAGCTGTCCAATCCGCATAGTTTGAAGCTCCTGGGGCGGCTCAGAGATGAGCAACAGTAGTCCAAAGGAAAGAGTCCAAGTGTCAGGCCCAAGAACCTCTTAGACCCGGTGCTGCGTGCGCACCTGGTCCAATGTGCGACACTAACTCCTGCGGCGGGATTTAGTGCTGTATGGGGGCTTCTATCTGTATCATCCGTATCTCGCACTGCTCGCGGTAGATGGGAGGAATGGTCTCCCGTGTAAGTTCGGGTGTCTCGGTCTGTCTAGTGTGGCAAGTTCTCTATAAAGCGTGCTAGGTTCGTTACCTGTCCTCATGCCGATTTCCGCGAACCACTATGACTGAAATAATTTCTTCAGTGCTTCAAAACCTTCCATTTTCTACGAAAATCGCTTCCGTTGCCTTGCGATACCCAGCCCCAACCTGCATAAGCGTACTTACCCTTTCAATCTGGGTAGCACACCGGTACATCAAGAGTCCTTGGCACAAGGTCCCTCCGGGACCTATCGGCCTCCCTATCATTGGCAGCGCTCTGAAATTCTTTGACACATTCTGGCTGATCAAGGAATGCCCGCAATACGGTGACCCTACTACTCTATTGTTGCATACCTACGCTAAATACATTCAATCAGGCGATCTTGTGTACCTCAATGTAGCCGGTCAGCCGGTGGTGATACTCAATACACAGAGAGTCGCCGTGGATCTTCTCGAACGTCGTGCGGCCACCAATTCTGGTCGCCCTAGGCTCATCGTCGCGAGCGAACTAATGTGCGACGATATGCTCGTCGGGTTGGAGTCAGATACTGAACGGTGAGCATATGACCTAGCGATGATATACCGCATGGGAACGAGACTATAGCTCTAAGCAGGTGGCGACGCCAGCGCCGCGCAGTGCACGAAGGTTTCACCAAATCAGCTGTCAAGCGCTTTCATCCAGCCCTCGTCGAAGACGCCATCCGTTTAGCCGTCTCCTTATCTCAGGACTCATCATCCTTCCGACAACACTATCAGCACTTCGCTTGCTCGACCGTACTTGCGGTCACGTACGATCGACCGCTACACGGGAAGCCAGGAGATGACGCCCTTCGCGTTCATATCGACACGATCGTCAGGAAGCTTGTGGCAGCAGCCTCACCTGGGGCACATTTAGTCGAGCTCATGCCATGGATGCTTCGCCTGCCGAGTTGGATGGCGAAGTGGAAGCGTGACGCGCTTGATGCGCATCACGATGCGAAGCAGTTCTTCGTGGGTCTTCTCGACGAAGTGGATGCGCGGGACGTGCGTCTATCATCATGTTATCCCAAGTCTGTGAACGGCTGTCTGACATCACGACGATTGACAGAAACAAGGAATGGCGCGCCCGTGTCTTACGTCGATGTTGCTTCAGGACCTCAAACGCTCTCATCTTACGAAGCTTGAGGCGGCTTGGGCTTCTGGAATGATGTAGTACGCGGTCTATTGCACTCGTGTGTTGGTCCCGACGCTGACCCCATCTCCCTACAGCTCTGGCGGCGCCGAGACCACCACCGTTACGCTCACATGGTGGACTCTCGCCATGATAGCTTTCCCAGGAGCTCAAAGGCGAGCGCAATCGGAATTAGATGCAGTTGTCGGTCGAGGGAGGCTGCCATCTTTCGCCGATCGCGAGCACTTACCATACACAGTCGCGCTTCTTCGCGAAGTCCTGCGCTGGCGCATGAGTCTACCTCTCGCCTTGCCGCACTCTTCCAACGAAGATGCTTGGTATGAAGGCATGTTCATACCCAAAGGCACCATTCTCCTGGCGAATCTTCTGCCATGCAACAGGGACTCCGCGGTGTACGGCAACGATGCGGATTTGTTTAGGCCAGAGCGTCATCTCGACTCGGAACACGGACAGCTCGCACCGGTACATCCCGCGACGAAGAACCACGGTCATGTATCGTTTGGCTTTGGACGACGTAACTGCGTCGGTCAGCACGTTGCGGAAGACACGCTCTTCATCGCTGCCGCCACGCTCCTTTGGGCCTTCGAGTTCTCGAAGGCGCGGGACGAGATGGGACGAGAGCGCGATATCGATACGGAAGGATTTGATGCTTCGGGATTCACACTGTGAGTAGTCCTATGAATAGCCAAGATCTGCATTCGCTGATGCACGTGCCAACTTTGATAGGAGGGCAAACCACTATGATTGTAGCATTACACCCCGCTTCCCGGAAGCCACATCTATTCTGACTGACGAGAAAGAGCTCGCGGCGACGTCGAGGCCATAAGTGGCAAGTACAGTATATCCTCCTGGCGACTTCTATATCCCATGTATGTAGTGTGCAAATACAAGTCTTCGTATCCTTCGATCGCGAGCCATGAGTACGGTGAAAAGGCTACCCCTGTCGGGAGGACCTATGCTGCTACTTCTGCAATTGACTTCCCCAATCCGATCAACGCCAGAGTGACGGCTAGGGACTTCTGCATGTAGCGCGCCGGGTTCGGGCCGAACTGACCCAACTTCAGCCAACCGTTCTTGCCGTGTAGGAGGATAAGAGCGACGACGAGTACATCCTTGACTGCTGTATCGCTGGCGCTCTCCTGGAAGTCGGCAACAAGGAGCCCAGTGTTACCGTTCACGCCAGCGATGCATGCTGGTTGAACTTTCAGCTTCTCGTCGCGGGTAAACGTGAACTACACCGACTGGTTAGGAGTTGAAGTTTCAAGTTCCAGAGATTGACGTACCACATCTTCTCTATCGACTCGGGCCCATCTATAGGTCCGGTTATTGGCGCGTACCGTGCGCGTTCTATGTTCGAAGGGAGTGAGCACAGTGATTATAGCATGGGTCTCGAGCGCACAGTCGTGAGATACCATACTTGAACCACTTCTTGCACTTGACGATGCTACCTTGGCCATACTGAATACGTGGGTAACGCGCGTGATTCCAGTAGATGTCTGCAACGACGTCTCTGTTTCGGTTGGTGATGGTCGTCCGCCCGTCGACTGTGACCACAGTATACCGCATGGCTTTCTGTCGGTTCCGGACAACTGAGTTCAACACATATGTTGTCCCATTACCACCTCCCCCGGTCCCATGGAAAGTGTAGGTCGCCTGGGGCTGTGGCGGGTTCGGGCGACGTCGAGGGATCGGCACGCGCCAAGGCATCGTGGGCTGCTGTCTTCAAGCTTCGAAAGCGTACTCAGAGGCCAAGTATGACGGGTGCCCCCTGCGCGACACGGCAGCGAAGGTTAGGAGGGTGACTGGAGGCCGGCTGTCCTAGTCTTCGGATCTTATTCAATCAGTGGAAGCGCTGAACAGTCAGCGACTGAATAGAATCCAGTGTACACGTCACGAGAGGGCGCATATCCATGGCCAAGTCCGTTGTAATCGCAGTGCCATACAGGGAACCCCACTCAAAACTTATAGGGAAAGCGATATCCCAGATTTCCTATATCTAGGAAGTCCTGCTGCAGCAAAATCTTGTACAGGATAGGAGAGTATACATAGCATCATTGGACCAAATCGATGCTGCCGGTAACGCGGCCATATCCCATAAGACGACACGAGTCTTGGGCAGCCAGCTGTCATGGAAGTCGTCGTTGAGTCGACGTCCTCGGCAACGTCGCGCGTAATTACAATCACAATGACGAAAGCGTGATGGGAAATGTGCCACGTGGCATAATCGCGGGTACGTGATCGAGCGCTGCGGGTTGTGTGAGCTTGCCACGACGGTCAATGCAAGGCTTGTTACAGCTTCGGCAGATTCTCGATTTCCAAAACAGACGAGGGCAACTGGTAACCTACGAGGAAGCCGCCCGGTGAGGTTTGGAACGCCGGACTAGTCGGACCTTCCGAACAGCGCGCAGCCTGGATTCGCCGGCCATGACGCCTAGAGTCGCCTATATTCTTTTGCGTATTATGGCTATGCCAATACTTGAACGCCATTCTTGGCTCTTGTCGAGCGATCCGACCGTCGACGTCAAGTGCCACGAAAGACACGCACTTGTGCACCTCTCCTTGGCCCCAGCACTGGAGGTAACGGCGTATATCCACTTATGAGCCGATGTCGCTGTACTTGCGGACAGGCACAGTCCATACACACTGCAGAATCTTACCACTCGGTTTGTTGCCGAGATATGACTTCATCAACATGCATAGCGACCACTCCAACTGAGCGCTGTACTGTCAAAACGAACGGTTTGGACTCCGAGTATGTAACGATACACAACACCCCATGCATGGCGACGATGCTAATTTGTACCCCAGATCATACCTGGAGGGCATCGCGCAGAGAACATAGCACGGTAACAGACCGATCCCCACAGAACACCCGGCTGCGGAACTACTATCTTCACCTTCGCGCGCTAGCACAGGCGCTCGAGATGGTTCGCGAGCCGTCAATGTTCGCGATCGTGGGCAAAGACTGATTGCTGTGCGACGGCGGAATACAGGCACCGAGAGATGGCTCCTCAACGAACCTTGTACCGCGGTAGCTGAGAAGCCCAGACTGGTGACTGCATAGCCTAGACGAAAGCAGCACGAAGCTGGGCACCCAAATACCGTTGACTGTTAAGTAAATCCAGATACCTGCGCCTGAATGCACTGGTATAAGAGGTGACGGGTCCAGGTCAGTCAGACCCACACAGCAATAATGCCTGGCGATCCGGCCTCTACAGAACCTGTCGTCCCAGACTCGTCTCCTCCCGCGTTCTCTCCATTTACCAGTCACTACTCCGCTAGTGCAGCCCCGCGCGCCTCATTCGACGTGGCCTCACTTGGTATCTTTGACAATCCCTGGGCGTCGACCGCAGACATCGGAAACGCAGCTGATTCTACGGCCCCCAACACCACACCGTCGTCGCGCCCACCCGACCTCGTATTTATACCAGACTCCATGATGAGCGCCGATGTAGCGCGCCACCCGCACTTCGACCCTCCGAAAGAGCCCAACGCCTGTATGTACATTCTGAACTCGAAAGTACAGGATACGAACGGGACCGCCGTGTACACTATCTCGTCCGGCGAAGACATGGCGATCATCAAACGACAGGAGACCGGCACGGCTCTCGCTCTGCTCTCTTGGTCCGTTGCTGGGAAGGATGCGGAAATCAAGTATCTAGCTGAAGGTCAGATGAGGGACCAGCGGTGTGATGAGTGGTTGCCGCTGAAGAAGGACGGAACGTGCGTGCGACTCTTCTTTCGCCATGCGCCTATCCTAACTTAGTCGACCGTGAATCGTTGTTGCAGCGGATCACGTCGTGTCGACGTTGGCGGAGGGCGATCGTGTAACTTGACTTCTTCTAATGGAAGAGATACAGTGGGTGCTCGGCGTCAAGATGCTCGCTCATATTTCCACTGATATTCCATACAGCTCACTGAGCTGACTTCCGACGGGGGTACAAAGACGGTCTGTTTCGCGCAGAAGGCTTCCGGTCTACCCACTAGACTTGAGATCCGTTTCGAGACCTCGGATCAAGCTTTCGTGAATCAAGTCCGCGATGCATTCATCACGGCGCTCGTCGTCTCGCGTGTGTTCAGCATCAGTATCCCACCGCCGCGCTTCCATACCTCGCCGCCGCCCATCCGTAAAGCGGTACCGGGTACTGCGACGCGACGCCGGAGAAACAAGCGCAATGACATCTCGAACACGTTGTGCGACTGTATGTGCGACTGTTTGTCCTCATGGGACGGCTCCGACGATGGTTGTGGCGGCTGCGACGGCGGCTGCGACTGCGACGGAGGTGATGGAGGGTGCGATGGCGGAGGCGATGGCGGTGGCGGCGGATGATCATTATTAATACAGTCGAAGGGACGGACGCGACTATGGAAGTTTGCTGTCGATGTTGTATGCAGGGTACCGGTATTGCCGGGTAGCGCGTTTTGAAAAGTAACTGGTTCGCACTTGATCACACAACAGGGCTCTTTTGGAGAGAACGGATAGAATGAGAGAGAGAGACTACGCCATCTCCAACACAGACTCAATTTTGGCCAGGAGTCGTGGTGGTCGTGTATCAACGCGCCTCTGCCTCGGCATGCGTCGGGCCGAGTGAGGATCTGCGCACGTGGCCGGGCGTCATCCCGCCCGAACGACAGCGCGCGCGCCTCGCCATTTGACAGCATTCGAATTTCGATGCGACGACGATGGGCAGTTTCGCCAACCATCATCGTATACGCAGACTTTGATGCGGTGTATCTGAACGTGCTCCTCTAGATCGTTTCAGCTCGCGTATGGACCGCACTGCTCATAGTCTCGATGATTCACTCGCAATACCGTCAACATATCCCGTTTTCGGATTGCGCTGGAGGACGGACGGAAGACTGATGCATGCATGACCCAAGCCTAATGCCTAAGGGACCACCTGCTTGATGGCCTTCCCCACCCCTACCAAGGCGAGAGTCACCGCCAACGATTTCTTCATGTAGATCTCCGGGTTAGGACCGAACTGCCCGAGCTTGAGCCAGCCTTTCTTGCCGTGCAGAAGCACAAGGGCGACGATCAGAGCGTCCTGGACCAGCACCGCACCAGTACTCTTGGTTTCACCGAAGAAATACGCGACCAGCCGGCCGTTGTCGTCCTCGCCGGCTATGCACACCGGAGGCACCGACTTGTCCTTCTCTTCACGGGTGAACGTGAACTATATAAATGCCATCGTCAGCGCACAGGGACCGCAAACAGGGCTATGGCGGGCGTACTACGTCCTCCCTGTCGACTCGAGCCCATCGATAGGAATTGCCGTTGGCTCGGACGATGCGCGTCCTGTTGTACGCCTTTTATGATCGGCACTCATGGGTGAACGGTGGTGAGGTGCTTACAGCCTAGACACCCCGTACTTGAACCACTTCTTGCACTTCATGGCCTTGGAATCGCGATACTTGATGCGTGGGTAGCGCGCGTGATTCCACTCGATGCGCGCAAAGACAGTGCCTTTCTTATCTGCGATCGTGGTCTCCCGCGCCATGGTCGCCACCGTATACCGAGCGGCACCTTTCCTATTCTTCACAACCGAGTTCAGCACATAGGTCGTGCCGTTTCCCGTGGCGTCACTGGGGTGAAAAGTGTAGGTTTCCTGAGGCGCTGGTTGTCCTGGGCGACGTTTGGGGACGGGTATGCGTAGCTTTCTGAGAAACTCCATGCCCAGGAGCCAAAGATACGGGTGTCAGCAAGCTCAGAGAACAATGCAGGAGGAGGTATGAAGGAAAGAGTGTCAAACCCACAAGTGATACCTCGCGGTCTTATCCATACGAACCGAGCGCTTAACGGTCAGCGAATGAATTTTGGAGCCCGAGCGGAAACGTCACGACCAGCGCGTGCTGTCGCGAATCCAGGGCCTAAGCCCGCTGTCAATGTGGCGTCACCCGACAAGACATGATCTCAGTGTCCGGCAACCAAGGGAGCGAAGTTAAGGTCGCCGCATCGCGGGAAGCTCTGACAGGATTCGACCTGCGTCTTTCGCAAGCAAGGTACCTAAACGGATGTTATATGTAAGTATCAGTTGCTATAGCAGAAACGTCGCCTCTCGGATGGCCGCGTACCTAGGCTTTGATTGATCGCCTCACGTTCTTCGGAACCCGGACTATCCCGCAAGTAATAAGAGTCCGTCAGCATTGTCATTCGTCTCGAACCCAATTTCGACATCCGTTCACTGTGTCCGGAAGCGTGGTATACGCTCTTCACTTGTTCGCGCACATCCCGCATACTTGCGTACAATCTACCTTCAGGAACTTCTTCCTGAGAATACAAAGTCAGGATAACTCTGCGACTCCCCCCGGTTTGAATGTGCTCTGCGAGACTAATAGCTGCGTACAACGCAATAGGCCGCCTCGCATCTGTAAGTGCACGAGCGCCATTACATCGTCTCGCACTTCGCGTAGCACTGTGCGCCACGTCTCGGCCAACCTCGATACCTTCGCTTTGAAACCGTGTCCGCGGGAGGCGCGAAGTGGGGCAGAACTCTGCGAGCAGAGCGTGGGGTAGTCTACCGCGCTGCAAGCAGCCATGAGATTTCCAGAGGGAGGTATGGAGATGCGCGTATCGTCAACATGTCTCCTAGTGCTCCCTCTACAATTCCAGGCGCCCAGTCCCAAATGACGGCTCAGATACAATCCGGTAGTAGTGTATAGTGAAAGCCCCCAACCGCACTGCAGTCGGAGGTTCTACGGACGTGGTACTTCTTCCGCGGATGAGCAGCTCGTGTACGAGTCAAAGGTCGTGGTGGTTGCGCATCAACGCGCCTTCTGCGTCGCTGTGGCGCGCGCGTCGGGCCGATGAGAACCCGCGCACGTGGATGGGCGCGCCATTCCGCCCGAACGCGCCTCGCCCGCTTCGCGCCTTGTCAGAGACGACGATGAGCAAGCCTCAACACGGCTTCCAACAGCCGTCCTCGTACGCCGGGTACGCGCCACCACCGCCCGTGAGCGCCTTGCCGCACGACACACGTGTTCTTCTGCGGGAATATCCCGCGCTGGCGATCACGCCCACTGACCATGGTATGTCTTGTTCACGCGTTTTCCTGACATGAAAAGAAGAAGGTCGTGCTGAGAAGCTGTTAATAGTGGCACGGGGTATGAGCCAGATGAGCGTGTCGGCGCGGCCGACGTCGTATGCGCAATCCGGGTATTATCTGCCGTCGGTGCACGGCTCGTACGCGGGCGAGATGGCGCATATTGCGAGCGCACAGGTGCCCTCGCACGACGGCGGATACTGGGAGCGCGCGCGGCAAGAGGCCATTCACGCCGTAGGACCCGCGCCTTCCGCCGATCACTACTCGTACGTCCTTTTTTGGTAGTATTAAAGAGGCGCATATATTGATGCCTTATAATAGACCGTCGTACTCGTACTACCAACCTCGTGATCACCCGCCCGCGCCGACATACCAGTCCAGCGCGCTAAGTGGTGCAGTGTACCAACATACCCTCCCAGCCCAGGCATATCCGAGCCCGCCCCCAGGAATGCAATTCTCCTCGTCTTCCCTCGCCCACGCGCTCGACCCGCCCATCATCGTCAAACGCCAGCCGCCGCCTGCCCCGCCACGTGCCGTCGCGCACCCTCCCTCACCCGCGAAACCGCAGAGCAGCGCCTCGTTCTTCAATGCGTTTATTCAGCAGCAACAGCGCGCGATGCAGCCTCCCCCGCTTCCGCAGTCCAGGCCGCAGATCATCCCTCAGCCTCCCCAGCAGCAGCAGCAACAACAGCCGCACATACAACAGAATCGATATAATACCGCGCCTAATCCCGCTACACCGCGGAAACGCGAGCGAGCGCCGATCCCTTCTTCGTTCTTGTCCAATGGCGCTATCCCGCCTCCACCTGATAGTAGTCCTCTACCGCCTTTGACGCAGACGCCGAAACGGAAACGCGATGCGATTGAAGATCCTCACGGTCCTCCGCCTGGCAGTCCTGCCAAGCGATTCCAGTCTCTACGCGGGCTACCGGCCAACGCTCCGACCTTTGCGCCACCTCCACCACTTGCTGCGCCCGTCTTGAAGAAGCAACAGTACGATCTTGAGCCCGTCAACACACCTTCAACGTCGACCTTCACAACTCCGCACACCGAACCTCCCGCGACACCCAGTACCGCATCGACTGTCCCTCCTACTCCTCCTTCCCCGGTTCATGAGGCGCCGAAAGTGAAGAAGCGAAGGTCTCAGGTGTTCGTTGAGCTTCCGCCGAGAGGGACGAGGCCCGGTTCGCCTCAGACCCCAAGGAAAAGCAGGGATGTCAAGACGAATGGCGGGGATACGGATGTTGATATGAGCGATGAGGAAGAGCAGGAAGGGTATTTGCCTACCATCACGAGGTTACCGAATGGGGACACGAAGGGGAATGCGAATGGCAGGAGGACTGGGGAGCGGGACGAGCGCGGTAAGCCCTCTTCCTCTGCTTCATACGCGCACGCTCGGAATGCTGATGGATCATGGTGCTTAGATGCGTTCGCGAAACTCCGCGAGCTCATCGACGACCTCTTCGAAGCGGACGACAGCCCCGACTCCCAAGACGCCCAATCCTTCTTCTCATCAAACAGCCCAGACTCCTCGCGTCCTTGTCTCTCCGCCTCGATCCTCCGCAAGTTGAGGGTCAGGATACTGGACGCTGCAAAACCTGCTAACGCCAAGGTGAACCATTTCTTTCACCGAGCGCTATAAGCAGTGCTGATATATTTCTGTTCTGAAAGAGGTCACGTGCAGCGACAGGTCAAACTCCCCGTACCCCGAAGACAACGCGTCTCTCGCTCGCCGATATCGAGCCCGCGGACCTCACACGACTCATCAGGCTTCTCGAGCGCTCCGTCCGCGCAGGCGAAGACGTCACACCCTTCCCCACCGCCCCCTCCACCTCATCCGCCATCAAAACCGAAGCAAACGGCGAGGCCGGACCAAGCACGCCTCTCAAAACGCCGGCAAAGACGCCCGGCAAGCGCAGCACTAAGAAGGAACCCCGCTCCGCTACACCGCGCGAGACGTCCGAGCCGCCTGCGTCTGAAGCCGATATACAAAAGGCTACCGTCAGCATTGAGCGGGCTAGGGACGCGGTGTTGGCGGCTGATACAATCTTGGCCCTGTTGTGCGGCGAGAGGTTACCGAGAGAGGCGTACGGCGAGGAGATACTCGGCGCCTGTTTTGCCGCGCTTGGGAACGGGCTGAAGGGCGTCGTGTACCCTCTGCTCGAGTTCTCTTCTTCATCTTCGTCGGCGGGAGGAGTGCTGGCATTGTTCGCGAGTAACGGCAAAGGCGCCGCCGGAGGGAGGAGCGTGCTGGACGGCAAGAGCATACTGCGCGAGCTGTTCGAAGAGGCCGAGAGCGCGGTGTTGAGGGCCAGCAGGCTCGTCAGTGGCGAGAGGGTCGCGTTGGGCGAGGGATTGCTTCTCCAGGTACACTCCTCCTCTCCGTTCATATCGTAGTCGGGTGCTGAAGCAATGATTGTATCGTACAGGCTTCGTCGGTCGCCATTGGCCCGTTCTTTGTCGCTGAGCCCTCGACGGCTTCGGCAGCTACGACCGTGCTGGGCGCGAAACCGGGCGAGAGGCTGCGGTATGCTGGTCTGGCGCTTATTCGGACTGTACGTTTCTGTCTCTCACTCAGGAGTGGCGCGATGCTGATCGCCAATGTGTATCGTATAGATCTTCAGCGCTCGCGAGGACCAACGCGCAGGCATACTCGAAGACGTACTCGGCAGCCTCGTCCGCCTCTCCGCGGGAAGCGCAAAGCCGGCTATGTTTAAACTGCGCAACGGTATGCCGTTTCCCTCCCCGTACTGCAGCTCGTACTCGAACTCACGTCACCTGCTATAGGCACCTCCATCCGCACCGTCTCGGCACTGCTTCTCCAGCTCATCCAGTCCTCCGCGCACGACGTGAGGGTCAAGGCGAGGGTGTATGAGAAGGAGAGGATGAGGGAGAGCGCGTTGAGGAGGGCGAAGAGCATGAACGAGGATGAGGTAAGTTTTTCTCATATTTATTTGGTTCTTCTTTGGTCCTCTTGCTCTCCAGGGTGAGCACGCATCGCGGTCGTTATTGCGGGGTTCTCGGTGGGTGGATGTGGGGATATGTGGCTCGTGGTCGCAGTTCGACCTGGGTGCCCATTCGATCACTTACACCCGCCACACCTCACAATGGTGATCGGGCTTGTTTGCCTTTCCTTGTTTACCTTACCCATGTTATATGCCGTTTGATGTGGTCATTCCAGTGAGCGTCGTACTGACACTTTGATCTAGATGCACGAGGGCGGCGCATTCCTTGGCAAGCGCGAGCGTGAGGAAGTCAAGATGTACGCCGGTGGACTCGAGAGCGCTACGCGGATCGCGAAGAACATCGTCGCGTTTCTCACTCAACGGTCAGTCGTTTGTCCTCAACTCTCATACTTGTCCGCTCACGCAACACATATAGCTCGGGCAAAGGCAAGACGACGAAGAGCACGAACGAGGCCGAGTACCGCGTCATATTTGAGCACCTCCTCACCGACATCGACTCTGTGCTCTTCTGGCCGGAGTGGCCGGCGGCCGCTACACTCCTCGGCATCGTGACGAAAGTCTTCGTCAACGCGCTCGAGCCGCAGCAGCACAACGCGCGCAAGGGTGATAAGAAGGGCATGGAGGAGGACAACAGCGCGCTCAAGAGCATCGCGCTGGATCACCTCGGCGTCGTCGCTGCACGGCTGAAGAGGTGTAAGAGGGGTGAGGGTCTGGTGGCGATGGAGGATATCTGCGTCGCGCGCGATGTGTCCGCGCTTGAGCGCTTGTTGGCTGCGCATCGTGACGTCGGCGCGTTCTTGCGCCGCAAGGCTACCGAGGATGCGTCGTTCGAGACTGCTCGTGAGCTCGCGGCTACGACGTTGGCGCAGGAGCTCGCTTTACGGTTGCAGGAGTGCGATAAGGCTTTGTCGAGGCTGGACGATGGTGAGACGGACGAGCCGTTGCTTGGACTTGCGAATGCGCTGAAGGGCGCATTGGCTGAGGTGTGGAAGGTTGATCCGAGCGACGTGTTTACCGAGTACGTCCCCGCCTCTCTATGATGCCGAACCTGTACAGGAGCCTGACCGTTTCTGCAGCTCTGTAGAAGAACAGAAACGCGTAGACAAGCTCTCCGTCGAGCTCGGCGCCGTCCAAGACCTCCGCAAGAGCCACGAACACATCATGCGCGTCGTTCTCCACGCCCTAGACGCCACAGCCGTCTTCATGCGCACCAAAGCCCTCAAAGCGCTCGGTCAAGTCGTATCGGCCGATCCCAGCGTGCTCGAGGCTGAGAACGTCAAAGAAGGGATCAACCACCACTTGAACGACGTATCACCACAGACACGCGATGCCGCCGTGGACCTTGTGGGGAAGTATGTGCTCGATAGTCCGAGCGTCTTGAAGGATTACTTCCCGCTGCTCATCAACCGAATTATCGATACGAGCCCTGGTGTCCGCAAGCGCTCTATCAGGCTGTTCAAGTCTATCTACGCCGCGACCGACGATCACTCCCAGCGCGTGGACATCTCGCGCGCGCTCGTGCTGCGCCTTGCGGATGAGGACGATCAAGTGAAGGATCTCGCCCTCAAGACTCTGGAGGAGCTTTGGTTCCCGCCTACACCCGCCCTCAAGCCGCGCTCGAACTCGTCCGACAATGGTGCTACCGCTGCGAAGGAAGCTCTTCAGTCGCGCATGCTCGTGCTTATGGATGTGGCGGAGAAGTACGGGCCTGCTGTCGAGCAGCTTTTGCACCGGCTAAGCGACGCCGACGGCCAACTCAAGCGCTATGGCGACCTCGTCGACGCGCTCATGGAAGCCCTCATCGACAACGCGCCGCCAGCGGGCTTCACCATCGTCAAGTGCATCAGGACGATCCACCACTTCGTCGCCGCTCGCCCAGCACTGCTCACGCCCACCCATGCCGACGCATTGGAGCCGTACCTCACGAACGCTACAGGCGCAGAAGACCGCGAGATAGCGCTCTACGTGCTCAAGATCTTCCGCGTCGCAGTCCCGCATATGCCACACACCGCCAAGAAGTTCGGCACGAAACTGCAGAAGACGCTCCAGCCTTTGATCCTCAAACCCATCGTGGGAAACAGCACCACGACGACGCAGGAGACCGTCGCGTGTTTCTGCGCGGCTGTCAAGTTCTTAACGGACGATTATGAGGCGCTTGCGAGGTTGTTGGCGGGGTGTTTCAAGAAGGTGCAGGAGATGGCTAGGGTGGAGTTGAAGAATATCGCTGCGAATGCTAAGGTGGATCCAAGGGGGAGGGAGTACCTGCAGGCGATTGTAGCGTTGATATGCGAGCATTGCGACTGTGATGTTGTGAGGAAGGAGCATCCTGGTAAGTTGGCAGTCGTGCACATAATACCGTGCCGACCGCCTGCTGATCGATCTCGTAGACAAAGTCGAAGCGTCATTCAAGCTCATTTCATCCGAGCCTGGCTCATCCGTCACATTCGCCGTCTACCAATCCTTCCTCAAGCTGTACGGATCATTCAAAGACAGCCGATCCCGAGGGAACATTCTCAAATCGCTCGGCTTCCTCTTCCGCGCGTACCCTACGCTCATGACAACACAAGAGTCGTTCGATATCATGGACGACGTCTTCATGCGTGGCACGGAGGAGGATCAGCGCGGGCTGCTGAGGCTCATTCAGGAGTACTTCCAGTCTGAAGCTGAGAAGCATACTGCGGCGGAGAAGGAGAAGGCTAAGGCGGACGGCAAGGGTGCTTCTTCGGTCGATGCGGGCGAGCTGAGCGGCAATACGGATGGCTATGCCGAGTCGGGCGTGGCGAGTACGGTTGTGCAGCGGTTCTTGGACCCGCACATCCTTCGTGCTGCACTCTCCAGCAACGCCGCGACTCAAGCTCTCGGAGTGGAAATCCTCACCTTTACCGTCAAGCAAGGTCTCGCACATCCGATCCAGTGCTACCCCGTACTCGTCGCGCTCGAAACGAGTCCAACGCAGAGCATCGCCGGTCGCGCCGCGAGCTTGCACGCGTACCTCCACTCCAAGCACGCCAGCATGCTCAAAGACTTCACCGCCTGCGCTCGCAAGAGCTTTGAGTACCAACGCTCTCTCGAGGCCATCCCGCGCGGCTACCGCGGTGCGAACCCTCCTGTCGCTCTGCTTCAGCGGTGGTACTCCCTCGTCCGCGAGAAGCGCCTCGCCCGTCTCGACTTCCTCCGCTCGCTCGCGCGTGCATTGCGCGTACCCGACAATCTGAAGATGAGCGCAGACGACGTCCAGTTCGCACGATACATGGCGGAGAACTTTGCCGCGATGGAGTTCAAGGCGAACGAGGAAGTGCTCACTGTCATTCGGTGTTTGACCGACGTGCTGTCGACGGCGGGTATGGCGCTCGTGCAAAGGTTACAGCCAAACGGGCTGGCGGCTATGCTCAATGACGGCGAGGACGTGCAGATGCAAGATGCTGACACGAGCGCCGAAACGGAGGCTTGGCGCTCAATCGACAACTTGCCCGTTATGCACGGCTCGGTCGTCGTGGCCATAATCATGCTCCTCAAGGCGCACCTCAAGAGCTTGTACGGGCTGCCGGAGGAGTGGGTCACGTTTTCCTTTCCTTGCATGACTGTAGTGCTGACTTGAACTTGATAGGAAATGCCTGAAGTACCACCCTGGGAAGAAGTCAGCTGTCGGTGACAAAGCCGCCGTGCGTCGTTCCGGCGCGCCGTTGAATTGGGAGCGGCTTCCGTTCGCGACTGCCGCGCTCAACACGGTCGAGGATATCTCTCAACAGCGCGATGCAGTGAGTACCATGCTCACTCTGAATGTTGAAATGGCGTGGCTAACGGCGGACCTGCAGTTCCTGAAGATCTGGGAGGAGGATGGGGTGACGGAAGAGCCTGACGAGGACATGATAGACGCCTAAGCGGCGGCTGGCCCGCGCTCCATGGCATCCATCCGCCATCCGACTCGCTCCGGACTCTGGAGTCAGGACTGTCTCGACGGCCGTCTCAGCGAGCGGGTTCGGCTCCATCTCCACGAGTCTTTGCTATATCATTATTCTTGTGCTCTTCGTTCCTGCTTCTGGGCTCGAGACGATGGACTCGTTTGTTCTGTTCACCTCTGACCTTTGCGACTCGTAGTATGTTCAACCATTTGTAATACCCCTCACGCACTGCAGTACAAGTACAGTATTCCCCTGATGTAGAGTATATTGTCATTGTACGCCCGAGCGCCCCTAATGAAATGATTGACGCGCATCCAGTTTGTCAGCCCGGGGTTGATGCGTGCGTCACCGACGGCCGGAAGCTCCGGCATGATGGTCATAAAGCCCCTATTGCGAGCTCTACATTACCCAACACCAGACGCCGATCCCACTCTCACACACTGAACCCTTTTAACCTATACCACGAACCTTCTCCCCGGACTCTCAACCGCAGCAGCCATGTCTACGACTTCTACGACCGTGACGAGTCCGAAAGCGGAAGATGTGCCTCCGGCGCAGGAGGCCGTGAGCGGGGTCGTGGGCACGCTCACACCGCACCAGAAGACTATGTTCGATAGCTTTCGTGCGATCTTGCAGAAGGCCAACCTATACAATCCGGATACTCATGACGACGCCACCCTCATGTACGTCTACCGTACTCTAACTATATAAAGGACTTGCATTTGCTGACAGGAGCGTTGCTTGGTGTTTACTCTTACAGTCGATTCCTGCGTGCGCGACGCTACGATCCGGCTAAAGCGCATGATCAGTTTGCGAAGACTGAGGCTTGGAGAAAGGAGAATGATGTGGATAATCTGTACGCGACGTTCCCCACGGAGGAGATGCAGCGCGCGAAGTTGTTCTACCCGCGCTGGACGGGCAGAAGGGATAAGGTGCGTTCACTCCAGTCTTGAAGTGTGCTTGATCGGTATACTGAACTTCGTACATTATAGCAAGGAGTACCCGTATATGTCTACAGGCTAGCGTCATTGGACAGCACGATGCAGAAAGAGCTGAACGCGACGTCAGAAAGGAGACGCTACGAGCGCATCGTAGCCCTCTGGGAATTCATGCGTCTATTCACCCTGCCCCTATGCTCCGCCCTCCCGCACGCGCCCCCTCTACCAGTACCAGCCACACCCAACCCCTCTTCGCCCGCGTCAAAAGCAGTGAACGATATCCCCGCCGCATCAGAGATCGCAACAGTTACGGGCGTCGTGTCCCCGGACAGCAACGTCCCCATCACATCCGTATTCTCCATCATCGACCTCGGCGGCGTATCGATGACTACGATGTGGAGTCTGAGGCATCACTTGCAGCAGGCTTCTGAGCTTGCGACGGCGCATTACCCCGAGACGTTGCATAAGATCGCTGTGGTCAATGCGCCGAGCTTCTTTGGCACCGTGTGGGGCTGGATCAAGGTATGCCCGCTTTCATATCCATATTCCTTCGACTAGTGCTCATCGATTGCGTAGGCTTGGTTCGATGAAGGTACACGGACGAAGGTGCATGTGCTGGACTCCAATCCCGGTCCGACACTCCTCACTATGATCGACGCCGAGAACCTGCCCAAAATCTACGGCGGCCAACTTGATTTCGAGTTTGCCGACGAACCTGTACTTGATGCGCCCGCAAGGGAAGCACTCGGTCAAGATTCTGTTCCCGCTGGCCCGGTCGTGTACGACGTCGCTGAGCGTAAATGGGGAAGACCTGCGGGGTACGTAGAACCGCAACCTTCGGCGCAGACCGTTGCGGGTGAGGACAGCGACGCGACTGCCGTCGGCAGCGAATCGAGCGCTAGGTCGAGCGTGGACGAGGGTACGCTGCGCAAGAGTGACAGCGTCAAGAGCAAGCGCCGGTGGCTCAACTTCTCGTCTACGAACTGAGCATCCGCACATCCTGCTTACACTGATAACTCATGGTAACTTATACTGTAATGTTCCGCTGCATACCGGCTGTTTACTCTCCGCTAAGGATGATGTTGTATCTATACTAGTCCATGTAATACCTGACAACCAATGAACCTCGTGCCGAGAACGATCACTGTTCAAAGAAGAGGGGTGTTCGGGTGAATGTCTCACAGAACTGTAACTTGTCCTGAACCATCACCACGACGGGGTTATACTTCTGACGCCGCTCATCCTGGTCACTCGCATCTGCCGGTACTGCTTGCTCTGCATTAGGCATCCTACCCCAATTGTGCTCCTCTTGCCACATATATGGCTGCACCGTATGTCGTCTTTCCTCAGGCGCTGCTGACACGCGTGTTGAGCTTGTCATTCTACAGGTCCCGCCCCCTGTGGGATTCTCACCTCAGCACTATTCTTTCACCCTTCAACAGTACCTCTAGTACTCGATCTCTAACTGCACTCTCAGCAACTCGCGAAGCAGTACAGCTCGAACTCTACGAGGCGCGACGAGCGACGCAGCGCATTGCCACCGTCTGGAATGCGCACACGGCTATCTGCAGGCTCCCTCAGGAGGTGCTCGAGAACGTCTTCGCCTCTCTCAGAGACATCTACATCCCCGGTGTATATGGCCGCCCAAGGCTCGGCTATGTCGTTATCCTACACGTTTGCCGGCTATGGCGGGAGATCGCTCTTCAAGCCCCTCGTATCTGGACCTACATCGAATTGGGACTGGGATCCGCCTGGGCGAACCGCTTCCTCGAGCTCTCGTGCACCCTTCCGTTGAAGATGGATCGGTTCCCGAATGCTACTAGTACCGCCCAAGCGTTATCCATCATCTCTCAGGTTCTCCGCCATGCGCCTGAAAGGATCACCGTACTGGACCTACCAAACGGGATCTACGACGCTTCGGAGTTATTCGGAATCTTGTCATCCTGCGAGTCGCCGCTTCATCTCGGGAAACTATGTATCTCATCGGAATGGACCCCGCGCGCTTCACTTCCTCTGCGTATCTTCGAGGGCGTAGGTCATGTCGGGATCTCAGAAGCGCTGACAGGGGCGAGCCCACAACTCGACTGGTCAACACTTTCGCGTACTATACGTTGTCTGGAACTGGGGTTCGAAGATCACTCGGCTACGAAGGTCGAACCCTGTCACGGACTGTTCACGGCTCTCGGTCAATGTGTTCAGCTGGAGTCACTACACATCAAGTCAACTTTCCTCGAAGCGATACCGGTCGAGGGTACAATAGATCTTCACTGCCTGCAGAATCTCTCTCTATCAGGAAAAGCCTCTACCGTCTCGGCCTTCCTGGACGCCGTCGTTCTCTCCACCACCTTGAACAGACTCAAGCTCGCGATCACCGAGGCTGACGCTGCCAACTGGACTGCCATTGCTGCACGCCTCCAGCAGGGATCAGGTCGACTCACAAGCCCTGCGTACAGGAGCCTCTTCCTACGCGGCTTCACAGGCTCCGTGCACATCCTAGCCTCGCTCGAGAACACAGGTCCCTTACGACCGAACCGCGACTTCAAACGCACATACATCGCCCTAGAGCTCTCCGTCCAATCGCCCTTCCATCTTGGCAGACCTCCGCGTCACGACTATGTCAGTATCGCAACGAACGTGCTCTCGTCGATCGACCTCTCTTCATTGAAGACGCTGCACATCGACCAGTTCCGGACCTCTCCTAGTCATTGGCTGGAATCTTTCAGACACGCACGCGCGCTCCGCCATATCGTTCTCAAGGATCCGGATACCTCGCTACCGTGCGTTATAGCTCTCGGCTCGTCTTATCACGGGGAGACGCCGTCGGGCGCGGAGGACCTCTTGTTTCCAGCCTTGCAAACGCTTTCGTTCGAGGGACTCGATCTCGCCAAACCCATCGTCACCGAATTCGTCTCAGGAAGCGTATCCATCGCACTCGGCAGCACATTGGCTACACGCGTAGTTCTTAACTGCGTTCCGCGATCTTTGGTCCTGGCAGAGTGCAAAGTCGAGCAGCAGGAGCTGCAGAGTTGGGTCGACGTCGTTCCGGCGGAGATGCGGGATTGGACGGTGGATAGTTTGCGGATCGGTGCAGATACGACGGGAAAGCATCATGATATGCCGGATTCAGTGGACAGATGATGAAGTTGACGTGGGGCCGTACGACAGCGAGTACTTCATATTGTAACGACCGTAGCACTATGTCAATGAATCACTAGCACAACTCACGCGTGATTCTCCCGATTCAGCTGCAGTCTCAGTGCTCGCAATCCCTATCAGAACATCAGCCACCCAGCGTGCATAAGAGGTGACTTCGTGGACAATAGCTCACACCACAGTACGAGGCCTGAAACATCGGATCCCCCATATACTCGATATCGACTTCTACACCCTACCCGGTTTCACGCGAATTGAAAGGCTTAACAATGCGGGTACATGTCCCCGCTGACATAGTAGCGCCACTATCGTTGGATTCATTGATATTCCGCTAACTATATGTTAAAATCAATCTACTCTCCAGAGCGAGACAACTCGCGGGTCAAAGACTCCATAGACCACTCCCTCATGTCTTCCGGCACCGCCTCCACCAACTCAGCAAGCGCATGTAGATCCGCACTACAGTGAGTTAGATGCAATCTTCGAGGCGCACAGCCAAGCGATGCTCGAGTCACCAGAGCGTCCTTGAGTAAGCCTACACCGTATATGGGTTCCATGGACGGAGCAAGAACCTCCAAGCGCATCGAAGCGCCCCAGGTGACAATCTCTTGCAAGCCTGGGAGCAATGCATCCTCTGGAGCACGCAGAGGCTCCTGTGAGTCCCCTAGTGCCAGGGCGCGTAGCATGGTGAGAGTATACTCTCCTTGGAGCACCAGGCGTTCGACCGCAACAGCCCTGCCGAACCATTTGTGCCACATCTCCGGTGGTGCACATATACTCTTGAGCACCAAGTTCTGCACACTGGAGAGATCCATCTGAGCAAGAACGGTGGTCGCAAGCGCCAGGGTGGGTTCGAACGCGTCGTCGACATCGTGTCGAAGGGTGACGTGAAAGGTACTCTCTCCACGCTGGATGGCGTACGGTTGGTCTGTCATTGGATAGCATCCCACTACCAAGACCTCGTGTGATCGCCATCCTTGGTAGACGCATAGACTGTTGTATGGCCGACTGGTTGCCCCGATACGGTTCATGGTGGACACAAAGGCCAACATTTCAAGCGGCGAGGACCCCAAGCCGAGGCTTCTGAACTCGACAACGGACGAGAGATCTTCCACGGCCTGCAAGAAGGTGGCAATTGCGCGGCTTTCTCCGCTCACTATCAGCGAGCGTAGAGCAGGCAGGGAGATTTGACCATCGATAGACATCGTATTCATGAAAGATGATTGAATCTCCAGAGTATGGAGCTGATCGCAGCGTCCTACAACACCAAAGAGCCCTTGGAGGCCACTAGGGATGTAATGTTCGTCGTTCAGGAGGTGGATGCTTTGGAAGGCGCGAGGAAATGATGCCCAGTCGGTGTTGGAACCGGCCATCACGCTGGTGATGAATACATGCCGTACAGATACCAGTATCTGATGCGGGAAAGGCATTCCCGGAGGCTCCGGTGACTTGAGACTCAGAGTACTGAGGTTTCCCAGGGACTTTGAGTGCTCTAGCAATGCAGCTATGAGCCAACGTATGTCACTGACACGCCAGTGTTCGGATCTTGTATCGCCCGCGCGCAGGACGCTCAATCTTTGAGATGCGTTCTCGAGAACTCGGAGGATGGTTTCGCGGATTCGACGTCCCGATGAGCGCGTGGCTTTGTCCAGGATAATGGATTGGTTCCCGGATAGCAAAACAAATTCGGCTGCCCATGTCGGTCCTAATGCCGTCTCGATCCGGGTCCAAAGCTTGCCAGATCCGCGAGCAACCTCTCTCCACAAATGGCAGACGTGGAGAATGCAAACCCATCCGAGTGGAGGTAGAGACCGGTTATAAAGGATCATGGGGGGGTATATATCGGGGAGGAACGAGAAAATGTACGCCAGCACCTCCGTGGGCAAACGGTCTGCAGGTTGAAGACTGTTGTTGTAATCAGACATCTTGAGTCGAATCCAGACCCAAGGGTGGGTCCATATAAGAGGTGAGGGTCGTCCAAGAGATGGGAAGCGTTGAGACAGCGGCCTGACTGACCGGTTCAAATGCGACAGGCCTGTATTGAACTAAGCCTAAACGGGCAGCCGGTGAAAGAATGTCAAGCTCACCTTTGTCCACGCAGTTGAAACAAACCAAACCTACCAACAGTCGTGGTGGTGGTCGCGGGAGTTCGTTGTGTGCGGACGTTAACGGGGCGCGGCAAATCTTCTCACGCTCACGTACGTGCAAGTACCTGCACCAGCTTGCATCGCGGCGCCCTGTCAGTACACACTCTCATCAATCGTACTCAGTCTCTCACAATGACGGGGTAGATAAAAACGTTTGGCATGCTATAGTCGCAATACGCTCATTGTCACGGCTCATATGGTAGGCGCTTGATAATGACGTGCATTGATCTGTACATGAATATGTAATAGCAGACATGCACAGGGTGAATCATTACATATTGGCATGACACGCTACTCATACATATGACGGGAAGATTTGTTCAAGCCATTGGCCGTCCAATCGCGCTGATCCGGTGGTACCGCGTCCGTCCAACGTTCAAACTCGCGTCCGTCCGCAACGCAATCTTGCAACATCAAACACCTCGGGATACATCGCCGATACGCGCGTTTGCTCAGAGTAAGCTTCATCACAGCGGCAGCATGACCCGGATTCAAAGCAGGAGCGACGATCTTCGTGAAATCGGCATCGCGAATCGTAAGTTCTTGCAGCGAAGGAAAGAGCATCTCTTCGAGAGGTGGCCCCAGTTCTGAAGGCATGGTAGGATAGATAGGTGATTGAGGCAGTGGAAGTCCGAGCGCGCGAATACACGAAAGCGTGTCCGAGGATTCGAGGGTGAGTTGTTGAACTTCGCGTGCGCTCCCAAACCAGCGATGCCAAAGACTAGTAGGTGGCGCCGACAACCCCTTGACCTTCAGACGTCGAAATTGGGATATCTGCATCGGGCGGACGAGGGTATCCGTAAGTTTGACACCAATATCGGAAGTAGGAAACGAAAACGCTATCGAGGTCTTCATTGTGCTTGGCGACACGTGCGGGACGCTGACCTCGAGATAACCCGTGCCCGACTGATATCGAGAGGATCAGCTGAGCGTTGAGAAGGCACTGCAAGGACAGGGTGAAGGCGTGAATCCAGATGGAGCTTCCAGGCATCGTGGGCGCTATTCACTTTGAGTCTAGAACCGATGTTGACGACGAGATGGAGGACACACCTGAAGTTGTCTGCCTCCATATAGGGCGATGGAACCGAAGGGGAGCTCATGTACGCTTGAAATACTCTAATTCATCTCAAGGACATGTTCACCACGTCGCTACGCGCATGGTCGTGGTTCAAGGAAGACAACGCTACTGCGGCGACGGCAGAGACGCGAGGTGTCACAGGTAGTCACATCATTGTACCGGCAACGTTGATGAGCATACTCTCAATTCGATCCACCAGCTAAGATGGTGTCCATGATAGGGTATCGACAAGTGGCAAGTAGATAACCATACAGGCTAGTATACAGTAAGCGGTATCGAGTAGATTACAACGCTAGCATTGTTCCGAGTACATTCGTTACATTGGAGTCATCCCGCCCTCAAACAACAGTCGGTGCCTTCTGCTCGGAGCCAAACGCCTCGTCGACGGGGCCAGACGCAGCAGGTGCAGGTGTAGCTGCCGGTGCAGCAGCAGATTTGTGCTCAGCAGCAATGCGACGGGCCTCCTCGTGGATGTCGAGGACCTGCTTGGAGGTTGTCGTGTAGAAGGTGCGGACCTTCTGGCCGACGGGGGTACTGAGTGCCTTCGCGTAGTACTGTAAGACGATATCACATGTCAGCAGCTGTCCTCTATAATGAGCAAAACGGGGAAGTACGTACATCCCAGGCGGTCTTGGTGATGCCCTTCTGCTCGTCAATCGACTTCGCAGACTTGTGCGCGTTGCCGATGGTCTCGGAGACCTTGCCCGAGATCGTCTTCTCAGGACCGAGCGCCTTCTCGCCGAGGGTTGTGTCAAGGGACTGGAAGTAGGTCAAGAAGCGCTTCGAGATGCCCTTTTGGCCTGTATATCCGGTTAGACCGTGCAACGCGCATACGATGATGATGATCAAACGCACTGTCAACCTCGATCGCGCGCTGGAGAATCTGGTCCGAGAGCGTGTACCCACGAGCAAGGTACTCCGCGACGATACCTGCGCGAGGCTTGTCACTCTGGTCGATGTGCTCGCTGGCAGCGTCGTGCTCCTCGTCTTCGTGGACAGTGTCTGATGTCACGCTTAAGTGTGCGCCGTCAAGAGAACCACCGTTGAGCTACGGATCGCGGTCTTGATCAATATCCGGCCGCCATTAAATGAATGAACCAGTATACTCACGATCAACGCAGTCTTGGCTGCTGAGGGCTTCTCAAAGTGAACGACAGCAGTGCGAGGTTCCGCCTTCTCGTTCAGGTCGATCGATTGGATCCTAGGACAGTGAATGAGGACAAAGACTAGCATCGGGCAATCGGATATGCGTACTTTCCACAGAAGCTATCAGAGTCGTCAGTACGCGTCACGATGAATAGAAAACTTGGTAGACTCACGAGAAGAAGTCATTCAACTGCTGCTGGGTGGTCGTCGGGGCGATGCCGGTAACCTACGGATCTCGCGTTCAGCTACAGCCGTGGGGTATAAACCACGGAGTGCACATACGGTAACAGTGTATGTGGACATGGTGTTCGTGAGTTGCGGTGGTGGTGGTAGTGGATAGAGAAGCGAGAGGGAGTAGATAGTTGGAAATCTCTATCGCGGGCGAACCGCGCGGCTTTATACATGATGTCACCGGGCCGCACGTCATGGTGGCGGGGCCAATCAGGGCTCCTCTAGGCGCATCACGGCTGCGCACTAGCACCGACCGTAGTCCCTGTGCGTACCTTCTAGCTCATGCCGGTCATCGCCATTCGCGAAGGTGCTTGAACGTTGAATCGGGATACCGAAGCGTACGCCGAGCGGGCCGGCGAGATGGAAGGAGAGATTACAACAGCCAATAAACATAAATCATTATCGTAAGGTACATCCGAGTCGTGGTTAATCAAGTTGGTACGATCATTCAGCGGCGACGGAAGATGATAGCATGTCGAGTGAGTAAAGCTACAGGTACAGCGACGATAGTGAGGAAGATCACAGTGGCGGAGAACAGGAACGATGAGGATTTCACAGGGCGAGCTACAGGGCCCCCGAGTTTAGAATCAGAGGACGGTTTTGAAACGGCAGGCGTGGATGTTACCTCGATGTCAAGGCGCGCCGGGAAGGGCGATAGCTGGCTGTCGTCGGTGCAGTAGATAATCTGCGGCACACCACGGACGACGTCGGTGAAGCGCGAGAACTTGCCCGCGTTGCCAGCGTGGCGGTGAATGTCGGGCAAGCTGAGGATCTCGTATAGAACGCGTGGCGCGATCTTGTCGAAGTATTGTGGGTTAAGGAGACTGAATGGGAGGCGTCAGTCCGAAGGTGCGATGAAGACGCCATTGAGAGTACGTACCCGCGAGGCTCCAGCCCGAACGCCTTCTCCATGGTGAAGCCAGCCGGGACGGACTTGAGGAAAGACTGTGTCTTGAGGTTCGCGTCGACGACGCTCACGTAGACACGCTGGCCTTTCACAACGGACTGACCCTCCACGGTCGCAGAGGACCTGGCGGTGAGCATCATCGTCGGGATGGCGGGATCAAGCCCTACATCACGGGTCAGTGATCCGTTACAAGCATAGGCATATACCGGTGCACTCACGCAGAGCCTCGTAGATGTAAGGCAGGGCCTCAGCATGACGTCCGGACTTGCAAAGCGATACGATGGCATCGCGCTCAGCCTTGCGGTCGGCATCGACGTAGAAGTTCACGACGTGTGCGAGGACCTTGGAGAAGATCGGCGCCGTGGGTACGTACTCCGCGAAGACGCTCGCCGCGAGACTCTCGCGCGCACGGTTCCCATCGCGGCTCTGGAGCTCCTTGCACAGGGCGGCAATAGCAGGATCGTTGTGGTCGTTCAAGGCCGCAATGCTCTCCGTGAGACGATGGAAGTATGGGAGCGGGTTGAAGACGCTGCTGAGCGCGTCGCCGATCTGCTGCTTTATCTTGCCGGTGACCTGCGTTGCGATCTTGAGCCCAGCCTCGCGAAGGGACCAGTCCTCCGTAGGCAACGTGTTGAAGTAGACGTAGTTCGATGCGGCCGAATACGCGAGGTACTGGCTGGTAGGCGTGAAGGGGCCGTATCTGTTCTCAAGCGTCTTGAGCCCGGTGCCAGTCTATCGAGTAGATGTTAGCCGGTATTGCACATGGAGAACGAACTGTCTTACAATATCGTCGCAGATCCAGTGGATAGGCAACATGTTGAGAACGTCACCGACGATGTCAATATGCCGTCCAGAGGAGAGCTTGTGCGCGGACTGGCTGATGAGAGTCTTTGTCAGATCCACGAAGCGCTCCGCCGCGTGCTCCGTCGTGCTTGCAGTATACAACGCATGCCGCACCTGAGTCGAGCGTCAACACAAACTCGACTCATGAAGACCGAGAAGCACGTACGATAGTCGGGTTGATACCAACATTGCCCGTCAAGATGTCCAAGCGCTCGGCAGAGGCCGTTGCGAAGACCTCGGGGTGTTCGAGTACGTTCCGGACATCCTCGGGTTTGCGCACAACAACGACGGGCCCGACGGGTGTAGCAGGTGCGTTCCAGTCATACTTGGCGACAACGTTGTCGGGCATCTTCGCCGCGTAGGCCTTCATCTTCTCCGGAACCATGAAGGGGAAGTGCGCGTAAGCCGATCCAGGCGGGTAGTAGTCCGGCAATGTTGTGAACAGCATGCGCGTGAGCATGCCACCGTACGAACCATCCTTCTCGTCCGTCTGTGTATATTGCCAACCCCAGGTGGTCAGGTTCGCGGCTAGAATATGCATGCATTTAAAAAGCGTTTATCAGGAGAAAGAAGCAGTGTACTCACGGGTGTTATCGTCGCACATGAAGCGATCGCCGCGCACTAGCGCGACGGCGTCAGCGAGAATCGTACGCGAGATCGTGTATCCCGGGCACAAGCCAGCACCGGGCATAACGGGCTTCGCCTCCTCAGCCTGAAGACCGACATGCAGCTCGAGGTGATTGATGTCTTTGTAGATATCCTGAGCTGTAGCCTGCAGAGAGTGTGAGCGCTTGGTTGCATGTGGCATTCAGATAGAGTGCGTACAGCGATGTCAGGGTCCGAGTTCCATTCCTCGAAGCTCTCGAATGCTGAGAAAGAGTCAGTCATGACACGGCGCCCGTAGGATCGGTTTCGAAGGACGTACGCTTGAGCCCGATGAACTTCCTGAACTCGTTCATAGAGCACGAGCTCCAGGCCCTGGACTGCATGATGCTTAGGACCTCGACAATCCGGAGGGCCTCGGGCGTGCCGCGAGCCTTGTATGCTGCCGCAGACGCGGCTGTGGCACCGTGTAGGATACGGGCGAGATCAGCATCAGCGAACTTTCCATCGCTGTTGCGCTTCAGACTGTATGATGTTGAGTTTGAGCGTTTTTGGCGTGTGAGCGGGAGACCCAACTCACCCGCCAAACTCCCACTTGCTAGGAGGAACAGACGCAGTTTGTTGTGAGAGTGCAGCAAAGGCGCCCTTGAGGTCCATCACGGTCATCTGGAAGACTCAATGAGCTTGTTGCTGTACAGCGAGGGCTACCAAGCGCACCAATGCGGGATCCTTCCCACCGAGAAGTGTGGCCAGCGTTTTCTCCGTCCACTCCGTGTCATGTTGAGATAGCGTGGCGTGCCACCTGTAGAGAAGGTTGAACTCAATGGAGCAAACGTTGCCGCGGCCCGTGGCAGACACTGCGTTATCCGACTCGCGGATGGCCTAGTGCTGTGTGTCAGAACAACGGTCGGGTGGTATGGTCACCAACGTACGATGCGGGGGTCCAAACGCCATGTTATGCCATCGCGGACCAGACCAAGAATAGCAGCCACATAGTCGCCGAGGATGATCTGCATGAAGAACCCGCAGTTCACCAGACGAGCGCGCTGGAAGATCTCCTCATCCTGGTTCTTACGAGCGGTCTCATCGGCGGGTGGTGGGTTCTGGTACGTTCCGTTCTCGTTGATGGCGAAGATCTTCTGAGCGATGTACTGCGTGAAGTGTCAGCCAAGCGTGGTCGGTTCGGAAAGCAAGCAAGCGCTTACATTATGATTCCGGCTCAGAAGAACGAGAAGAGCACCGCTGGAGGGCGGCATGAACAGCAGACGAGTGTCCGAGAACGAGTCTTCCCAGAGTAGACCAGTTCCGTCGCTCTTGCGCACCCGAAGTTGTTCCTCCACAGAGCTTCCGTACAGCGGGCTGAGGTCAAGATAGCTGCTGACGTTGTTGTTCACATAGCCATTCTGTTCATGTGAAGTATTGAAGATACTGTGAATGACGAGGTTGGCGAATGCGAAGAACATGCTGGATATGCCGCCCGGGTGCTCCTCAAACTTGTCGCGTTTAAGTAATCGCTCAAAGACCTCGTTGGGATCAGGAAGAGTGGCTTTATTGACAGCCTGCTTGGCTGGCACACTGCGTGCGTATGGTGTGCGGGCCATGCCCATAGCCGGGGCAAGGGCAGAGTAATTAGACCCGTCCGCTGAGCGAAAGTTCCATGGGTTGGCTTTGGCATACTCAGGCTGGCCGTTGACGGTCGGGAGGGTCACGTCTGTCGCAGTAACGCTGCCGTCAAGAGGAGTGGGTGTTGCACCGTTGGGATAAGGAGCGGGTGATGAGCCAGACTGATTACGAGGTACAGCCGTGGGTGGTTGTCCGAGATAGTTTTCGGGTGGGTGCGGCAAGTCATTGTACACTGAGCACATGAGCGATGCGCTGATAGTACATGTTGGAGCTATGACTTACGCATCGCAATAACTGTCTTCTGTAGCTGCTTTCCGGCTGAGCTGCCTGGTGGTGAACGTGCCATGATAGTTAGTATATCTTCGAGCTAAGAGACGCAGGTCAAATCTGACACGGGTGTGTAGTAGACAACGAGAACGCACGAAGAACTTGCGATCGTCAAGACCCCGCCCTTTTGCATGCTCCAATGCATCGATGAGTGCGGGCTGTATCTACATGAGGCAAACAAACAATGGTAGAGCTCATGCGCACTGACCAGATCGTTAGGCGTTACCGGCAGGCCGTGGAGCTGAATATACTCTGCATCGCGCAGCAGTTGCTCTACGAGGCCGACAGTATCCGGAGCGCCATTAGGTTGCAACGGGGCAACGCTATCATTGATGAGGCTGGTAGTCGCGATGAGCGGGTCCGTCACAGTGTGGCGCAAACGGTCGGTGATAGACATCGCGAGCCGAGGGATGGATGCTGTGGAGCGGGGCAGGCCACAGGAGTGGGTGCCATGTCAGGCTGATAGTGTCTTATAAGTAGCGCGGCTGCATGGGAGATCAAACACGATGCCGAGGCGCGGGCGAACGTCGATGGTGAGTGTTCCTTGAAAGAGCGGGGCAAGTCGCATCCGGCGTTGATGCCTCCGTACAGCCGTAGGCGCGTCCTTGACACCGCCCACCATCATCTCACCATCTTGCCCGAACATCTTCGCACACTGCGCTTCCGCGCGCTCAGATCTCAGAGCACATACGGCGGCCAGATAGCAGCGGCTTCACCGTTCGCCGTGTAAAGAGCGAGCTCTAGTGTGCGCCTGTCAATCTGACGTTGCGACGTTGCCCTGAAGGGTTCAGCGGCGCCGCTCGCAGCCGTCTCCAGCTGTCTGCTCCGTGTTCGAGTACGACCACACCCGAATCAGCACGTACAATGTATGTACAGGAAGCACCATACGTTTCATCAAATGATACAAAGCTCTGAAGCCCTTGCCTTACATGGCCATCGTACTACGCTAGAAGACAGGCTTTTGTCTTGTACTACTAGCAGAACTGCATCTCTCCCTGATGTTTACGCCGCAACAATCACGTCCGGCGCCCAAACATCCATGCAGCGATCGGGGGACTTGTGCAAAGGCGGTTAGGTTGCCGCAGCATTATATCGAGGGCTACCTTTTGGGCCACTAAGGCTGCTTCTAATTCAGCGCCGCGCGTAATGACGGTTTGCATAGCCGACGACGGCTCGCCCCGTCATGCCGTGCATGCAATCAGGGCAAACAGGCATATACCGATGTCTCGCAGATTACATCGGCAGATCGTAGATCGAGTTAATACTCAGGGAGAGTCATTTCCGGCCGCAAGCGATGCGGAAGTGGCTGTTCGCAAGTATTGAAAGCCGCATGCCTCAAACTACGTATGTCCGAGGACCTCCATAGTAGCATCACAACCGTGACGGAACTGGGCCGCCCTCGATTCGCTCAAACATAGTAACCAGTAGCTCAGCATGACTTATGTATCACGGCGGCCGTGACACTGCGTCGTATGTCTCCAGAACACCATCCCGCCTTGCAACCCGCTGCCATTCCGGCGAAGTACAGCCCTAGTCCGCACAACCCACTGTTCAGCGGGCTAGTGCAGATGCAGGCGAAGGTTTGGCTCTGCTTGAGCATACTTACAAGGGGAACCAACTATGTACCGGCGAAGGACCTCCTTGAGTGCCGGTCGCGGTGCTTTTAGCTCTAGTGCGGGGCGTGTCAAGTTGGTGTCAAGAAACGACCATGGAATAATCACAGACGCTCGACCAGACCGAACAGACGATATTGTGCCTATATAGCGGTGCCGAAGCGTATGGACTGGCAGCGCATCCGTTACGTATAACCCAGGACTGTAGGATTGCGGGTGCAACAAGGAAGTCCACAATCGCTCTTCCGGCGTCTGCGACCTCCGGAGAACAAAATCAGGTACGCGCTCAGACGCGCTCACGTGAGTTCAGTGATAATAGCAAGTGCGAACGTGCCGTAGTACGCAGAGGCTCACAGACGGTAGATCTTGTCTTCAGCTACCTCTAGCATCCGGACTGGGTTGAAGGGTGCGGAATCGGCAGGGCAGAAATGGCAAAGTCTCAGACTTACCTTGTTCAGTCCAAGACAGCGCTTGGTCGAGTCTGTACAAGACCTCGCACCTACAATCATTGCTCTATGCGGGGCTACGTTCACGACGATCACACTCTCATACCAACTTTCAGCTTAACTGCCTCTGCTACACGTAATGTCATCAACTCCCCAGACCCCATTCACCCACCTTTCCGCTTTCTGGACCCACCATCGCACACTCGCAATCATCTTCACCATACTATCCGCTGTGGGCTTCGGAACACTCTCCGCAGGAGCCGCCCTGGTTCTGCGTATCCTTGTACGCATCTGGCTACGAAGATCGAAGAAGCCTCACACCAATCTCCGACCTCTTCGGCTGCCCACTCTACTCCAAGAGCGCACTTCGTCTACGACGGCCCGGGCACATGTCGGTGCTCTCGTCGTGCACTCTATCTTCATCCCCGCGGTCATCGCCCGCTTCGCGGCCGCGCCCTTAGCGCCTGCTCCCGAGCCCGGTCGGAACTGCACGGAATCCCGGGTACCACGCGCCTCCCTTCACAGCCGGAGTTCGTCCACATCGTCGGACGCTTCTGACGACATCGAACCAATCAAGAGTAGAGGGTTCCTCGTCGGCGGACCGAGAAGGGGAGAGACCTGAAGAGACGGAGTTGAAGGCTTGCGCAGGAGGCGTACCGCATTCGAGTTGCGACGCGAGCAAGTCTGGCGATAGTGTGAAGGAACGACCAGTAGCTCGTATTATATGCCAGTGCCCCTCGCATCATACTAAGACTGGGCCACTGGCACTCGCACCCCTTTTGCGGGCAATACGCGTCGAAGATCGTACATCATGAAGTCAATATCATCCCTCTCGTTCATCATATACAAGTCATTATATATCATCCTATGTTCGACTTCACCGCCTCAAGCCTTCTCACTCTTGTACGCCCGAGGTCGTCGTCCAAACGTGAGCAGTCCGAGGAATGCCAGAACGCCCAATGTCACAATGAACACGAAGATGGTGAGGCCAGCGCCGAGGAAGCCCGCACCAACAGGCGAGATAGGCTGATGAACAGCTGCCTGCTCGCGACCTTGTTGTGTTGCAAGTTGGAGAGCGCCGCATCCGCGAGAGACGGTGTTGCCGCAAGTCGTGCACCACTCGGCCGTCGTGTTCACGGCCGTCGGCTTTTCGGCCCGAATCAGCGAATGGCATCTACCGCCAGTTGATCGGAACTTACATAGAGCGTGTTGACGAACTTCGACAGCTCAACATCACCTGAGCTACCGAGAAGTCCGTACTGGTTGAAGTCCGCGTCGTCCGTTCCGTTCTTGAACAGGAAGCGCAGCATGGGCTCGCCGCCATCAGCTGGCGCGCGTACCTCCAGCGCAACAGCAGCTGCATAGTTCACGATGCCGGCCAGTGAGGTGTTCTGTTCCGCGATTCCCGTTTGATTGAAGAGCGAGAGGAACGGCTTGTATGAGATGGCTTCGACTACGAAGCTCGTCGGGTTGGACGCGTTCGCGACCGCCTGTAGCTGGGTGATGACGGATGGCAGCATTGTCCGCATAGCGACTTGCATGGATGTCAGCGAGACGATCGCGTATGATAGAGCAATGACAGAACGCACTGTTGCCAATGCCGTCAAGACTGGAGTCTGAGAATGTGTAGTACTCGTGCCAGTTGGCGAGATCGCGCGCCTGGGAGAGATACGTTGCTGGAAGGCTGTTGTTGAACGTCGCGTTGTGAATCGAGTTCACGTTCATGAAGTCGAAGATCTGTACTGCTTGTCAGGTCATCCTATTGCGTCTGCATCGCGCATAAGGTCGCATACGTTCCACATGTTCTCGAGTGTGACTGGCCGTCCGTCTAGGTATGGAGGAAGACTCTCCAAGAAGGCGGTACTTTCATTCTGCTTCTGAGAGAAGAAAGTCGAGTTGTAGAACTCAGATACATGGGTCGTGTAAGTCTGAAGTTGTTCATTCAGTACTTGACAGTCGAGGCTGGCCATATGCGACGCACGTTACACGAAGTGAAGCCCTCGAGTTCGACGTCGATAGCAGAGTTGACCGCGTCAACTATATCACCGTCAGCCTTGTCGCATTGCAACCAGGACGAGGTAAACGCACTGGGAACGTATTGGTATCCCCCCAACGGTGCGGTGACAGTCGTCCCGTTGCTCAACGTCGTGTTTGCGGAGTCAGTCGGAGGGAACAGGCCCTGCAGCAGAGCGTTTGCGCTGGCATAGATGACTCCGCCTTCGTCACCGGAGTCAGTCCGAACAACGACCTGGGTATCGTTGACAAGGCCAGTGTTCATGCTCGCGATATGGTTCGGCGAACTCGAGTTCAAGTATCGCTGGCGCAGGAGAGCACCTAGCGCGAGTTCTTGAGCCTGTGTGCATATCAGTACGCGAATCTCAGTAAGAGCGCATGTGGCTTACAGCACCCAGCGGTGTGATTGTTGTGTGCGAAGCCGCATAGGTGAGGGGATCTTGGTAGAGACCCTGGGGATGTTGAGTGCATGCCGCGACGCGCTATTGCAAAGATAACTGACCGCCCGGTCGCCGTGGCGGACCATAAGCACGACACCGAGCAGAGTGCTGCTATCCGAAGACATGACTCGAACTTGAGAGGGGAGAAGAGGTACCCTCAAAGTTCAAGCTTTGCGCATGGTTCACCTTTATATCGATGGTGGGATCGCACGCCTGATGGAATTCGCTCGCGGAATGGTTATCTTCCACCGGAAAAGTGACTTCCTTGCACACAAGATGCAGGATCGCGCGGTAAAGATGCGGATCTAATCAGAGGGACACACATCGATGCTCGGGTGTTGGTGGTCGAGGCCGCGTATTATTGGCAGCGGAGTCATGTGCAGGCTGAATACAGGCTTATGCTCACGCATATGCCATGCATTTGCAGCGAGAAGACCTGCAGCTACTCTCACAAACTCAATGCTTCAGGTCCTCGGAGAAGCTCGGTCGAGGTTCGGGCACGGATCTCATTGCTTGTTCAGCGCCTGAACGCGGCGAAGATCGGACAGGCTGGGACGCAAGATGTGGTGACGGGTGTTCATGGGCACCGTGGCGTAATTCGAAGTAGTACGCATGCATGTACTGTGGCATAAGATACGACGAGAGCGTCCAATGGACAATCTACGGAGGTCCGAACGGGAGGCACCGTATTCTCTCGTTGATTTCTCGAGCCGCTCATATTGCCCCTCCGCCGACAGACTCCATCGTCTATGAAATGTATGAGCGCGAGTCACGATCACAGATGGCTGAGAATACGAACAAAAGGTGATGCAGTCGGGCCGTCTAGGATGGCGAGCTCCTCTGTCGTAAAGGGCAACCGGGGAATGATCAACGTGCGTAGGGGGAGCAAGAACGCGATGATCACAGGGAAGCCGATGGCAGCTAATGACGATGGTCAGGACCTAGCACAACGATCCTGACAGCCATAGACATACCGATAGTCTGAGTGACAGCAAATGTTGCGCCGAATCCTATGAGCTGGACTCCTATGAAAAGGAGGATGCGGCTCTTGCGCACACGCCGTAGTGGTTCATCGGTAGGTGTGCGCTTCCTATCACTGAGCAGGAAGAATAGGCGCTTCGTGATACCGTTCGCGGCGAGTGCATCGAGGCCCATATACCAGCTATGAGGTGAATCAGTTCGTTAGATCTAGCCGTGGGTATTGATTGAACACGTACAAGAGACCAGCGAGTACCCCGCGCGGGATGAGCCCAAGCACATGCAGGAATGGACCGGTTAAGAGCACGAGTGACAGAGCGCCCTGTGCCAGATTGCTCACGCGCTGTTCCACCACAGCAATCGGCACTTCCACCCACTGATCATGGAGGGGAGAGGATGGACTTCCTTGACTTGAGGCGCCGGTGACTGATGGCGCGCGCGTGGCGCTCTCCGAAGGGCCGGCACTGATTGCTCCCTCTTGGGTCCGCTCCACCTCCTGCGCTGGCTCAGCGTATCGACTTGGCTCCTTGCGATCCACACTATTCAACTCGACTTCCTCCATATCGCGCTTCGCCCTTTGAGGTCGACCGAGGACCACGAGTGACCTTGTATGGATGGGCGCTTGCGGAATAAGTCCATTAGGTGCCGGTATGCCGAGCAACCCCGCGATGAAGGTCGTCACGCCGAGGAGGAAGAAGTCGTAGTGGAAGCCTGGCGGCTTACGCAGAGGGAACTCGGAGCCCTGCGCCATGAGTGACTAGTGATAGTTAGCTTCCAATCATCAGATTGTATGTGAGAAACACGTACGGATACATTGTGGTCGAAGAAGAACAAGATCCAGAGCACGAGGCCGAACGGGAAGGCAACACCAACCCAGTGACTATCGAGTTGCCAGAACTTGACCAGCCAACTACGCCCATTGGCAGGTTTGAACGCTCCGCCGACAGGAAGTGTGAGCGGATCACTCCTGTTGAATAGACCCCAATAGGCGCAGCCAGTAGTTGCAACTAACGCAATGGGCATGCCATAGTCCGCGAAGAAACGGCGAGCGTGACGATGGAAGAGCGTCGAGTCGGACACCCAACGGAACGCCAATCCAAGTCCAAGCATGATGAGTGCGAGCACAATGGAGGTGAGAACACCGGCGGTACTGGTCTCTGGGTTCGAGAATTGGCGCGTGAGGACTTGGATGCCGTACTCGAGGTATACCCAAGAGACGTAGAATCCGAATGTGTCGCATGAGAAGAGCGTAACGTAACGCAGGTAATTGCATGCTGACCATTCGTGAGTAGACATTCGTACAGACGAAGATGGACCTCACCGTTCAAGACAGCCGTGATCCAGTGAAGTATAGCACTCCACAAGTAGACCCAGCCCATGAAATGGAGGTAGTTGGGTGGGTTCTTAGCCGAGCCAGTTACGATGATCTCGAAAATGGTTTTGTTGAAAACGGTGATGGGTCCGGTGACCCCTGCGATGCAGAGAGGTTGCGCGCCAAAGACGGAGAAGATGAAGGCGGCCATGAACGAGGATAGCAATACTTCGGCGACGCCATATTGGTTGGTGGTCTCGATGAGGTCGAGGGAAAATGCTATTCCTGGAAGTACACTTGAGCGTCTAACTTGAGCGCCGGCCAGGTCCACTCGGAAGCTAATGAACGTACTTCGCGAAAAATATGAGAGCGGTAGCTGGTAGAACGCGATAGTTCCACCCGTGCTTCCAGTCTGACCAATAGTACGGAAGACGGGCACGTATGTCGCGGTATATACCGCGAGCTGGCTTCAGTCTCCTGAGTGGTCTGGCCAAATTTGGAAGTCGGCCTGTTGATCTGGGAGGCACTCGTTCTGTTGGCTGGCTATGCATCGACATTGTGGTGGGGTCGTCAAGGGTCATGCAAGTAAATTGGTAGGGAATAGAGTGCACATTAACACCTTCACTATTCTAGAGTGAGGGGCCGACAACGGCAACGTGGAAGACAGAGGCAAGCAGTCTCGGCGGCGTCGGCGCCCCGCTGAACTTCTTCGAGAGCCGTCGGAGCCCGGCCCGTGAATCGTGAGCGCGCCCACACACCGAAAACTGATATTCGTTCGTGGGTCTACAGGGCTACCTGGTGACCTTCAAGAAGCGATACGATAGCCATCAGGATAGAGTAGTGGGGCCGTAGTGGCGTAGTAGATTCCGCCCAGTACGCGGGGGATAAGATGGTAACGTAGATCTACGGGGTATGCATAGGACAAGTACGTCTATATGTAAGTAGCTGGCGACTCGTGTATGATCGCATGTGGGGGAAAGAGCACCGTAAGCAGTTTCTTCTCTCTACGGAGGATATTAACTAACATTGAATTTACAGAGAAGAGATGCGTTCCTGTTGGATCCGTTGAAGTTGCACGCCTATGATCAATTAGCTTCAAGATCAAGTGCCGACTCTTCGAGACGATGAGCGTACCTATGTAAGCACTCTGTGGCGCCCAGGCTTCTAAAACGCCTTGAAGAGTGTTCAGAGTCACCTCTAAATCCTGCACGCCTTCATCTGTGTCGGCAGTACTCCGTGCAGATATCAAAGCTCGGCAAGCAGCCGACACAACCATCTACCAAGGTTGTCAACGACGGGGTTGTGCAGTACGATATGCGGACACGTACTCCAATGACTGGCTCAAGAAAGCCGAGAGTACTTGAAGGGCTCAGAAGCGTCTGCGCCGCTGCCGCTAGTGCCCGCGCCGCGTTGATACCTCGTGGGTCTCCGGGGTTCGTATGAAGCTCAAGAGTGGCACCACGAACCAAGACTTGAGCCGGATGTGTTCGTACGTCGGCCAATAATGCTGGTCCAAGTGCCAAAGCAAAGGCATCTGCGTGGCCCTCCACCGCAAGGACATCATGGGCTTCTAATGCACAGATGAGCAACGGACCGGTGTGAAGTCCAGCTGGCTGGCATACCCTCAATTCCGGCTCTACGAGCGATCGCGCTCGAGTATGCAAACAAGCAGGTGGCGGTCGCAACGAGCTCCACGGCATTGTCCCCTTGCCAGGAAGGTGCTGGACCACCTTCACGAATGAACGCTCTGACGCTTTGTGGCCCTCTCGAGGATGAGACGATATCGAACAGAGGCTACAAGCCAGTAAGCAATCTACCGTGATCGAAGATGGCGATGAGACACGCACCTCCTCAGCGCGCTCGGGAGTGATGGGCCAGGGCGTGGTGATCTGGTACCTTGTAAACCCTACCCTCGGAGGTGCTCCACGAGCGAGAGCCCACAGGGATTCGACAATCGTTGTCACCCAGAACGCGCCGGTGCGCTCAGCACGAGACACATTGTCAGTAGGCGAAGGTAGTGTCTGTTGAGCGATAGGATCCATCACACCCAAGGGTGCTAGCGCGGCTCCCTCATTCGGGTTGTGGAGACCTAGCGCGAGTGCAAGAGCACAAGCACTCTCGAGCACGGTCGCGCTTTGGAGCGTCCGACCCATCTGCGCCAGCACACTACCTAGAAGTACGCGAGCCTGAAGCACCTGCATGATGGTGTTCTCGTAGCCGACACCGCCGGTGTTGAGGGGATTGTTCAGTGCGGAGAGACTGGCATCAATGAGTCCTGCTTCAAGCCACGCGACGTCTGAGGTTGCATAGCGCGTCGCAATCGCGGTCACGATGTTGATAAGGGCGGCATGCGCTCGCTGAGGGTCGTCAATCGGCCTTTGAGCCGCTTCATGAAAGCGTGTACGATGCAAAAACCATAGCGGTTGTTCTTGCTCGAAGAAGAGATCGATTCTAAGCAGCGGAGTGAGTCATGGCTACCGACTGAGAGCTGGTGAATATCGCACAATGTGACCATGTCCGCCTCTGAGAGATTGAAGTCTCCGTGGCCCACAGCAAGCTCCTCTACAGCATAACCATGGTGAGATCTGGAACCACAAAGAAGAAGCATAGCACATACCTGGCTGCGGCGTTTGCGATCCCTGTACAGATGGACTCGGTGAGTGGAGCGACGTCCCTTGACTGGAGCTAGACGCTACGGCAACACTTCGAACAGGACCGGCTCTTTCAGAATGAAGACGCGCACGTTCAAGGTCGCGCAAGCGTGCGCGAAGTTCCGTAACTCTCTGCTCAAGACGGTGTGTCGAGCTTGGGGCGTTGCTTGCGTATTCGCAATCGACAGCGCGGCCGTCCTTTCGACAGGGTCCGCATATCGGCGTACCACCGTCGCACCTCTTTCAGAAGTATCAGTATGAGGCGTATAAGGGTATACCGTGTCATAATGGCGCACGATCTTGCGTAGTCTGAGCAGGTCTGTGTCAGTGAACACTCCAAGAGTGAGTCTAGTACGAGCAGACGTACCTGCAGTTCAAGCAGGCCTTGCCACGAGGAAGCCAAGTAGAGTGACTAGCACTAGGAGAAGCTCTGGTCTTTCCTTTTCCTCTCATCTTGAATGAGTAGATGTCCGAGTACTGACGATGCAGTACATCGCATTGTCCAAACGGGCTTAAGTACCAGCCCCTGCGTGTAAGATGAGTCGACCGGCAAGCAGAAAAATGTCGTGCTTGAAACGAAAGGCAGACTACGCTTACCCACATAGATCCACCAGTAGTCGGGAATCGGGTGTTCATTCGCCGGAGCATAGAGATGCCATTGAGTGTCGTCGTGCCAGATACGTCCACTGACTCGCCGCGTCACGTTTCGCCGACAGCCTCGGGATACAGTATGAAAGGCCGACGCATACCAGGCGCCAGCTCGAAACCGTACAGAGAGCGCTTCCACAGCATTGACTAGTGGATAGGCTAGTTCATGACGCGTCCCGCTGAGTACTGCACAGACCATCGTACCTGAATGCGCTCTTTCTGTATCTATTTGCACGAGACGCAGGGCGTACCAGGCATCATGAGTCAGCCTCAAACCTGTTTCGGTGGCAGATATACACAGGTATGAGGATGAGAGCACGACAGAGGGGAAGCCTTCTTGGAGTTGCTTGGTCAGGTCTGCCTCGGAGACGACACGGCGATCTGCGCATACGGCGCGCTCAACGATGACCGACTACACTCGCATGCCGACATCCATAGGCGAGTCATTTCCGAGTTCAAACGTGTAGAATAGTCGTGTTGTGAACATGCCAGGGGCCGATAGCGGCCTTGAATGCGTCGCTGAAGGTGGGTGCGTGAAGGCAGAAGGAAGACGCGAAACTCCGTTTCGAGTCGCCGGCAAGTTCCGCCATCAAACTCACACGAATTTCGCTTCTGCCGCTTGTGCCGACGGTGTAACACTGGTACAGGAATACAGGGATCCAATAAGATTCTACATTACATCACAAGAAGCAGTACATCGTACGTCTTCGTGGCCAACGACAGGTCACAAGTTAGGGGACAAGCCGGTGTATAAGCTCAACAGGCCGTAACTCCCCCGCTCACCTCGATACTACTCACGATCAGCACATCGACTCGCATAAGCCGATAGTGGACGGAATACTCACTTGCTACCTGTGCTAAAGCTCGAAGCATCACTTGCGAGCCATACCATTGGACCACGTATCTCATGTGGCTCAGCGATACGCCCCATAGGAGACAGATTCTTGATTTTCTCTTCCTTCTCTTTCTGGCCGGCGATCGCGGTGTTCGTTATCCTGCCGAACATTAGCATAGGGCCGACCAAGTACCGGAATGGTCTTTCAAACACAACTCACGCTGTATAGATGAAGCCGGGTGCTAGAGAGTTTACGCGTATCTTCTGCGGTGCCAGCTCGACCGCCAGAGCCCGAGCCATCTGTATAACTGCGCCCTTGCTCGAGTAATAGCCCATGATGTTGAGGTCCTAGTATAGAGGTCATGAAGCGCACATAGGACTTCATGGAGGTCACTCACTCTCATCGACATGAGCCCAAAGATGGACGCCACGAGGATGATGCTGCCTGGTGTGCCGAAGCGCCTCATCTGCCGACCTGCCGCTTGTGCGGTGTACAAAACGCCTTTAAGATCAACGTCGAGCACCTTGTCATAATCCTCTGCACGGTAGTCCAACGTAGACGCTCTTCCTTCCTTATCGACGATACCGGCACCAGCAACGCACACATCGAGTCGTCCCTCCCTATTCCCGATATCGTCCGCGATATCCCAGATCTTCTGCTGCTCCGACACGTCTCCTTGAACGTACTCCAGCCGCCCCGATAGGCCCATCGCCGCAACATACTGCTTCACCGCGGTCCACGTCGTGCTCGGCTGTTCAAGAAGATCGACGCAGTATACTGCGCGAGCGCCAGCCTCGAGAAACGCTAGCGCCGTTTCAAGGCCTAACCCGCCATTAGCGCCCGTAATCAGCGCCACACGTTCTGCGAGGGCGAATTGCTGGAAGATCGCGGGCGATGGTGGATGCGATGGTGTGGCACTTTGCGCAGCCAGGGCAGCTGCGACACCGATGAGAGGTGGAACGCTAGTAGACATGTGGGTCCAAAGGGTTAGAGAATGAGGAGGCGATGCTATAGTATCCACTCAGGGCTTGTACTGAATACTGCAGGAGGATCGCAGACGTTGTGCAAGGGCCTGTCAGGAGTGTCAGAGACTGAACCGAGTGGGTCTCCATACTTGTATCAGAACTAAAACCCATTATATTCCAAGCACATTCCTTTCTGATGCAAGATTCACATGAAGTCCGTGTACAACATCACTCGAGCGAGTCCATCAGTAGACGTACGGAACGATTCTGTATGGGACGATCTGCTTGTACTTCTCCCAGTCCTTTCCATATCTATACGTATGGTGATCAGTACACCTCAGCGGTGCAACAGGGCGCCGAGGACTCACTTCTTTTCACACGCTTCGTCATCGCGCAGGCCACGATGGACGAGCAGAACCGCGAAGTAGACGACGTAGAAGTAGGTCACGGGTGTATCGAAGCCAGTGGGTAGCGACCACGAGAGAGCCATGATGAGGTCGCCGCTGCGAATGGGGGTAAGTTCCAGCGCTAACACGATAGGGGTTAAACGGTGACTTACAGGTAGTTTGGATGGCGCGATACGCCCCACCAACCAGAAGTGAGAAGCTTCGTGCCGCGCTCGGTCTGCATGAACTGGAGGTCTGAGCACTACAGTAAGTGGCACATCACACACAAATCAGAAAAAGCACACACTCTTCGGGTTCTTCCCGTTCCGGAAGTCATTCTTCTCGTTGTTGCTGGTGCGGAAGATGTAGTAACCGGTTGCCCAAACGGCAACGCATGCCACGCCGGCGGGCCAGCTCAGCTCCGTGGGATGGAACGCTAGGTAGCGCGCTTGCAGGGAATACACGAACGGCACCCAAAGCAGGTCGCCGACGGACAGCATGAAACCGAAGCCATCCGTGACGATATCCATCATCGTAAGGATGGAGGGCTCGTTATAGAGGGAGTCGATAATGTAGTGGGCGTGGAAGAAGACGACGAGGTACATCGACAGGGTGACATTGCTGAACCCGCCGAGACGTGTGGCCTGCTCGCAGACCATGCTGATGTCGATGAGCAACCACAAGATCATGCCTGGGCGAAGCTCGTTGAATGTCTTGATGTCGTAGCCCAAGATAGTAGGGTTCAGTTCGCGACCGATGTAGAACTGTTACGTTTGATCAGATACGCCACAATCATTTCCACGTCAGTCAGACACGTACGTCGTAGATCGGGTTTCCAGAGTTACCACCGAGGGCAAGGAGCTTGTCTCCTTGGAATGACAACCCGTAAAAGAGGAGACCCTGGAAGACGGACATGGCCAATGCCGCCGTCGTGAGGCCAACCCAGCGCTCGTATATGAATGTGAAGGACTGGTATCCGAAACGTGCAATCCAGGCAGCTGTGATGCCTAGTGCGAGCATGCCAGTCGACATAGCTGCAAGGGTTTCAACATGAGATCACAGTAGTTGCGGACACATTTACACACCGTTGATCTTGTAGCGTTGGTACTGCCCGTTCCGCAGCTGCGTGCCGGGAATCCAGTCCCCCGGTAGAATCACCCACGCAGCGACACAGAACGCATACCACCCAAGATACAGAGCAAAGGCAGTTGGGTCGTACAGACTGCTCCAGAACTCAGGGTTGGGGAGGGCCTCGGAGAGATTTAGGATCATTGTGGAAACGGGTGGTGGACATGAGCCACTGCGCTCGTTGCACATAAAGTAGAGCGCGTATGTCATGAACGGTACACCGACAGTAACTGCCAGGGCGCCGGGAGGTCCCATGAACTCGTAGCGTGTCGTTCGCGGGTTGAGCGACGCGTTTGGCGCCGACTTGGAGACAGACATGATGACAGATGAGAGTAGGGAGCAAAGTGTGAAGAGCGCTGGACCGTGCGTGGCGCGTCGCGTCTAAATTAGACTCTAAACGCGAGAACAAACGCGTGACGAAATATCAGACCAGGCCGCGCGAGCCAATCAGCGCGGCTCGAGCCTGGGATGCAGCATGGACTCGAACCACCACCATTTGCTCAGGCTTACTGGCACTATTGGTCGTAAGACCGTGGAGATGCCTATGGCTGGTGCCACTCACAGCTTACAAGCGTCTGATTCCTGTACAGCATATGACGCTGAGGCTCGGTCAGGAGGACATATCTCTCACCAATGGTACTAGTCGTAGATTCCGTCAGTTTCCGGACATTCGACCGCTTACATGCGCTATGTACGTGAGAGATTCACGACTTCCATTCAGGCCTTGAAGGCTAACTATGCCTATCCCAGATAGGATCAACTGTACAGGCATGCTTAGAACCTCAGACCTCGAAGATGTGAGAGGCGGACCCGGGTTTCTTCACCCCATGCATATTCACAGAACGAGACTTTGATCATCGCTTGCGCGATGACCTACAAGAAAGATTCGTCTCTGGCATGGACAGTCAATGGAAGCTGTACGGAGATTGACCTGGTGATGCTTGAAAGTTTACTCCTCCACCCCCGGGCGCGTGAGTCGCACGTCCGTGGGCGCTCCCGAGGTCTGCGCCCTCCTCGGTATATATCAGCCGTGCCAGCATCCTGTAGCATCTGCAGCTCATCAAAATCTCTAGCACCATCTAACTTGCCCCCTCATGTCTTCCTCCGAACCCCTCATCGGTGTCGCTGCTGCACTTGCAGCAAAGGGCACGACACCTGCACGGCCGACCATGCCCGCGATCTACCAGCAGTTCTCTCTCCCCGATCGCGTTGCGCTCATCACAGGCGGCAACGGCGGTCTCGGTCTCGAAGCCGCGCTCGCTTTCCTTGAAGCTGGTGCCCGCGCTGTGTACTGTGTCGACCTACCCGCTCAGCCGAGCGAAGCTTGGACCGCCGTGAAGGACTACGCGGCAGCTACCGGCCTTTCAGGTCGTCTCGAGTACATCCAAGGCGACGTGACTATTCAGCAGACCATGTGGAACATCGCACAAGACATCGGCGACAAAGAAGGGAGACTAGACGTCTGCGTAGCAGGCGCAGGCATATCGGATAAGGCCGCGCCTCCGCTGGAGTACATGGCCGAAGACTACGATAAGGTACTTCGAGGATCAGTGTGGGAGTTATGCGCAGTCTGAAGCTGATCGTTGACTATAAAGATTGTCGACATCAACTTGAAGGGCGTTCTGTATACAGCGCAGGCGGCCGGGCGTCAGATGACGCGCTTCGGTACACCGGGAAGCATCATCCTCATGGCGTCTGTAGCTGGGTTAATCGCCACCAAAGTACGTGTTATAGCGGACCATAATGAACGATGCTTTAGGTGTTAATATGGGACTGGCAGGGTCTACTCATGACCGGATACTACGCCACTAAGGGAGGCGTCATCAACCTGATGCGTTCTCTGGCCGTAGAGCTCGCCGAAAAGAACATTCGCGTTAACTCCCTCGCACCAGGCTTCATATGGACGCCGTAAGCAATCCACTTCGTTGCCCGAGGCAGGTTCTGACAGAACGTACAACGCAGCATGGTGTCTGGGGCCATAGACGGAAAGAAGGAGGTCGAAGAGTTCTTCAGGATACAGAACCCGATGCAGCGTATCGGGAAGCCCCATGAGATTCGCGGTCCGATGGTATGGCTCGCAAGCGATGCCTCCAGCTACAGTACCGGAAGCAAGTGAGTTCCGCAGTCGCGTTGAAGTCGAACAAAGGTCTCACAGTATGTTAGTATCGAGGTCAGCGGAGGCTATAGCGCATGGTGATGAAAAGGCAGTAGTAAATCGAAAGTCTTCATCTTCTCTCCATCTGTACTTGTATGTCGAACGTCCTGGATCCAACGTGCCATGTAGCACTTGCTTGCGGCCGTACACGAACCATCTCAATTTAAGTATAGCATTGAACCAATACACGGGGCTGGTAAGAGAATACATAAGTAGGCGAGGTGTGTTGTTGCAATCATGCTAGCCACGTGCGAACCACGCGAGCCCTTTTACCAGGCCCACGGGCTTACCACCGTAGCCTGCCGCTTGTCGCTTGTCGCGGAGGTGAATCACGACGACAACAACTCCTTCTCCTCGGCAAGAATCGTGTTGACTTCAGAGAAGCGAGGCGTAATGCGGCACTGGTAGTGGTTGGCTTTGCTGGTGTAGACGTCAGCTCGGCGAAGAGAGAAAAGCGAAGGAAAGAGGACATACAGAGCGAGATGTGTTGCATCGTATCCCGCCGCATCAACATCAATCTCCCGACCATTCTCATCGCGAGCCTTTGCGAAATTGAACGCCCATAACAGCACAGCTACGGCGATGAACAGCGCATCCTCGGCAACATGCTGTCCAACGCAGACGCGGCGGCCAAATCCGAACGATACGTGTCCATGATCCTTCGTGACCGGAGGCGCGGGCTTGAGCTGGCCGTCGTCGGTGAGATGGCGCTCGGGCCTGAAGATGTCGGCATCGTCTCCGTACACGGAGGGGTCTCGGTTACAGGGCATTATATTCGCGATGAGCACGCTTCCCTTGGGAATGAACATCCCTTCGTACCACCCGTCCTCGTCCGCTCGATGAGGCAAACCAGCTGGAAGACCAGTGCGCCACCGTAAGACCTCGCGCAATACAGCGGTCGTGTAGGGCAAAAGCGAGCGATCGGCGAAAGATGGTAATCGACCACGCACCAGCAGGATACATCGTTCCGATGATCGACACGGCAAGAACCGTCGTCGCTCAGGAAAGAGAACTGTTGATCAATTGATCAACTCCAGCGCCCTCGCGCCCTTACGCTTTGGCTGTGCCAAGCCTGGCCGCACTGAGACTCGTTCCTCTGAGTGTCTCCCCATTGACCGAGCACACGCTTTTATGAACGACCACTCGCTTTCCCGACTAACCCGCTGGCTTTCTTAACCCACTCCCTTTCCTAAACCGGGTCGTCAAAGTCTTCCACGCGGCACTCTGCTCAACTCCCTGAGAGAAATACACGATTATGTGATTGATCATGTGTGTCATCCATCTTCTCCACTCATCCGTTTGCACAGCTGAGACACTCTTCTAGTCGAGTCGTTCATTTCGTCGGCTCGAGTCGTTCATCGGCGCGACTGCGACGCTCATCTAATCGACTCGCTCATCTGGCCGACTCTCTCATCTGGCCGAATCATCCACTTTCTTGACTTGTTTATCGAGGTGCGTGTTTCTATCGTGCATTCTATGTAGGGACTGTCAGGCTATCCAGTTCAGGAATGCAGTCTCTCCTGCGTCGTATGTACACAGTGTCCTTTTGTTCTGCATGACTGGAGATCGTATGTCTGAGTCCTCCAGCGACTGAGTAGGCCGAGACGAATAGATGGACGAATAGATGATCATTTTTTCGACTACGGTCGTTGCCCACTCGTTCTCGCAATCGACGTCGTCTACGGCTGGACCACGGCCGACTACGGCCTCCAGTTCTGCTTGTGCTTTCTTCTGTGCGTCTGGGAAGGCGACCATAGCGAGGGTCCACCAGTCAAGTACGTTACTGGTGGTATCAGAGCCAGCGGAACTTAAGGATGGTCAGCGAATGAGACGAGGTGTCGAGAACGGTGGGCGTACTACATGACCCCAGCCGACCAAGCTGCCTCGAGTCGCGAGACTTGGAATCGCTCGCCCTCCTGAACCAAAGTCGTCGTGAGGCAAGGCCGCGCTGTCCCCTCTTTCTGCGTGAAATGACATCAGCCTCCACTATACACCACGTAGAACAGCGATTATTGACGAACCATCCGTGTCTCTACATCATCCATGAGGCCGAAGAAGAAAGACGTTGTTTCTTCGTACTGCTTCAGCGCGTCTCGCTTCCACTTTGCCATCCAGCTAGGCAGGTACACCATCCAAGGGATCAGCTCAACATAATGTGCCCCAACCTGAAGTGCGGCTTGATCGAGATGGACAAAGTCGTCTATTCGTGTGCGTAGCACCTCGTCCCCGGGACCTCCGCGTAACGGCCGGTCGTAGGTGACAGACAGCACAACCGAGCACGCGTAGGTATGATAAAGCGATCGGAACGCGGACGGATTCTGTATGAGCGAAGTAGCTAGGCGGATAACGTCCTCGACCTCGGCGCTATGGAAGCGACTTGCGGCGGACTTGTTGAACCCTTCGTGCACAACGCGCCGCTGTCGACGCCACCTGGGCGCATTTCAGTACATGTTGGCACCAATGACTTCATGTGGCGTACCGATCGTTATGCGGCTCAAATGCGAAGAATAGTCCGCCACACATGAGCTCATGGCCTACAATGAGGCGCGGACGGCCGGAGTATACTGCTGCACGCCGGTCAAGAAGCTCCGCTGCAGCCTTCTGGGAGTTCAAGATGAACATAGGTTGCCCGGCAGCGTTGAGGTAAACAATTTCCCCTGTCATGGAAAGGTTTCTCGTTATCCTGCCCAGAAGCAGAAGTGCATACGATCGAAGCTTACCGAGTTTGGGACATTCGTTGTATAACCAAGACGCATCGAGGAGCTTGGGCGCACTACCCAGGAGAGGATAACCGGTGGGTCCCGGGGGAAGCTTTCTCCAAGGACTATTCAGGTAGCGGTGCAGAAGGAGACCGAAGAGATTGAGGGCAATAGTCGTGGCCAGGGCCGGACGACGAAGAATGGCAGAGTAGAGTTCCGTGACAGCGTCGAGCATGAGAGTGGAGCTCGTCTGTATTATCTCCATGACCGTCATGGTAGGAAGTAAGGACGGTGTGGATGGCTGGTCTTAGAGTAGGGTCGTAAGGTCCATTCTTATACCCTCCATTACCCGACATGTCCCGTGTCGTAGGTAAATTGCTCAAAGCGGCGATGGTATGCACCGCACCATGGGAAGCATAGAAGCCCCAAACGGACATATGCTCTGCGTACCGTTCACCGTTCGGGGATCCCTATAGGTCTGATCAGAGCGCCCGGGGTCATACCGGACGGGTGAACTCGAAGTACTACAGTGAGTAGCCCGAAATAACCCGAACCAAGTCCCAGTAACATCTTGAAGCGAAGCTTGCAGTTGTTAAGTGGATACGCAAGGCGCTTATGACTCTGCCATTGCGTTCTCGGAGATACGGTGGGAGTGACAGGCCATTTCCAGGAGAATAGCATACAGCTTCTTCAACGGACGTTCAGAGCAAGGAAGACTCGTGGCCGATCAACGTTACCTGTCACCGTTACCATGTCACTTTCCTTGCCGCGTCCCGTTGGTTGTGACTTGCTTTCGACGTCCAGCGGTGGGGCGTATGGCTCAACCAAATGCCTCCATTGATATATGTACTCCTACTGCACACTACCTGAGTCTGTTGGGCTCGCCTCACCACGACAACCTTGGACCAGCTGGTACCGTTGCCGCTGTTTCCGCTTCTGAACGCGACAGCCCGATACTAGCAATGCGATGCGAATCACAACTCCCATGCTGAAAGCGCTTGGACACGAGTCACTTTACGGAGCGACCTGGAGCAAGAAGGTCCTAGACGACAGAGTCAACGAAGATTTGGGCAAACTCTATCGGACGAAGGAACACTGGGTTGCGCATTCGCGCAGACTCACATGGCCCGATAGCAGCGCCAGATGCGCACATCTGAGCATATTCCGCGCCGTCTCAGTGTACAGCTGAGATCTCATGGCTACTGGCCCAACCGCAAGATGACGACATATTCGAAGACGACGTCAACTGACCTGTTCCGAGGCTGCCTTGCACGGTGGCTCTGATTTACCGTCACATAGTGAACAGATGATTCCCCGGATACAGCATGCCCAGTGACCTGCGCGGGCCGTGCATGCGTTCGCTCCGCTAACCCGCACACTTATATAGCCCCGCGAGTCCGCAGAAGAAACTGACAAGCGACATCGCATGAAGACCTTCGTCATCGCAACCGCCCTTGTCGTGCTAGCCAGCGCGCTCTGCTGCAGCGCGTATATCGTGCCTTCCGGTTCTCCCGGCTTCTACGCCGGCAACTCAACGTCCGCCGTCACCTTCGATCAGCATTCAGTATTCCTTGATGGGAAGCGCGTCTTCGTCTTCTCTGGTGAAATGCATCCCTGGCGAGCGCCTTCGGGTGGACCGACGTGGCGGGATGTACTGCAGAAGATGAAGGTACGCGCATGCCACTATATACACCTTCATGACACTGAATGAAGTCATCAGGCAGCTGGATTCAACGCTGTCTCTGTGTACCATAGATGGGGTTCTTCGTCCGGGCGACAGGGTCAGCTTGACTTCGAATATTGGCGCAATCAAACGGAAGTGTATCAGATCGCCAAAGAGGTTGGTATACTGGTGATTGCTCGCCCAGGAGTGAGTCCTCGATCATCTCACGAAGCGACACGCGTCTGACATGTGCCCTAGCCATACATCAACGTCGGTTCCTGCCCTGCGTCGAGTGCTCAACTTACTGACGTGCGAGGGATAGGCGGAAACTTGTAAGTCTTGCGTGATCATCCTCCGCTCTCTCTCTGATAGCTTCGCAGCGGCTGGAGGTTACCCGGGATGGGCCACATTGCTGAATGTCACCACACGCTCAAATGCATCGGAGTTCACAGATGCTTGGATGCCATACATCGCAGCGTCTGCGCAATTCATCGCCCCATACCAGGTATTAAGTCTCGTTACAACCCCCCGTTAGAATGAATACTGAGGATGACCACACAGTACCCTGATGGACCTGTTATCGCAGTGCAAGTCGAGAACGAGTTCGGCCTTTCCGACCCGGAGCATCCTGGTCGCTCTGAGTACTTCGCTATCATCGAGGATGCCTTGAGAAGTAATGGCATCACAAAGGTTCCGCTGTAAGTGCTCGTTGAAGTCAATGGCGATTGCGGAGGATTGCTGACTTTCCAACGTAGCACTTCGAACGAAGCGGGTGATTCCGGTCTCTTTGCTCCTGAACCTCGCACATACGACGTCGGCGCCGTCGACCTGTATACCTTCGACGCGTACCCGCAACGCTATGCTTGCAATGATCCGTACACCTGGCATGAGGTTGTGACATCGTATCCCGCTGCTCATGCTGCCGATGACCCAGACCTTGTCTGGGCGTCTGGTGAGTATCAAGCTGGCAGTCAGGATGGATGGGGTGGTGTATGCCCGGGCATTACCTCCGAAGTTTATCCGACAAGTACTGAGACGCTCACAGGGAGGCTATGATGGCTGTTATGAGCTGACGAACGAGAACTACGTCAACGTGAGAGAATCTGGCTTACGGATTTGGACGTGAAGACTGACGCCATCTGAGTAGGTGTTCTACAAGAACAACTACGCCGCCCAAGTGATGTACCAGAACCTATACATGGTGAGCGCCTCTGTATTCACCGTTACGTCACCATGCTTACTCCGTTCTTTAGACCTATGGCGGTACCAACTGGGGCAATCTGGTGAGAATCGGTTGCCAGTCCAACTGAAAGCCCAAACTGATCTCAGGCATAGGCCGAACCAGGCGTCTACACATCGTATGTCTGATAACATGGTCTCTGTACCCCTCTGACAGTTTCGTACAGGTACGACTACGGAGCGGCAATTCGTGAAGATCGACGTTTGACATCCAAGTATAACGAGCTTAAGCTGCAAGCCTATTTCCTCCATGCCTCGCGCTCCTTCCTCACCGCCGAGATCGTGAGTACGACGAACATTACAGACTCTGGCTCAGTAGACCCGAGCGGCACTGGCGCAACGGATGGAAGCGATGTCTTCGTGACAGGTATGTCGAGCGCCGACGGTGGGGGCTTCTACGTGGTCAGGCAGGTTACGAACAAGTGCGTCCCATAGGTTGTCTCTGCCAGCATCATGCAGCTGACCGACGCGCCCAGCATCACTTCGCCGACACACTTTGCACTGGATGTCAATACAACTATCGGCGAACTGACTATTCCTCGTCTGGGAGGAAGCGTCACCCTAGCAGGTCGCGAAAGCAAGATTCTTCCCACCGATTACGCCTTCGGATCCAGCATACTCGATTACTCCACTGCAGAGGTATTTAGCATTGCACTTACGCACCATATCCAACTAAACAAGAGCGCAGGTTCTGACTTGGTTCACATCCGATGGCACGGACTTCATCATGCTCTATGCGTTTGAGGGCCAAGACATCGAGGTCTCATTGAAGACGGCCATCACCTCTGCGAGCGTTACGGGCACTTCATTCAATACGACGTACCTCGATGGGTCACTCATAGTCAGCGGCTCTCCTTCGGGCCTGACGCGCGTGGATGTCGGAAACGACACTACTCTATTGATAGTCGACAAAGTCTCTGCGTATGGACTCTGGGCGCCGCGACTCGTCGGCGACAACAACACCACAACATATGATCAGTCCCCGGATACGTCTTCGGCGCTGGTCACAGGGCCTTATCTTGTGCGCAACGCGACCCTCGAAGGGACGACTCTCGCATTGTATGGCGACCTCAACGCTACGACCACCATCTCCGTGCTTGCGCCTTCCAACATCACTTCCTTCACCTGGAACGGTGCTCAAGTTGACGCAAACATAGATGACTTCGGCTTCCTGAGCGGCTCAGTGTCGATTAACGTCACCGAGGTGCAGCTTCCGGATCTTCGTGGCGCGGAATGGTGGGTAATCGATTCGTTACCCGAGGTTCAAGACGACTTCGACGACAGCGAATGGGTGACGGCGAACCTGACAAGCGCGAAGAGTCCATACCAGCCGTATAACGGGACGGTACGCTAACCAACTATCTTCGCGAACTCCTGCTAAGGTTTCTACATTATCTAGTACGTTCTGTATGCCGACTTTTACGGGTTTCACCAAGGTGCGCGTCCTCCTAGAAAGCGTATATACTGTACTGATCTCCACTGGTAGGCAACACTATATACCGAGGGCACTTCAACGGCACGGGCGCTTCAGGTGTCGAACTCTCTGTACAAGGGTGAGCGTGGCGTCGCATTCATCCTGATTATGGCTCATGTATGCATGCAGGGGACAGAACTTCAGCTACGGCGCTTGGATCAATGACAGGTATCTTGGCAGCAACCCACCTGGCGGTGCAGATACCAGTAACGACACGTGGATATTCGAGGAAGGTGATCTCAAGGAGGGGGATAACGTGGTGACGATCGTGCTCGACCCTACGGGCCAAGAAGAATGGTATCCCGGGGATCGCTTCAAGGTGCGCTTTGGCGCCTTACTTCTCGGAGATAGGATGCTCATATGCGGTCTTTGGGTTTCAGACGCCGCGCGGTCTCCGTGGGTACGGCCTTCTCGGCGATGTTGATTTTGATCATTGGAAGATCGCCGGCAACTTGGGTGGCGAGCACTGGCCTGACGCTGTACGAGGTCCGATGAACGAGGGCGGCCTATACGTCGAACGTCTTGGTGCACATCTACCAGCCTTCCCTATCTCTGACTTCAATTGGACCGCACCAAGCAACACATCGTCGCCTTTTGTCGGAATCGACGGTGCTGGTATCAGCGCGTATCGCACGAACTTCACTCTGAACATCCCGTCGGACGTTGATGCACCGATCTCGTTGAACTTCACATATACCCCTGGCAGCAATTATCGCAGCATCATCTATGTCAATGGATGGCAATTTGGTAGATTCAGCGCACTCACTGGCCCGCAATCGCTATTCCCTGTGCGCCGCTTTCTCTCAACTTCTACGCGTGTCATGCTTACACCGCGAGCAGATTCCACAGGGAATCATGAACCACCAGGGAGAGAACGAGCTTCTGGTCACTTTATGGTCTCTCGGTGAGTGTATGTTACTATAGTCGTTCACCGCATTGTACTGACGAGCTCTTAGATTCGGATGGCGCCAAGATTGAAGGTCTTGAACTCGTGCATACGGCGTTAGTAGTGTCGAGTAAAGAAGGATTTGTCAACGGAGTAGTCGAATCTCCGGATTATTTCACTCTGCGTACGTAACATGAAGTTTCCCATAGTACTGTCAACAAGTTGGACATACTTGACTAAGGAAGACCTTGCACCAAGAGCCTGATAGACCGTGGATCTCGATAGCTATGAGCGGTTTGAGCGGGTCACGGGTGATAGCTGACAGTGCCAGGGGTTGCAATCTTACAGAGATCACGGACATCCCGCCGTATTACTGCCGGTATCTCGGTTACTCCGTACAATGCGATGATCGCAACCTCGACGCGAGCAGACCGCTCGACTATTCCCAGGAACTATCCTGAAGATAGCTTAGAAATCCGCGCGGGACATCCGCATGTACGCGCGTTGGCATGGTTCCACGGCTCGACGCCTCGCCACAACTAACGAGGCACGCGGATAAAAGGCCAACTACAGCCTGAACGCTGGACATCAGCTGCACTTCTCAGAGCATCTTTCCTCAGAATCATGGCTTCTCCGTCGCCTAAACTATTCCAGCCCTACCGTCTCGGCAACATGGTCCTATCCAACCGAGTTGTCCTTAGCCCGTTGACGCGTACGCGTGCTAACGAGCAGCACGAGCTTGACGATCTCGCGGTCGAGTACTACTCTCAGCGTGCGAGTACCCCGGGCACTCTGTTGATCAGCGAGGCTACTATCATCGCTCACAAGGCTGGTGGCTGGCCGCGTGCACCTGGTATCTGGACCGACAAGCAGCTTGCGGCTTGGAAGAAGGTACGCTGCTCGTGTTCCAGATGTCAAGTCTTTCAATTGACACTTGGTAGATCACGGATGCGGTGCATTCAAAGGGATCCTTCATATTGTGCCAGATCTGGGCACTGGGCCGTGTGGCGAGGGTCGATGCTACTGAGGTTGAGGGGATCGAGATCGTCGGACCAAGTTCCATTCCCATGACAGGGAGGCCAACTCCGCGTCCTCTGAAGGTTGAGGAGATCAAGGAGTACGCTCAACTTTTCGCTACGGCTGCAAAGAACGCTGTATCTGCCGGGTTCGATGGCGGTCAGTCGTTACTAAGCTGTGTTGGCGTGTACGCCTTTCTGACCGTTAGAGACAGTGGAAGTACACGCTGCCAATGGGTACTTGGTAGACCAGTTCTTCCAGACCGTGACCAACGACCGCACGGACGAGTACGGAGGAAGCGTAGAGAACCGAATCCGGTTCCCTTTGGAGGTCATCGATGCCATCGTCGGCGCGATCGGTGCCGAGAAGACCTCGTTGAGGATCCATCCGTGGACAAACTACCAAGGCAAGCACACTGCTCTCTTTTGTGTACATTGAGCTCATTCGCCCACAGAAATGGGCATGCCAGATCCTATTCCGACGTTCGCCACATTCGCCACCCGACTCGCCGAGAGACACCCGAACCTCGCGTATCTTCATGTCTGCGAGTCGGATACGCCCGAGGCCAAGACTTCAGCGGGTGTATTGCATTCTAACGAGCCGATCCGCAAAGCATGGGGACCGCGCACGTACATAACGTCCAACAACTACACACGCGAGAGCGCCATCGAGGCTGCAGAGAAGGACGACCATACGCTCGTCGGATTTGGTCAGAAATTCCTTGCCAATGTGAGTTTGTATCATCACTCAACGAGGTGACGTGAGACTGATTCAACCATCAGCCTGATCTGGTGCGCCGTTTGAAGGAGGATTTACCTCTCAATGCGCCGGACTACACGACTTATTACGTCGGTGGCGCTCGTGGCTACACCGACTACCCGTTTGCAACCTCTGTGACCAGCGCTGTAGTTACTCCCACTGTAGACGCTTCTGCTTGAATGTTCGCTACAACTTACATGCATAGGATCGTGCAATGTAGCCTTGTAGACTTGAACGAGTTTGATTTTAGGGACTCGTTCAGCAAATAGTGTCTCTGTTGCAGTTGTCTTACGTTTATGAGGTATATGAAGCGTGATAATCACCCGCTAGGTCCTGGAATGCGCGCACATACGCGCAGTTCCACGGGCTTTCCACTCCAGGACCTTCTTCGACGCGTGAAGACGCGTCAGTCATGTGACCGTGTTCTTGCTCTCACGGTTTGATTCTCTCACAGTCTCGCCTCCAGCTTCCCTCTCTCTTCCAGCACACGCCTACAGAACGCAAACCAATCGCCGACACCGTTGTGGCCTACTCCTCTTAGCCACCTCTCCGCCTCGCCTCGCCTCTCTATCTCGAGCCAAGCGGCTCTCAGTTCTCCCTTTCTCTCCCACATCCAAGCCTCCCATTCTGGTACTACCCATGGCGCCTGCGGACTGACAAACTTGCTCAACTCCGTGCGGTAGTCGAAGCCCTCCCATAAGCTGAAAAAGATCCACTCCTTGATCACGACGGCCGAGTCTTCGCTTCCCATGGCTGCGGCGAGGCGCTGCGCGCGCTCAACGATAGCGGCGAATTCGGCCGCAACATCGAGTCTGTTCGGATCCTCAAGTACATGAAGTATGGCGCGAGCTTGATCCTCGAAGATAGGGAAGATGGCGACCTTGATGGTCAGGCCAGTGAATGCGATGCTGTGAGCAGGGTAGTCAGACTGGAGGGGGAATAGGTGCTTGGCGAGAGGGAATAGTCCGTAAGTCGTGTTGTGGAGATGCGCAGGGAACGGAGGGGGAGTGTCTGGGAACCCTTCCACCATATCGGGTTCGGCGAAGAAGGGATAGGAGCACTCGTATCCAGTAGCAAGCACGACAAAGTCCACGCCTGACTCTGTCGTGCCATCGTGGAACACGATCTTTCCGTCGTCTCCATAGCTCGCGATGCGCGGCACTTTGCGGTAGAGAGGAGAGTCGGGTGGATACTCTCCCGGGCCTGAGGGGATAGAATGGAGTACTTGTTTGCCCTCCGCGGTGAGATCCGCGCAGACATCATGAGCGCTGAGACCTCCGCCTACGACGACGACCCTATGGTATTGCAGCAATTGCGCGGGTCTCCGGTACCAAGCAGAATGCATGACTTTTCCAGCGGATAACCATGATTGCAACCCCGGTATAATTGGGTAACGCGGACGTCGATAGTGTCCATTGGATACGACGAGAGCATCAAAGTCCAGAGTTTCGCCAGTTGATAGAGAGACCTTCCATACGAACTCATCTTGAGACCATCTCGTAGAAGCGACCAATGTATTGAATCGGATGAATCGTCGAAGATTGAAGTGATCGGTATAATCTTCGAGATATTGAAGTAGACGCGCAGCAGTAGGAAAGAGCGGTGTCTCGGGAGGAAAAGGGAATGTTTGATAAGTCATAATTGGGTGAGGTAGATTGATCTTCAACGAGTCGTATACAGCCGATATTGGGGGCTTATCATCCGACGAGGGTGGTGCTGCTCTCCTGAGATAACCTCATCAGCCAAGGCCTGCGAGTATGATAGATGCGACGCGAACGCACCAGACACCGCCTACATCCTCCCTATCTTCAAAGCATGAGATAGTCCAATCGCCTGACCGCACGTATAGGGAGTCCGCAAAGACTTGGAGGACCGCTAGCCCATTGGCTCCAGCGCCTATCACGCAGATACGCTTGCGCGCGTGCAGGTCGGGAAGCGGATCTACAAAAGCAGGTCAGAGGCTTGTCAAGAGCCATCCATACAGACTACCTTACCTATCACATGCTCTGTCATGTCAAGGATATGTCGGAGTCGCACACGCAATAGAGCAGCACGATCTAGCCAAGGCCAGGTCTACTTTGCAGGGGTTTGCATGATATAGCCAGCTATACGTCGCCGGTAGGCTCACATAGATGGTGATAGAAGCGAAACTGAGAAGCTGTAAGCCAAAAATCTCGGGGCTTGGTGGTAGTCCAAGTGAGAAACGCGTTGTGCGAAGTTGCGCAATTGTGGCGACGCGCGAGAGCGCGCGACTCTCGGACCGTACATAGCGAACCGGGTGAACTACACGGCCCATAGTTTTGAGATGACTACTTTCCGTAACTGCGACGACGAGGTTACTCCCAAGCACTGCTGACATTATCAACTCCATCTACGTGCACGGTCAGAAAAATAGCCGAAGAGAGGCCAGGGGCGGGATAAGGAGGGTTTAAGTTTCCCGTGAACTCACTACGCTACGAGATGCGCAGGGCTAAATCAAAAGGGGTCTATCCCTTGCGTCAAAGCTAGCAGCTCACATACCCAACGGTGTGGTGGCTAGGCAAGACGTTCGTGGCGAATCCGTGGCGTCTGGATTGAACGCGCCACCGGCCGTGCGGGCCGGCGTTCTGGCGCAGCCATCATCGCGTTTCGCTCCTTCGCCCATGTTACATTGACGGACGATTCTGAAGACGATACCCCGCGACCTTACCTCTTGCTGCACGATACGCATCAGATAACGCGCGGCACGAGAGCATCAATACAAGCGCCATCTCAGGGTGTGTAGGCTGTCCCAATCCGTTGCTACCCCTTGAAGCGCCCAACGCACGCGATACCCCGATGCGGGAGCTGCACCTCGTACGAAAAGCTTTCGATCTCCTGCACACGTTCTCTTTACGTTCTACAAAGATGCGCGAGCTCCATATGGCGCGACGTTCTCTGCGACGAATGACGCCCTCTACCCATGCTTCCACGACGCGCAAAAATAGGCCGACAAACATCCAGGGCGTCCCGCTGTATACGGGTCGGTCGAGTCATAGATTGCGTCGTCGTGGGAAGCATTCGCACCGATGGACTCTCGGCCTCGTTGCTCTGGCCAGGCATTGCCTTTGCCTCCTGCTGTCTCCTGCCTATACATCTCGGTCGACCTGACTCGAGTCTCATTTCCTGCTGTAAGGTACCATGGCTGGCTCAGGACGTTCCATCGCGCGGGCATATCCGAACGTCAATGCCACACTCGGACCATCCTGGTACGAATACGGTGCGCACATCCCCTCATGTACCCTAGTGAGATGAAGCGCTCATAACTTTCGATTTATAGATGCTGTACAGGTACAGTGGGGATACCAGGAAGATTATGAGATCGTTCGCAAGGTCGGCCGTGGCAAGTACTCGGAGGTGAGACTGGACGATCCCTTTCAGTCGTGCCGAACACGAGTCGCTGACGTATTGCCACCTTACCCACGACAGGTGTTCGAAGGCGTGTGCATCGTGACGAACGAGAAGTGCATCATCAAGGTGCTCAAGCCGGTCAAGAAGAAGAAAATCAAGCGCGAGATCAAGATCCTTCAGAATCTTGCAGGAGGGACAAATATCATCACTCTCTTAGACGTTGTGCGCGATCCGATATCGAAGACGCCCAGCTTAATTACCGAATACGTCAACAACACCGATTTCAAGACGTTGTATGCCCGCTTCTCTGATTACGACGTCCGATACTATATGCTTGAACTCTTGAAGGTGAACTGATCCGTTCTGACCTCCGCATCGTTGCTAACGAAGATGGCGATAGGCACTGGACTACTGTCACTCCAAGGGCATCATGCACCGGGATGTCAAGCCGCACAACGTCATGATCGACCATGAGCGCCGTCAAGTGCGTGAATGTTGGTCGAACCACGGACATACAGAAAGCCTGACGTTTACATGAAGTTACGGCTCATCGACTGGGGCTTGGCTGAGTTCTATCATCCCAGCACGGAGTACAATGTTCGCGTGGCATCGAGATGCTTCAAGGGACCCGAACTACTCGTCAACTTCCATGACGCCGAGTATGACTACAGCTTGGATCTTTGGAGCTTCGGTTGCATGTTCGCTTCGATTGTGAGTACGATTGTTAACCAGCACTCAACGCTTGGTCTGACATCCTCTCAGATATTCAGGAAGGAGCCGTTCTTCCATGGGCGGGACAACTATGACCAACTCGTGAAGATCGCAAAGGTGCTCGGCACTGATGATCTGTTTACGTACGTCGACAAGTATGACCGGGATCTGGACCCACAGTATGATGAGATCCTCGCTCGGTAAGCAGAAGCTCGGTTTATGCTATTATGGTGCATTCGCTCAGATGTCATTCTCAGATACCCGCGTAAGCCGTGGACACGATTCATCACGTCTGAGAATCAGCGCTATATCTCAAACGAGGCCATTGACCTCCTCGACAAGCTCTTGCGCTACGACCACCGAGAACGATTGACGGCGCGGGAGGCACAAGCACATCCATACTTCGGTACACCGTTCATATACTTTCCAAGGATGCTTCAACTTACACTTCCATTCCAGATGTGGTCAAGCAGATAGCTGCGGAAGGCGCAGAGAGTGGGCTCGAAAGCGACGCTTAGATTGTATAGTTATCTTGATCTGTCACTCTTGTTGTACATCGCTTTGAACTACGATCGGGAGGGCCGCTCTGCCGCTCTAGAATGCACATCTACAGCTTGCTCGTTGCGCGCTCCATGATGCATGATGTCTTTGCGCTCTCTCTATACACATATGAATCCTGTTGGGGATTGACTGCGTACGAGCGCTGCAATACGCGAGAAGGACAGGGGTGTGTCAAGGTCAATTGGTTGCTTGATGACGAAAACTATGTATCATCAGGCCATGTGCGATCCACGCGATGGCACTGCGCGCGTCGCCAAAGCCCTTGGCAGGCTCCGATGTAGCTTGTACTCAAACCACCACGCGCTGAGATGCTGAGTTTGTTCTCGACTGGCGCTACCACCAATGCCACCCTCTTTTGCACCATCGTACCGACGTAGTATGCTATTCTCGCGCACGGTCTGAAACCGACAGTTGATGCATCGTTCGCGCGGAGTGCGAACGATCCAGAAGACGGAAGAGTTGGAAAATCGCGGACGACTATGGCCAAAGCTGAATACAACGCAGAATCACTTGGCAGAGCGTGGGACGCGTCCGTCGTACTAGGACTGTCGGATATCCGATAAGTCAGACTCATGACCTACGCGTCCGTGAAGGCCACTAGTCCGAGCTTCCGACGGCTTGTAGGCCATGTTGCGGATGTCCGGTACCCGTCTCTCTCGGATACTGATGCTGGACGGCCTTGATTTCGGTCTTCTCACGACTAGCTGAGACTACTAATCTGGTCATACATCGTCCCTCACCCCGACGGAAGGTGTCGCTCAGCCGCAGACCGATGGTCTAACTGCTCTATAAGAGTTCACAGCGAGCAAGAACCCAAGCATACCGCACTCCCACAAACTTTACACATGACTTCCACTCAACCCCTCATCGGTGTGGCTGCAGCGCTGGCGGCAAAAAACTCGACACCGGCAAAGCCGACCACACCCGCCATCTACCAGCAGTTCTCCCTTACTGACCGCGTCGCCTTGATCACAGGCGGGAACGGTGGCCTTGGTCTCGAAGCCGCACTCGCTTACCTTGAAGCTGGAGCGCGTGCGGTATACTGTGTTGACCTACCCGCTCAACCAAGCGAAGCATGGTCAGCAGTGAAAGAGTACGCGACAGCCATAGGACTCCAAGGTCGTCTCGAGTACGTCCAAGGAGATGTGACCGTACAGAAGGCCATGTGGGACATCGCGCAGGATATCGGAGACAAAGAAGGTCGGATGGACGTTTGCGTAGCAGGCGCGGGTATCACGGACAGAGCTACACCGCCGTTGGACTACGCTGCCGCAGACTATGACAAGGTACTGTACCAGCACTTGGTATGAAGTTGAACCAGACTAACATAGTCTTGCGTAGATCATTGACGTCAATCTCAAAGGTGTACTGTATTCAGCTCAGGCGGCTGGACGCCAGATGACACGCTTCGGCACTCCTGGAAGCATCATTCTCATCGCCTCGGTTGCTGGGCTTATCGCCACAAAGGTGCATGATCAGAGACAGAAGCTTTGTCGCTTGCGCTGACATCCTTCTAGGGTCTTCTTATGACTGGATACTATGCCAGCAAGGGAGGCGTCATCAACCTAATGCGCGCACTGGCCGTCGAACTCGCGGAGAAGAACATCCGCGTGAACTCGCTTTCTCCGGGCTTCATCTGGACACCGTAAGCTACTCTTTTGCAATGACTACTACGAGCCACCATTGAACCGTCGTTTCAGGATGGTATCGGGAGCGGTCAGCAAGAACGGTGCTACCGGCGAGTTCTTCAAGTCGCAGAACCCGATGAAGCGCATCGGGGAGCCACACGAGATTCGCGGCCCGATGGTATGGCTCGCGAGTGATGCGTCAAGTTATAGCACTGGAAGCAAGTGAGTCTGCTTACTTCGGGCTCTGATATACTTCCTTGCTGATACGAGCTCAGCATTGAGGTCAGTGGAGGTTACACTGCGCAGTGAATTGCCAAGGGATAGGCACCTAACATGGCTTGTAGTTATACATCTTCTGTGTATACCGTTGTTGCGAACATCGAGCACATTTGGGTACATACTTCTATTCTACATGCGTATGGCGACGGAAGCGCGAACATTAGAACCTGAAGACTTAGAATGCTTGTTCACCAGTCAATGGGCGACGGGAGACCGATGAACTAGCTGTGTTGCACGCACCCTGTCTTCACTGGTCAAATCCCTCGGGAACCTTCGGGATCATGAGCAAATTCACATCTCTGAGGAGCTTAATTCGTGTTCTTGGAGATCCTCGTCTTGTAGGGCGTAGTGAGAGATCCTGAACGAAGACACAAACAACTGTGTCGACGCGACGCGTCGTGATGGACCCCGGACCCATATGGACCTACTGTACGCGTCACACACGTGCCCCGGCATCCGGCCCGCTCTCAGCAGATCGAACTCCGACCGCAAATCCCAGCGACAGCGAGCACGACGTCTCTCCATGTGCCGCAATCTGCATCCCCATGTTGCCTCCGCGAACTGACAGTGACAGAAACTGTCCAAAGCCAAACTTAGCGGAACCTTCTTTCTCGCCGCCGGCCAGCTGTGGCGATGTCAGATGCGGGGAAACGGGCGAGTCAAGAACGACGGGTCAACGGAAACGTCACTCGTGTCTCAGCGCTGTCCCGAACGTTCTCCCGATGCTACCAGCTTTCCGACAGTTGGAGGCTTCTCTCAATTGGCTTTCTCTTGTTGATTGACCTGGGTTCTTCTTTCCTGCGACAAATGGGGCTCTCGGGTATCTCGGCCAGGACAAATATGTAATTCCTGGATCGCACCTTCTTCAGTTCCGATTCGGCATCCCCGCCGTCCCCCCATACGAGCCCGTACGTCCTGAGCCAACTGCGAAACGATAGTACCGTAACTTATCACAGGGAGGCACGGAAAAGCTTGAGGCAAAACTGGAATGGTTGCCCTTGTCCTTGATTTAGTTATCGGACGATCCAACCCGCCGGTGCCCGAACGATCCGTACGCTCTATAAATCATGCATACTCTACTTCTTATTTCTCATCTGGCTAAAGTAGAGAGCACACGACACATGGTGGCGTACACGAGGCTTTGGTGGACTGCGAGACTGGCATGCTTTCATCCCAATCGAGCCGCGAGGAGATAAATGCGGGCGTCTTCTCCTCAATTTGCCGTACAGCCTGCAGCGCAATCTTGCCTTTGCGGGTAATCGGCGCGCAAAGCAGGCAGTCTTTCTCGTATCCAATGTAAGTGAAGATTTTGCATCAGAGGAGCACACAAACAAACTGCACCCGTCCAGTCCCCCTCTGATGCATGGTGATGCGCCGCAAATTCACGAGTCCAATCTCGTTGTCGATGGCGCACCTGTCGCATAGGCTTGCTTGGTTCGAGCCTCACCGGCTTCACCCCGCAGACGATCTCATCTATGGTCTTTCCGCTTGCGTCAGTGAGAGTAGTGAGTTCACCTCTTTCGTCAGTGCCGGACCATGGTTGGTGTTCGCATCGTCAAACACCATGGCCAGCATGTAACCTGTTTGTGCACTCTCGCTCACATCGCCGCCCAGCACGATCTGATTACCGCGCTACATCCCTCGCATGTAGAGTCTTCTCGCAGGGCCCGTATACAATCAGTATACAGCCTCGGGCTCACGCGCTTTGTAACCAAATCCGCCTTCAACATCGCGAGCCTGCATTCGTTCCTCGATCAAGTTCAAGCTCGTGCTTCGTTGGTTTGTCGTGCGTCATACACACAGCTGCGCATCAGAGGCGCCATACGAAACTGCATCCGCGAAGAGCCCTACGTCGCTCAGTGAGCTCATCGTCGCGGCCTCGCCGCTCAACGAGATCTACTTCCGCATTCGGATCCTTGTCCCCTCCGACCCGCTGCGCACACCTTGTACCGCAACCATCATCATAGTCCCTGCACCGCTCATATTTGCGCGGAAACCCGAAGTGCAAAACCCCGTTCGAGTCCGGCGCGCGCTCAATCCGGGCTTGCTCTCGAGCTTCCGCGCGCCGGTAGCCTCATGGGCGTAGCATCCTCCCACACGCCCGCGCTTCTAGGCCACGACCAGCGCCAGTCAATCCGCTTCTCCTTCTGCCTCGACCATTCCCCAGCGCCAGCGCGCACAGAGTGTGTACGCCCCACCGCGCACGGGAACCTCCAGCGTCGCGCTATCCCGCTCCGAGAACTCGGGCGCAGCACCCGTTCATTATGCGCGGCGCTCCGCGATCGCGATCTGTGATGTCGTCCATTCAGTTCATTATCATTATTCCATCGAATCATCCCGGTGTCCCAAAAAGTGCCGAGAAACGGGGGCGCGCACATGATTTCGCTTGAGATGCGTAAAGATAAAGAACGAGCCTGGCAACGGCGCAGAGCGCGGTGGCAACGGTGTGCAAAAGGGATTGGAAATAGGCTATACAGTCGACGCTGATTCGCCGCGCGGTGGTACGTACTCGTTCACCACAAGCGCGCGTGTGTGGACCTCGCCGTCGGGAGGACGGGGTTATCGCAGTCCACGGCGAACGTGCGGCATCCCTCGACGTATGCGTCCCGCAGTCTACTAGACTCACGGAATATTCGGTGCGCAAAATCCGTCGTACGCGCTCCGTTGTGCAGCCTTCTGACCATCGCACTGTACGTACAGTGGCGTAGACGTGAGACGGTATCGTGCAAGAGGGATCTCGGATCGTTCGTCCGTCTGTATTGAACCGTGTACGTTGTACGGACGTGTCGAGGCTCTTCCTTCTTCGCTGCATCGGCCGTTAGCGAGCGAAACGTCTCGACAACGTGCAGCACTGCAGGGCTCGGAAACAGGGCCGTTTGAATTGCAATGCAGGTCAGGTGCGATTTATTCGCGCTGGGGGCAGAGGTTCCTGTTCGGCTTAGACGCGCGTGAAGCCTTGTACCCTATGGACGACACCAAGCATCCTTGTACAGCAGATCAAGATCCAACCCCGGCTCAACGAGCTACTAAAGCTGTTGGATCCCCGCGCCGCGGACCGCGGAGAGAGTTCAGCAGCTTCCATGGCCATCAGCTGTAGGGATTCTTGTTCTTATCGACCACTTGTGCGGAATCTCCGGTCTACGCCGATTCCGGTCGGGGCGGGGCACTGCGCTCGTCGCGTTCGTTCCCAATGGAGAGCGCAATATGCCTAATGTGGCTACAAGCAGCTCTAACTCAACGAGCCTCCTCCAGAGCATCCGAGCCTCCTTCGCGTTTTCATCTCCTTGCTCTTCGTCGGCGCTTACTCACAGGTGCTACCTTCTCACCGAGCCCCCCATTTTGGAGCACAGAGTCTTCCATCTCCCGAACGAGGCCCCGCGCCGCACCCATCCCTTCTTTCATTATAATCCTATGACTATTCATCTGACTTGCACACTGCCTTCTTACCGAGACCCCATCGACCATCCCCGAGGCGGTCCGTGTTCGTCCATGCTTCTCGTCTTCCGAGCTTCGTCGCTGCCGCGCCGTTTGCGCGTGTAGTGTATGCGGCGCATGCTCGTGAGGTTCCAACAGCCACAGTACCTGCACAGCAAGGAACAAGCGAACGAGCGTGGCCCGGTCCGTCCGGCGCGAAGGCCAGCGTCGTGGAAGCTGGCGAGCGCGTTCGTGTTCACGCCCGTATCAGCGGATAGACCTCGACTCTCGACGCATCGATAGGTTCCACGGGAAAGTCCCGCTGTTGAGAAGTGAACCTTGCAATGATGACGCGCGCCTCCGCGCCTCGGCATTCCCCCGTCCCTTCCTTAGGCTTCCTTGCTGTACAACCGTGTATTCCGTGCACGACTGATATCCAGATCCAGCACCCCTTCGCGCCGATCCACGAGGACCGTATGTGTGCCTAGTGACTTCTACTGCCTATCTCGAGATTCTCGGGCTCGCGCTTTGTACGTGAGGGCGTGAGCGCCCCTCGCTTTGTTCTTCGGCGCAGGAGGGATTTACCGTGCAACTCTCTATACAGTTCAGCCGAGCCTTGCGAGTCCGTGGGTGCAACAACCTCGGCCGCTGCCGTACATACATACGCACCTCGGACTCGTCCAGTCCGATGCGTGTGTCCGATGTTGAGAAGCTGTATGCGTTCGCGCGCCACAAATCGGAAGGGACATGGCCTTCTGGCCAATGGGCAGTTCGCCGCCGAGATCGCCGGGCGCTCTCTGAGTTCTGGCGCTCGCGCACGCGAAGAGAAGATGCGCCGACATTGGATATTGGAAAACAAGAGCGTCGAGAAGACTGTGTGTTTGTACGTACGACGGGCGCATAGAAGGACATATGAGTTCTCTGCATCGCGCGCAAGCTGTTCCTTGCACTCGTTGCAGCGCTCGCCTCCGCGTTTCGGGCGTAGAGTATGGAAGAGAGTGGGCTCGGCCTTCGCGACCGCTTGTGCATTCATTGTTGGTAGATCCCCTCCCAACGATCCCGATTATACTCTAATCACTGCCCACAATTGCCTCGGCGCCGAGTCAGCGGCGCGGCGGAGTATCGACAGAAGGCGTCGGCCTTGAAACCTAAAACGGGCGAATGTACGTGTTAGCATATTATACGAGTACGTACCCGTCGCGCGCTCAAGCGCTCAGGCGCGAGATCGGGAGTCGGGATGTTGATATGTTGATATCGGGCAAGTCCAAGGAAATTGTACACGTACGAGGTCATTATCGGTGTCCCGTTGTAGAGGCGGGGTACGTACTCACTGTGGACGGACGCTAGAAGGGTATGCACGGGGATCAACGGCGCATATATTGGCGTTTTCGATGGGGGGCGGGACATCGCGCTCAAGCCTAGGGTCGCCGGGATCGCGGAAGCTCAGGTGGTGGTATCGTACGGCTCGAGCGGACTGTATGACGAAAAGTGCGGGATGTTGGGATGGTGCATGTGAGGAGTAACGCATGTATCGTTGGATCGGGCGGGGATGAGTTGGGTCAGATCGCAACCCTCGGCTTGTGCTCGGCGCGACCATCTGCACTAGGGGTCCCGCACATCAACTTCAGGCTTTCGAGTGTCCAAAGGGAGGTGCCTGTTACGCTCAACCCTGAACAAGAGCATCGCGTTTCACTACTGCAAAGACGGCGGCGACTGGTTGTGAGACACAAAAGACGGGGTATATTACTCGTCTACAGTTTGGGCCAGAGTAACGTACGTGCAAGAAGGAAAGCGAGAGACCATGGTGCGATGTACAAGTCCGATCCGGTCATCCCAGACGGCCAGATATAATGATGCTAAGTATGCACAGAGAAGGAGTAGAAAGAGACAGTGGAACAATAAGTAGTAGAACAGTCAGGTATTTGGCAGGACGACGACGAGAGGACGAGGAACGGGGTTATTGGAGAGGGTCTTGGGGGGATCGTGAGATCGTGGTATTGTATTACACAGGTGGGGAATAGGCGAGGCAAAGCTTGATGTAAGTTAAAAGGAGGGGGGAATCGGTCTTCGTGAAGGGGGACAGAGTACATCGAGTTGGGTGAGGCGGATGGGGATGAGTGATTCGTGCACAATGCGGCTGGATCGGTGACAGGGATACATACGTAGTAGAAGGGGGGGATCAAGAGAGAAAGGTCCATGGACTTGGTATCGAAACAGTTTTTGGGCATGAGGCTGGATGAGGCAGCGAAAATGAAGACCATTTCATATCATTGCGGCGTGTCATCGACGAGATCGAGCCTGGCGCTACTGCGGCGTGTACCCACCAGGGCTTGGTGACGTCTGCGCGGTGTTGCCATCCGCGCTGCCCCCGCGAGGAATGCTCGCCGCGTACTGGTGCTGGTTTTGCGCGTACAGTGCGGCGCCGCCATGACCGGCATGAAGACCCAGCGCGCCACCACCAGGCTGACCAGGACCCGTGTACTGAGGAGCATAGCCCCCAGATGAGCCGCCGGGAGCAGGCATGCCGCTAGCCTGAGAGTACGACTGCGAGTGGCTGGAGGGGAAGCTATAGCCAGCAACACCTCCGCTGCTCGAGACGGTGTACGCCGGGCCACTGGGACCAGAGTACGAGCCACGCGAAGCGTACATGAGCGGACCACGCCCAGGATGGTAATAGGGATCCGTGCTTGCCCCGTGCGAGGAAGGAAGAGACTGCAGCGACATGGGGTGGAACAGATTGAGGCCGTCAGTGGGCATCGAAGCACGGCGAAGTAGAGCAGTAGTGCTCAGGCCAGAAGGCTGGGGCGGCGGAGCACGAGTAATAGGCGGTCCACCAAGTGGCGTGGTGGTAGCGGGGTTGCTCTGAGCGCGATGTACGGGTGCAAGAATGCGGCGACGAGCCTGGACGAAAGAAGTATAACGTCAATAACGAAATAGAAGCACAGAAGCGAGGAAATGTAAAGCCTACGTTTATCATCCAGTTCGATACCTGAGACATGCTGAGGCCAGTCGCCGCGCAGAGCTGCTTCTTCTCTTCCTCAGAAGGGTACGGGTGGTCCGCATGCCGGTGGAGCCAGTCCTTGAGAAAGTCAGTGGTGGGCTTTGGCAGCTTGCCGCGCTTCTTCTGCGGCCGGTCGACGAGGCTGCTGGCCGGTGCCACAGGAGAAGGGTTCGGCGAGGGACTCGGGTTCGAGCCCGAAGGCATCGAACCCCACTCGTCTTTGATCGTATCGGCAGTCGCCGACTGGGCGTAGCTCGCACGACGCTCGGGCTGGCTGTGGCTCGCGATTCGCGTGCCGTACATCGCCACAGGCGGCTGCTGGTGAGAGAGCTGGTAGGGCAACGTGGCGAGCGGTTGCGAGCTGTTGGTCCTGGCGTAGTCGCTGTAGTCCTGGTGCTGGCCGGATGCGGGCCGGGGGAACTGGTAGTCTGCCGCGTAGCTGGCGGCGTTGGACGAGAGCGGCGCCTCGTAAGTTTGTTGTTGTTGATGCTGTTGCGGGAACTGATACGCCGACAAGGACGACGATCCGCCGCCGCCGGGATAGCTCGAGCGGCGGTTCTCAAAGATGCTAGGCAGCTTGACGCCGTGTTGATCGTCGGTCTGACGGGGCGGCGAGTCGGTCAGCGGCTGGGCGTCGCTGGGCGAGGCGGACATGTTCGAGTCCAAGCTGTCGATGAGACGTCAACGTTCGTTCAACCCGATGGCTTTAACGGAAACAGCCAAAATGACAGGGAAAAAAGCAAATCTGCGTCGATTGACAGCTGCCATGGACGGACGGGTCCGATGACGACAGGGAGAGACGGTTACCTACCTGGGGTAGAAGGCGGACGGAGGCGGGGAAGACGACAGCTGGCTATTCGGATCGAGGTCGTAGTACGGGTAAGAAGGGAACGAGGGCAGAGCGGAGGCAACTGGGGTGGCGAGCGCGAGCATGGACGCTAGTGTACGAACAAATATGCGGGCCGCGAACAAACTCGGCGAGACAGGATCCTTTCGCACCGACGGCGCGGCTATATACCACTTGCCTCACTCTGATCAGAATTTGCAGAGCGTGGCACTGGTGGGAGACCCCGCTATAGATACTTGCTTCAAAATAAATGACGCCAAACCCGGCCCCGCGATTTATGGAAGCCTGATCACGCCTGGGATCACACACCGCTCGCGCTGCAGCCTGGCTCCCCGCCCGTTCGGCGCAATGAACGGCCGAAAGTAGAAGTAATTGCGCCGCGAGCGGAGCATCGCCCATCGACGCAACAAAGTCCTCAGGAAGCAAGCCAACCCAAATGAAAAACCAGGAACGGCCCTGGACCAGCGCTTCCTCGGCCCGGCCCGATTGGCACGAAGCCACCCCCCTTGCCATCATGCATCATCGCCGCGTGCGAACCGAGCCCCAGCCGCACCTCCCGCCGCGAATTGTGTACGTGTGTGGGTACCGTAAGTAGTGTACGCGAGATGTGATCACAGATAGCAAGAGCGTAAAAACAGCGAAAACAAGGAGACCGAACCAGAGTCCACGACCGTAGATCCGCACAACATTCCGCACCCAAAACCCGTTTCAGAAACACAAAACGGGCCACAGGCTATTTCGAACGCCCGAGCACGCCCGCCAACAGCCGCTCCGCCTTGTCGCGCTCCTTCGCGCTCACCGGTACGCCGTCGAGCACCCGCAGGCGCGGGCATGCACGCATAGCCAACCCTCGGTACGCCAGCCGTGCAGCATACGCCGAGTCGGGCAGATCGCGCCTGAATTTGGCATCGAGCTCAGCCCAACGCGCACCATCCCCGCCCCGCTCGGGGGCGAGCGCGCCGGGCGCGTCGTGCACCAACAGCGGCAGGTACCATCCGAGCGTCGCGGGATTCATCCTGCGTACATGTTAGCATGTTACATTCCGTAATCAGCGCCACGCCACAATAGGCCTCGATGCGACTGCACAGGCCCTATGGGCACACAAAGACCGCAGCGAGGGCCTGAAAGAGCTTGGGTACGTACCGCAGATCGACGACCTCGGCGTCCGGGCAACCTCGCAGCACGCGAACGAGCGCCTTCGTGCCCTGCAGCCGGCTACCTATGACGGTGAGCTTCGTCAGGCGACTCAGGCCCTCAAGCGCCCTCAGCGCCGCATCGTCCAAGAAGTTGTAGTTCAGGTTCAGAGCGCGCAGGTTCGGCACGAGTGTGGGCAGTCCAGATGGTAGGGACGTGAGCCGACACGCGGCGAGCTCGAGGTAGACGAGGTTGTAGCACGGCTCGGAGAGGAAGGTAGCCGGGAGTGCGTTTCCTGCGCAATACAGATTAGACAAGCGTCAGTACAAAGCGGGCACAATGAATAGAATGGGCCAGGCCAGGGCAGCATTGTACACAGCACAGGCCGCAGCGTACCTGAGAGGTAAAGTCGCTTTACATCGCGGACATCGCGAGCGGCCAGGTTCCTGTGCGGCCACGGCAGTTAGCGATCTACACGGCGGACTCAACGGACGGACATTGCGCGCATGCACGGCGCGTGCGGACGTGCCTCGGCGCAGGCTCGGAAAAGCGTAAACGGTTTAAGGAAAGGAGCGTATGCTCGAAAGAGACTGGCCAGGGGAACCTCGAGCCCGTTCGGGAACGCGAGAAATCGCGTCCGCCCGAGAAGGCAAGGGCCGGAGGAAAGGCAAAGAGAGTGGCGAAGCACACAGAAGGGAAGTACGCACAGGCCTTTGCCGCTCTGATTCCGCAGGCTCAGGTTCTCCAGTCTTGCTAGTCGACGCGCATCGGCCAGCTCGGGCAGTGCATTGTTGTCCGCGTAGAGCGTGCGGACATGCGGGAAGGCGCGCGCGCTCAACCGTTGTAGCCGGTTCCCGCTCACGCGCAGCACGCGAAGACGGGCTAACGCGCCGCCGACCGCGAGCTCGGATAGGTTGTTCTGGTCTATCGAGGTGTTCAGCGTCCACGCCACAAGCGAGAAGCCAGGCAAAAGCAAGAGCCGGAGAAAGGAGTGAGGATTGTGCAATCAGTCGCGCGCGTGCAGAAGATGTTCACGGGATAGAAGATCAACAAAGATTGGGAGGCAAAAGAAGGCTCGGTGGTAAGATCATCACGGTGCGGGACAGTGCAAATGCTGATCTCTACAAGCGGCGCACAAGGGCCAAGGCCATACGGGTATGGGAGCGGCAAGACGGAGAAGAGGCACGCACCGAGATTGAGGACTATCAGCGCCTTGAGCGTCGCCAGACCTCGTACATCTTCAATCCGATTGTGACTCAGGTTCAGCATCTCAAGCTTGCCCCTGCTCGTGAGTTCGCCCGGCAACCAGCGCGAACATGCAATGATGCCGGAGCACCGCAAGGCGAGGGAGATTGACAGATGTGGGAGGTTCCATGCGCCGGGCGGTAGAGTGAACAACAAGGATCACGGGTGGAAGCAATGGCCGAGGGGAAGGCGATGACGGTGAGCTGCATGTATGCGCGTAAGAGAAGCGGGAACACGCACCAGGAGCAGGAGCCCAAGTCTACGGAAACCAGCGCGTTGTCCTGAAGGCTAAGCTTCGCCAAACTATCCAAATTGGCGAGTCCGTCGAGAGAGGATATGCGGTTCCCGTCCGCTCGGAGTTCGCGCAGATGGCGAAGACACTCGAGCTCTGTACGTCAAAATGACACTGAACTTTAGCACAAACAAGGTCAGATTGGTGTAGAGTACGCACGCGCGAGGCTCTCAATGTCGTTGTGGCTCACATCAAGGCTTTCGAGCCCATGCAAGTGCTTGAACGAAGTCATCCGCGTCAGACTGTACCCGGCCGGTCAGTACTGAATACCCTAGGGTCTACTCTCAGCGATGAATTCACTCACGCGTTGTGCGCCACAGACAGCGTCCGCAGGGATGCCGGCAGCCCACTAAGCCACGCCAACTGGTTCTGGTTGCTTCGGAAATCGCCGTCGTCAGCACGAGCCCTACAGCACTTTGGGAAGGAACCGTAGAACAAGAAGTCTGCGGCGCCGAACGGGAAGACAAGAGAGTACGGTATACGCACATGGAGAGCGTCCGTAGTTGCGGTAGAAACTCCTTGAGGCGTGCGACACTGTCGAGACGCTTGTCCGAGAGGTCGATGTTGCCCAAATCCTCCCAGTAGGGCTCGAACGGTTGCACATCCGTGATCACGGTCACGAGCCGGTCGTGCGCCACACCAAAAGAAGCCTCGGTCAAGAAGGTTGCGTTGGCATTGGTGCCGCTCGCGAATGTGTTCGCCCGCGTAACCTGGCGGCGCGACGGTGCGGACAATCCGCTGCTACCGCTTGTGTTGCTCGATGGCCTCCATTCTGCCATACGCTGCAACTCTTCGGGTGGCGGCCGGCCCGTACCGGCCGGACGGGTCGGAGAGGTTGGGCCCTCGCCTGTAGCATGTGCATATCAGAAGTGCGAACAAAGCCAATTGTACGCGAGAAGACGCACTTGAAGAATCGACTAGCCCCGCAAGCATATTCTCCAGACGCTTGGACCGCGCAGAAGGGACGAAGCTCATAGCGCCCGCGCCGGCTGGCGTCTCGAGCTCCGTTCCCGTCGTCTCCGCACCCGTCTCTGCGCTAGCACTCGTCTCTGCTCCACCATCCTCCCCACGCCCGAGTCCGCGAATCGGACCGTCGTGCTTCCCGTCCGAGAAGCTGACGGAGCGTCGATGACGGTAGTTGTTCGCCGGTGTGCGAGTGGCGACAGAACTCCCGCGCAGGCTCGCGAAGGGGACGGCGGATGCCGTAGACGTGTTCTTCAGCGCAGAGCGGATCGGTGTTGGTGCACTAGACGCAGTTCGTGAAGGGAGCGGTGTACTGAATGGTACCGGCTGTGCGGCCTCGGCAAAGTACGGGGCCAGCTCTGGGGAAGGAACGGGTGGCGGAGATGGCTCGGCGATTTCCTCTGGTTGGACAACCTCAATGTAACCGTCTGGTTCGTCATCGTCGAACGTCTGGTCGTTGGCTGCGATGAACATGGATGCTTCGCCGATGGCGAGCTCTCCCATGCCGTGTACAAGGTCATCGTCAGAGTCTGAGTCGTCGAAGTATATGGTCTGATGCTGAAGGGAAGGCATCGCATCCGGCGGTGGACCATCGAACGAGAAAGACGTTAACTCCGCCTCTTCATCGTCTGCAGCCTCTTCGATGCGACTCATCTCCACGGGGGCGTAGTTGATCTGCGGAGGGTACACAGGGTGTTCGTTGTCACTATGCACAATGACGCTACCACCCGCGCTACCGTCGATGATTGAATCGTCCTCGCGCAAACTCTCGATATCGCGAAAGGGGTCTTCACTCCCGTCCTCTGCACTAGCCGCATAACCGGCCTCGCTCGCAGAGACCTGGCGCCCATGCACTCGCCCGGGTACCTTGACCCAACGCATCTGCGTCTTGTCGTACACCATTCCGCCTACTCGTTCGGGTAGTGCAGGGATGTCCTCAGGTGCGATGCGCGTGATCTGCGCAGGTCCAGCATGCTTCACGAAGGACTCCGCACTGCCCGCGGTCACGACTGTATTTGCGGCCGATGAGCCTGACACAAGCCGATTGAGATCCTCCTGCGTACGGGCGCGCAGTGATGCGGATGGATATGCTGGCGCGCCACCACCAAATGCGCCTCCCGCACCGCCCGAGCTTGCATGCGAGTTTGAGCGCGAATGGGTGCGAGCATGTGATCGTTGTGAGGCTGTGGATGTGCGCAGTGGCGAGAAGGCGGGTGCAACGATGACCGGCGGCGCGGGAAATTGGGCATAAAACTTCGAGGTATCCATCGAGCTATCGGCTTGTTCCTGTGGCTGCAGGGTTGATCTAATGAGTATTGGTGGCGCGGGAGGTTAATCATCGTTCGGCTTACCGGCAGTGGTCTTGAAGCGGCTTGTCGAGGGCGTCCGGGTGATACAGGCGCTCGCGATCTTGCGGGAGACGCTGGTACCCCGCGTCGCGCGGATTGTGAGACGCGCCGTTGGTGAGGCGCACGAGAGCTCTCTGCAACAGAGCGCCGCAGAGACGGGCCCTCATGCTCGGCACTCAGCTGAGTGATGTCGGTGTCGGCGGAGAACAGCCGCTTCGAACCCTTCATATCCTGCTTGATCTGTGCCATCAGGGCTGCACCCTTTTCGCGATAGCCCAGCGAGGAATACGTATTGCCCTTGGACGAGTTCAATGAACCGCCAGATGAGGAGACAGCATCGTGAGCATCCGGTACTCCGAGGTGACCAGAGCGAGCTGTTGACGTGTCAGCCATTCGTGTATATATTTGATCATAATAGAGCGGACTCACTGTGAGCAGGCGCTTCTGGTGTATCCGGCTGGTGCGTGACACCCGAACGAGAAGCAACTGTCGAGATTGTGGAAAAGTCTCGAGCTTGCTTGATCTGAGCCATGAGCGAGCGAGATTCTCCGACGTAGTCTCGAGGCAGAGAAGGTCTCTGGATGACAGCGTTCTCGCCGTCGCCATCTCCAGCTTCGAAGTCAGATTGAGGGCTGAGCTTGACTCGCTTAGCACTACGAATGTCTGCACTGGACGTCGTTGTCTCCGCCATTCGCGACAACCCAAAAGGTGATGAGTGATGCGTGGTGAGGTTGCCAGTGTTACTCAGAGACGGAGAGTTGACCGCGATAGAGTCCACCATGGCTGAGAGATGATCGCGCGTATAGGTGTCGTATTGGAATTGGAATAGTCGTAAACGAGGGTCGGTAGCGGGTGTGAGGAATTGAGGTTTAGGCTGTGAGGCCACGGGCGTGCTCTGAGCTTGTGGTTGCGACGAAGACTCTGCGCCACCCTCTCCATGCGGCACAGTGAAGGTGAACTGACAGTCCATTCGCGGGCGTAGGCCACGGAAGCCGCCAACATTAGGTAGATCGGTCTCGAGTATTTCGTCAGGTTGGGCATTAGAGTGTTTCGTAGATTCAGTGTCGCCGTCGTGTTCGAATGACGATGCGGCGTGCACCTGAGACAAGCGAGATGGGACGGGTGGCGCGGATGGATGTAGGGTTTGCGAAGACGGGCCGGCTTTAGGTGGCGAGGGGGGCTCAAACATAGTCTCCAAAGCCAGCGGGCTGAATATATTCTTCATGCCGCCCTGCTTCTTCGCGCCGGGCGTCGGTACGCCCAGGTTCGGCAACAGCGGCCCGGGCGCGTCCTCCCGAACAAGAAAGGTGCCAGCTGCTTCGGGCGAATGCGAACGGGCGGAGCTCGTAGAGCGTCGCAAGGAGTTGGTTTCGTGTATTCGGACAGAGCCGATAGGCGCGGTAAGCTCGATAGAGCTGCCTCCAGTGTGGTTGCCGGCTTGCTGGCTGTCAACGTCCTCCTCCTCTTCTTCATCCGGCCATTCCTCATCAAGCTCATATGTCTGCCAGCCTGGCCTGTTATGTCTCGCGTAATCATCCATATCGAGACCAGGAGTGAGCCTGCAGCCGCAGCTACAGCCAGAGAGAGAACACGAGAATAGAGTGGTGGAGGTTCAGGTGATCGCGTCGCGTTTGTGGGCGCCTATGTTTTCTTCAACCACTCGTGACGCGCGTCACCGCAAGTTGCTTCCGACCACCATGAGACATGCATCTCGTATGCCGACTTCACGAGTAGAACTTCAGAGTGCTGTCGTTGCATCTCAATAATCGATCAGCATGCATAATTCTCTGTTTGAACAAGCCATGTCGCCATTACGCAATAAACCTGGCGTTTTCCTCGTGTTGATCGATGACGGCCGCTTCAAGTCGCAGCTGTGCACGTATATCCAGCGTCAGCGCCCATCCTTCGACTTTGGCTCGGATCGACAGGCCCTTCATCGAGTGCTCTATCCTCACGTTTCCACAAACAGGTATATCGGCGACTTGATCTGCAGACGTCGACACGCGCAGGATATTCTCATCGATAACCATGGAAACTCTCGCACAGCGCGAACTTCTCCCTCCCTCCAGTACTTGCGGCGCTGATATAGTTCAAGAATGCCGTGAAGGGACTCCCCTTTGCTCGTACCGTATGTGAGTGCTGGCCGCTCCTTTTGTTGGATCGCGCCTCATGTATCGAACAGCGTGCGGTTGCTGGGAGTGAAAGACGTTGTGCGGCACCTCAAATTACGTGCGCTGAAGAGAATGTTGCACACTTCAGCAACTCCGAACCCGGACAACTCTATCTTGATTGCTTCGAGCCAACTATAGCCCTATAGCTGGGCGGACGGAAGCGGCGCCACACACCTCCCGAGGAAGCATGCAAACTCTAAGTCTTCTATGGAACTTGGGCCAGTCTGGGCTCGTTTTGCATATTGGCTCAAGAGTTGCCAAAGTGGCCGACGTTAGGCTCTAGCTAACAAGCTTAGTTCACCGGACAATGCTTACGGAAGACCCGAAGAGTACAGGGATTGGCATCTAGCTACCCGTACTCGTCTTGCACACGCTCACCATCCGGTCATGTATAGCCCCGACGCATCGGAAAGACTTGCCATAAATCATCACTCGTGGGTACTCCGTCGGTTGTACTGGTTCCAAATTTCTAAGGAGGCGAAATCGGAGTAGAACGGCGAACTCATGCGCTGAGATGCGCCCCTGCGCGTTTGCGGATATACGCTTCTCCTCGCGCCGTTACGGCCGAGCGAATGTATCCTCACAAGACAGCCAACCTGTTTGGCTATCACGTGCCGTCGCAACCCATATCACATCGGCGGTGCAGAATAGCGAACGAGTTCCGAACACGGAGAGCCAAACGCTCAAAGCAGGCGATCTTCACCTTCATGCATCTACACCCGTCTGATAAATGCATCGTACCTTTTCCGATTTCCAATACGAGCCTTGCTATCTCTCACCAGCCACCACAGAACATACATGCAGTGCAATACATCACGGCCAGCCGTAAGTACCCTGAACGCCTTCAAAGATGGATTTCTGACTGAATTCATCGCCTCTCCCCATAGGACACACATGGATAAATGCATGCTCAGGTGCTCCATTTGATCAAAGCGTCGGGACGCGCGGTTATGAGCTGATGCTGGGTGGCGGAAGGTGCGTTCGTCCGACGAGCCTCTGTCCTCTCAACCCAGCGCCTCTGATAGCTTCGCAGGAACATTGCGAGGTCTCCTAGGCGCTTCTCATCCTCATGATACGTGGTGGCTCCCTTATCCGGTTGTTGATCAATTCATCGGACCCTGCGCTGATTGGGACAGCCAGCAAGATTGCCGAGTCTCGCCGGCGCATGAGAGCGCGATCTCACATTATGGCGTACTTACATGCTGCGAGCGAAGGCCTCAGCGCTAACGGTACGCAAATCGTGGCTGCATGGATCGTATACAGGGAACGCTCATTCATCCGAATAGCTTCAACAAACACCGTTCATCTATGCGGGATGATCTACATCATGCCGTCATCCTTGAGTGCCTTGCTGTTCCTGGCTTTAGCGCTCCTGTATCCGGGCACAGTGCAGCGAAGGCGCACTTTTGGCGCACTGGGTCCAGAGCCTGCATCTCCTCGCGTACCGGAGTAAGGCAGCATGCCTCGGCGTCAATATCGTCGATCATGCGCCTTCGACTGGGTAAACAACAGCAGCTCCGAAAGGACGTCTACTCTCAAGAATACGCGCGCCTCAAAGGCGTGTTTGAGAGATCGTGACTCCGCTTAATCTCCTGGGCTGGCATAGCCACGGCAATCGGGAGCTCGCTATATCCGACCTATGATGAGGTTTAACTTCAAGCCTCTAAGTTGTTCCCCTTCGTCAGAATCAGACATGGCGAAGAGGCGCTTAGCACGCGAGAACGTGCCTACGCTTCGATTCGGGCTTACAAGTGCGTGTAGTCAGCTCGTAGTAATAGTGCAACTGAGCTTACTGCGCATCTGTAGCAGATCGTGCCCAGGCTCCTCGGATGCGTATGATCTTCGTCTGCAGCACCATCGCTTCCTGAAGAGATGCTCCAAGTGTATCAACCGACCCCATACAGCCCTTGCAATAGCATGCCGCTACCCACGGAGCAAATCGCCACCCAATTCGACCATTCCTACTCCTATTGTGAATGTTCACTACGTACTACCGATGTTTGTCCCGCATGTGCATGCGTATGTGACCACACATGTTCATTTCCGACCGCAGTGTGCTTTCGTTCCCAAACGAACTCCTCCCGGCGGCGCCAACGACCGCGGTAGTACCGGAGATTCGAGAAGAGTGGGGTCATTAGCCTTCGGTGTAATGGGCACTTGAGCCTGTAACGTTCTTCATGAAGCAATGATTGGTCATGATGACCTGGTGCTATGCAGGCCATTGAGCGACGCTATCGACTTCTTCGTGGCCCCGATGAGCTCGACTGAGTGCACGATGAGGCGGCAATCAGAGGATGCGCTTCTGAGTATTCAAGATTGCGATGGTACAGCTTTGGCTATTGACGCCTGTGGGTGGTGAATCGCGCTCATGTGATGTACCATCATGATGACGACCGTGTTGCTTTCCCGTCGCCCATCTTCCCCTCAGCGTCTGCCATCTTGAGCTCGCCTTCGCGGGCGCCCAGCGCTTGCTGCCATTCTCTACCGTCCTGAACCTTCGCCGTGAGTTGTGCGCCGCCGCTCCCCACTGCTGTTGTGCTCGGACAACTCCGACGAAAGACTCTCGCCTAATGCGGGCAGATAATCCCAGTCGCAGGAAGCCTCAGTTACGACTACTTCCCGGAGATACGTTTGTCTCGCTTTGGATGGTCTCGAGTCTCTCCCCTTCAGACCTCGAGACCATACGCATGTGAACTTCCTGAGGGTTCACTATTTGTGGACATGATACGACGACAGGGTCGGCGCTTATTGCACCAGCCGAAGGATCGGCAGTCCGTCTACACCGAGGGTGCCCTTCTGTAGGTGGGGTCGGGCCCGCTGAGAGAGTAGCAGAGGAATGAGTCTCATTCAAACACGCGAGTACGTCAATCCGGCAGCACTCGTGATTTTGCACGCAGATGAATGTGTGATGCATGCCTACTACAGGATAGCAGTAACATAATGAGACCATCCTACATTCATCGACATATCATGTCCGATCTCCTACAACTTCAAGAACAGTATCAATGTGTATTGGAGGTCGTGTGCCGGATGTAAAGATACAAACGGGAAGTAACTACCGCGAACGAACTGCCCCTTCTTGCAGACTTTCCAACGTCCAATCGCGTAAGTGTACCGGTACTGCGTCGACCCACGTCCGAAGCTCCTGCTCCTCCACTTTACATTCACGCAAAAGGAGATGTTTCGTCGTGCATCCGACCATCATGCGCGAGGTCAAGGTCTCTTTGAGTACAGCCGCAGCATGACCTCGCTCCAGAGCTGGAGCGATCATCTTAGAGAAGTTGGCGTACGAGATAGAGAGTGTCTTCAGTTCCGGGAAGAGAGCATCGTCGCGATTGTTGAGAATCAGGGCTTCGGTGGCAGGTAGGCCGAGCGCTCGAAGCAGGGCGAGTACCTCGGATCTCTGCAGGATAAGACAAGAGATTGTGCGCATACCGCCGAACCACCGCTTCCAGATCCCCGGAGGGGCATGGAGACCTCTGACAATGAGAGTTTTGACGCTCGCTGAGTTCACGATGCGAAGTAACTCGTCGGCGAGGGCAGACCTCTGCGCGAAGTCATTCTCGGAGTGTTTGCCATGGCGGAGCCGGAGGTCAAGGACCATGTCCTCGGGGCCTAGGTGTTCACCATCGATTGCATGAGTATCTGACATACGGGCTTGCAAAGCAACATATCCTTTATCGCGGCTGCGTTGACTGTCCTTAATGGCGTAGTGTCCCAGGAACAGTGTCTGGTACTGTGCTTGGGCGCAGGGCATAGAGGATATGATGTCGGCGACGGGGTTCAAGAGCATGCTCCCTTCAGCAACGAAAGTATTGATGCTAAGTTTCTTGAGGTACGCAGGTGCGGACAGTCTTCGCAACAAGCTAAGAACTATACTTGTTTTCCCGCGTAAGCTGAGAGATCGTATGGCAGGAAGACGGATGTCCTCGTCCTCATCGACAGGTATAACGTTTAAGAAATTCGAGTGAATTTCCAGGGTCGAGAGCTGATCGCAGCGGCTGATGAAGGGAATAAATCCCTGGAGATCGTGCTGAGAGATTCCACGTTTATGTTTGGGCCCTACAAGGAAGTGTAGACTCCGAAAGGCATTAGGTAGCCTTGGCCAGATATCCTGCCCACCGATCATATTAGCCGTGAGTGTTAGGTTGGTGACGGATGCGAGGATGTGCACGGGGAACGTATGTGCTGCCGTCACCCGATAAGGCGGGTTGAGCCGCAGTGTGCGAAGACGGGGCAGAGCCCCTGGAGGCAGGCTGGCTAAAGCCTCCAGGAAGTCCGTGTACTGTGCGCCGACAGGAAAGAACTCCTGTTCGATGATTTCCAATGTTTCCAACCGTTCAAGAAGAGGACCAGACTTCAATGCCTGAATTGCGAACGATTTCGTTTTCCAGTCAGGTGCGTGTTGATGGCTCTTCCTCGGCATGCGGCGTAACGTGAGAGGTCGAGAGTGAGATAGTTCGAGGAATAGGGTCAACCATTTCGATCCAAGGTCGAGTTCGATGCTGGTCCATAGTTCGCCGCATCCTCGAGCCACCTCTCTCCAGCGGCGACACACGTGCAGGACACAGACCCATCCAAGAGATGCCATTCTGTGATAATAGTCGCAATCAGGGCGATATACCTCTGAGAGGTGCGCAAAGATTTGTGACAAGACTTCGGCTGGTAATCGGCAGATAGGGATGAGGTTATTGAGTGAGGAGCGTATGAGGTTCGCGGCCTTCAGCGCTTCGTCCAGTTCGGCGAGAGTTGCACGATGCGCGGTAGCCAGAATAGCTGTACTGGGAGATGGGTGGTTGGTAACGGATACGAGCGGGGCAAGCCGGTTATTGATGTGCGCTTTCCATGCTTCTTCCGACCTGGAGAAAGGTTGAGCTCAATAGGACTGCATTAGAAAAAGATGGCGTACGTAGCCTCCAGCTGTTCGAGTTGCGCGTTCATGTGTCTCTTCGTATAGGATAGAGATCGAGATGGTGGTGGGGTATAGGATGGTATGTGGTCGTGGCGGAAGAAGACGAGATGCGTTGACGAGACGCGACTGGTCACTTGGGTCCCGGCGCGTCTGTGGTTGATTTAGGATCTAACCTTAACCTTAACGTCCCTCTGGTGGTTCAAGACTCTCACGGCCTTGCACTGAGTACTGAACAACGACCAGCACCATCTATGATGGGTACTTCTCTTGCAGCCTGCGACCCTCCCATATACGAGACTCCAGTTACAGTCTCCGGCAACGGCTCCGAGGCGTTCCGCCACAACTGCTGACCGTAGGGAGACCTGCTCGATCTCCTGTCAACGCAAGACTCGCGTCGCGTCCGACTCTTCCAGGCCTAGTTTGCTGCACTGACACACACCCAGAACTACGAGAACAACAGATAGGATATATATGCAATCCGCCAAAAGATGCAAGTACGATCAACTCAATCAAACAACGAAGGGGGTAGAAAGAAGAGCGAGATTGGAAAAGGAGGGTCGTGAGCGTTCGTGAGCGGGGTGTCGTAACGAGGGTACCGGTCTGAGGAGTCCATTGTGATATGTGCGAGAAGCTAAGATGCGATGTAGAAAGAGGTGAACAGAGAGGAGAAAGAGATGCTAGATGAGATCAATTCGGAATGCATTCTGTATGAGGAAGGGAAAGGTATAGCGAGAGCGCTCAGATCGCGAGCCACATCTTAACAGCCTCCACCCCCGCCTTAACAAACTGCGTCCCAACAACAACCGTATCCGCGCTCCCGTCAAACTCGTCGAACGCCTTTTCCTTCGGCGCAAAGTAGAAGCCCGCGACGAGCACGCAGTAGCTACACAATTCCATCAGTCTCATTGAAGTATGATGAAGGAATGGAGGGGAAACGTACCTGAGAACGAGAATGCTTCCACGATGGTAGTTCGACTTGGCCTCGATGTAGACGTAGGTGAGGAGGAAGACGGATAGGATGATCACTAGGACGTCCCAGCGCGGGAAGATCAACCTGTGTACCCCTCATGAGTTCTTGGCTCTCGAAGGTAGAATAAGAATACGCACGGGAAAGTATCGCTAATCCTCCCCATCTTCTCCGGCGCGTACCACGCGCTAAACGCCACCATCGCCGGGATCTGCAGCAAGCACACCTACACAGGCCAAGATCAGGACATGCAAACAACAAGACCCGAACTCGAACACGCCCACCTGCAGCGCATACGCGCTCCCAATCTCCATACTCAGCGCAATATTCCCATTCATCGCAAAGCTCATCGCATTCATAAACTCCGTCGTATTCGGGACGAGCGCAAAAAGGGTAATCCCCAAAAACTTCTGCTGCACCCCGCTCCCCTTCAGCACCACGTCCACAACGTCCACCAGCAGCTCCGCGATGATCGCGTACAGCGCCGTGCACCCCAGCAGCACCGACGCGGACGTCGTGCGCGACCAGCTCGGCGCGTCGTGCCCGCCGTGTCCGCCTTCGGGAGGGGCGGTCTCGGCGTCGTGCCGCGCGGCGGAGCGTTCGGCGGAGGTGTTGCCCGCTTGGCGGAGCGCGGAGACGGTCGCGACGGCGATCGCGCGCGTGAGATCGTCCGCGCTCATCGACTCGTTCGGTCTCAAGCCAACATCGTGCACCGCCTGGCCGACGCTCTCCACCAGCGCCGGGTGCGGCGCGAAGCTCGGCATCCGTCTCGGCCCTTGACTTTGACTTTGACTTTGACCTTGACTTTGACCTTGGGCGGTCGAGGTGGATGTGGACTGGTTGTGGGTGTGCCCGACGGAGACGTCTGTGCCGGCGAACGAGGGCTTGTGGCGGAGGTTGGAGTGCGGGGCGGAGGCGGTGTGTGTGGATGCGGGCACGATCTTGTGGTAGAGCGACATGCGGCCGTGTTCGGGGGGATGGAGGAGCTGCTGGGGGTTTTGCCAGATTTGCGAGGCGTGCGTGCGGAGGGAGAACCAGAGCGCTACGATGTAACTCTGTATGAACAGTCAGCATATATATCTGAGCTTGGGGATGAAGGGAAGCGACGTACGAAGAGAAGGATGGAGGCGCAGAAGTACGTCAACTTGATGACCGTTTGCTTGTAGAACGGGTCGTCGATGGGATCCGGGTGCTGGTACGAGCAGTGCTGGCAGACCCACGGCGCATTGTTGGGGGAGGTCGACGTCGGGCAGCCGGTACAGACCAACATGAACTGCAACACTCAATCAGCATTGCGCTCACGATGGAGAAGAGGGAGTTGAGCTCACGTTGCCATAGGTCTGGTAGAACAGCGTAGGCGTAAGAGTACCGATGATCGCCATGATCAACATCGTACTCGTAACACCCGCACTCTTCGCATTAAACTTCTGCTCCTTCTTCCTCATCGCTCCACTCAGCATACTCAGCCCGGGCATCAACAGCACGCCCGCCAAAATACTCCCAACAATGCTACCCTCCACGATCCCGCCTTTGCTGTCGCGCAGAGCGATGGCGTAGAGCAGGATCTCGATGATGGAACCGAACGTCGCGTTGATGACGGCGCCCATGCCGATGGAGGATTGGGCGGAGATGGACGCGACGGCCATACCGATGAAGTACGAGAGCGGAATGACGGAGAGGAGCGAGCATGTGAAGACGGCAGCCTGAGAGCCTAATGCGGCGAGAATGGCGGGAACATGTTTGCCGTGTTCTTCGCGGTGTTCGACCCATGGCATCAAGAAGAATCCATCGAGGATGACCAAGACCACGACCGGCAGGAGGTTGACGAACAAGATGTTCACGCCGCCGACGGTGTACTTGTAGAACTTGAGGCCCGCGGCACGGTAAATGCACAGCAGAACCTTCGTATTGCTCGGACTGGACGGCGCACGCGAGCCGGGCGTCAATCGGGGCTGCGAGACGCCGAGCGTCGATCCGGGTTCGGGCGCAACGGGCGTCTCCGAGCCTTCCTCGTCCACTTCCGGAATCGGCTGCGCGGCGGGCGTCTCCTGCGTCGGGCTCGTGACATTGACATTCTCCTCGGACGCGAAGAACTGCAATTCCGGTGGTGAACAGAAGCGAATATCGCGCGTGAAGAGGTGCTTGAGCAGCGCCCAGTTGAGTTTGGCCATGGGGATGGCGACGATGAGTGCCCAGCAGATGACGCAGACTATGAGCATGAGCGGCGCGATGAGGCATACGAGGAAGAGCCAGAATACTGCGCGGCCGAGCCAGATCTCCGCTGTTGATGGCTTGAGAAGTGTCTGGGTTGTCGTGCCGTAGGACTTGATAGGCGCCATACTGACACGGCCCGCGTTAAGCTTCTTCGCGAGCAAGCTCGTCGCCTCGGTTGTAGGGGTGGACCAGGAGGGCGTAGGACCATGGAAACCACGTGAGGGTTCGCCTCTGTGCGGGGATGCGCCGCGGACGGTGCCGTCGTCGGAAGAGACGTCGTGTGCGACACCGTTCTCGTTCGCGTGCGCGTCGTCGTCGTCGTCCTCATCTTCGTCGTCGTCTGTCGTCCCTTCGACGTATTTCCCGAACGGCCAACCGAGATACCATCCCAAGCCGAATACGAGTGTCGAATACTGTTTCCCGCCCTTTGGCACGAGATATAGCACCAGAGATACGGCGAAGCACACAAGCGCCAGCCACCACCCGAATATGACCGTCCACGCGATATTGACAGGCAACAAATGGCGCTCTGCCTGTGCGGATGGGCCCTCGTGCAAGACCTGGTCGGCGTAGCGCGTGACTGAGCGGGACTTCTTGTAGAGCGCCGGTTTCCAAATCGGGAGACCGAACGGGTGCTCGACGTTGATCAGACTCTGCCGCTGCTTGAGCGTGATCTCGTCCTCGACTTCCTCGTCGTCATCCTCCAGCTCCTCGTCCGGCAACTTCCCTCCGTTCCCACCGTCCTCCTCCTCGAGCTCCTCCTCCTCCTCCTCGGTCATCTCCCCCGCCGCCCGTCCGCTTCCCACACTCAAACTCCTATTCGGCCGTCCAGACGGTCGACGCAGCACCGCCGGCCGCCGAGGACTGGGTGACGTCGGGCGGTACGACGAGGAGGCGTACGAGGTCCCGGCGTTGTGATGTTCGGACCAGGACGCCTGGCTGACGGACCGGTTGAGCGGCACGCGCATGGGCGTGGTAGGCGAGTAGTTAGCGTCGCTGGCCATCGTCGACGACCCGCGGACGATGACGGTCGAATGAGAAGCGGCAACCACACCGTTGCCGCCGGCTGGTTCGTCCGCGGTGTCATCCCGCTTTGGCCTTTTGTTTCCACGCTCAGGGCCTCTTTCGAGCGCCCGCCGCCCGCAGTTGCCCGGTCCCCTTGCTTTCTGACGACCATCTCGCCCTGCTGCCCGGCCCAACCATGGGCGGAGGGTTTGTAGACTTGTTGTGATCTTGTATGTGCTTGTAGATCCATGTTACACTCTGACGTAGTGTGGCCAATTAATGGCGCATCAGGCGTGCTTGCCTCAAGGCTCTCGTTGATCGGGGCGCTGATCTCGGCACAATGGGATAGGTTTTGCTTACCTGTATGGCAGACGTAGCTGCACCTCGACTACGGGAACTCCTATATTATTGACCTTACATAAGCTAAGATGGTATGGATATTGGCACCGGGAGTGAACTTTCAACCGCTTCCATACGACTACCGACATGCCGAAAACAAATGGTGGCTCAAGAGCCCAGCAGCCAGGCCTATGCCTTCCGACCGATGCTAATCTAATATATATTTTAATGAGTACTTTCAAACAACAAAAGTCAATGCTCAAGTCGATCTTGAACGTGTGCGCATCTGTGCGCATCGTAAGAGATCCCCGAGCTGACAGCCCGAGGCAATAAGAATGAGTGGTCCGATCACGCAGATACACTCCGACGAGCGCATGTCATATTCAGTGGCATCTGGAGACCCAATGAAAGCGCGTGTAAACCTACTACGCGCCTGTATTGTACTTGCTCGACGATGTACGCGGGCGAAAGGCGGCGGCGCTAAGGTGCGGTGAATAATGCACCGGCCATTCTTAACGGGGTTAATTAACCGTAGGGTTACACTACAGGCAAGGCTCGATGATGGCGTGCAAAGCAGAAACAAAACAAGGTTATAAGATGGACAATGACTTACCGATGTCGCGGCCGAGAAAATGCTGAAATCACAAATTATTATTTTACCATGTATTTTACCCTGTTTTGAGCCCATACATTTTAATGCAATGAAGCAGTTCAGGATCAAAACATGTTGAGTTCAGCCGCTATGATCTCTCCATGATTTTATCATGTTTCGAGCCATTTCAGAGTGTAACGTCGGGAATGTTCGCAGTTACACTGGTTCGAACGTCGGGAACACGCGAACATCCCGGACCACCGGACTACGAACGTACCCGACATCTCAGACTTTCATGTACTTACGTCGGCTCTCACATGGGTTCTCAAGACCTTCGCTATCGGTGCTTTGGCTTTCTGTAAGGGCGTGCCATTCAAGTCGTCCAGTCGATAAGTACATAGTGCCTACTTGATACATATAAGCCGCTTACTACCCTGCTGCAGCCTCCTCAGCCAGAAGCTCCAATCTGTCCTGCTCTCTAACCCAAGCCCTATCTTCATCCACCTCCCAAACCTTGGAGAACCTTGCGTATTGAGCGTCCCATCCCTCACCTGCAGCCTCATCCATAAGCGCGCGCTCCTCGTCCGAGAGGTGTTTGGCAAGCCTCATATCGTACGCAATTGCGCGCATGAGGCCGCCTACACAGTACTGCGTGAACGATGAGCGCGTTTCGCCTGGCTGAATGCTCAGGTTTCCATGAGTCATTGCCGCAGAGGACAGCAGACATGAAGCTCCCGGTGGGAAGCGGACGTAGATCCCGAGGTCGGGAAGCGCCATATGCCCTCCTTTCTTAGGATCGAACTTGCCGAGCGCTGTCACACAGCACGGGCAGCTGGGGTAGTTCGTCTTGTCCCGATGCGCCTTGCAGACAGTGCATGGCCCGCAGTTCGCACATGCAGTGGGATAGACGGAGCGAGGGAAAGGTGGGCGCAGCCCGGTCTTCTCGTGCAGCGTCTTCAGCTGGCGCCGAACGTGACGGTGGGCTCGCGGCGCCCAGTATGCAAATATTTCTGACGAAGGCATGAGTGCAAATAAGGAGCAAGCAGTGCGGAAACAAACTCACCGCTTTGCCAAGTTGCGAGACGCTGGAGGTGCGGGCTGTCCTTGAGCTCTTGAATGTAGTCCTCGTTGCCCTCCGGAGCCTTAAGCTCGTGCGGTTGCTGTGCGTATTCGGTTGGTGAGAATGAACTTCGTAGCCAAAGTTCAAACGCGCCTGCCCCATACCGGACTGAAGGCCGAAGTTCAATGCGATGAACTTTCCACGCCGTCCCTCCTTCGCTTTAGGCGGGATCTTGAGGCCTTTTGCCTTACCAAACAGTGCGAATACCTCGTCGCACGCCTCCTGATATGAGACGGGGCCCCCATCCGAAGGGCCGCACTCGAGCTCATGCCCGTGAGCCTCACCCTGGCGCGGCGCGTCAAGCTTTGGCGGTGGAACAAAGGCAACGTTGATGACCTCGTTCTTGTCCAAGATAAGAAGAGGCTGTCTGTTGCAAAAAGTTAGCGCGAGGCACAAAAGTGGCTGGATTGAGAGCACTCACGTCGCATCCCATTCAACCTCCTCCAACCCCATTAGCTTTGCCCGCTCTTCGCTGACTGCACACCCGCGCCCCGAGTCATCGCCGTAGCCGCCCACGTACGCGCCATGCGAGGAGGATACCGAGAGCTCGACCTTGCTCTCATCCAAAGGGGCTATGCGAAATGGGCGGTCGCGTTCGTAGTATGAGCTCCGCGCCTTCGGAGACCAAGGCGCCACCTCAGGCCGAGAGCGCGCATCGCGGCGCTGCTCACAGCGGCGACGGTGTGAGCCCGACTGGACGCCTGGTGCTCGAGTCTTGCGAGCACGCAGAAGCTTCACATCAAGGTCGCCGTCCGCTTTTGCTAAGCGCAGGGCCTTCTTCTGTGCATGTTTCAGTTGCGGGTAGGGCACCTGTTTGAACCGAGCCTACCTTTGCGTTTTTGGACAGCTTGGGTGGCGGCTGACCCTCAACAGGGCTCGAGCTACGTCGGCGCTTGCCCAGGCTCGAGGCAGTAGCAATGGGGCAGCCTTGCTGTCCGGCCGGCTCGGAATGGGGCTGCTGTATCGCGGCAGATCCGCTCAAGTCGCCACGAGCGGACCTTCGACCGGGGTGGTTCGGTGCTGTAGTCGAAACCTCTGAGCGGTCCTCGAGAGCCGAAGCACTGGTCACGGAGTCGTCTGAGGTAGGGATGGCTTGTAGCCGCCGTGCAAGCTCCTCCGCGTCGGGGCATGAGTTCGTGCTGCCGCAGCCTGGAGAATCTGCACCCGACGCAGAAGACAGATCCGACGGTGTTCCGCAAGTGGACTCGACCTGATTCGTTAAAGAATCTAGCCGGATACGGGCTGAGGAAACGGCGTGCTGCATAGCACTCGAGAAGTCGAAGTCCGCGCGGTAGATCTGCGGGCGTTCGAGGGCGTCGCCACCAGCTACAGCGACGAGAGCTTGCCCAGTAGCGGACTTTTCTGTTGGGACAGCATGCGACTCTATGATACGTGAGGTTCGCATCAGCCTCCATGTTACCGCATTAAGATTGGGACTTACGAGGTGTTGAACGAGATGCAGACTTGTTATTGCTGTCAGCGTGAGGGCAGTGGTCAGAGCACATATGTTTAGACCTAGAGCAAACAAAATTGAAAGTCAGCTATAGAAGAATCAGGTATTGAGAGGCTACTAGACGCGTCAAAGTCCACACACTCGACAGGCCGCCGCGCTCGTATCACTATGGACGACGTTCCCGCCCCCCAGATGAAGGCTATAATAATCGCCATAGCACGGCGACGGCCAGTCGAGCATCCTGGCGTAGCGTCGAAACCAAAAAGGAGGGCGAGCTTACCCAGCGGGAGTGGTGGTTGGGGTTGAAAGCCAAGAGTTCGACGCGAGCGAACGCGCTGAGCCACATCGGGACACGGCAAAGTCCGGTTGATTGTGTACGGTTGTTGACGCGTTCGCCTTTGACGCGCGCGAGTCTCAGCGGTACGATCTTATCTCCTAACCACCATCTCGCCACCTCATTCTTGCGCACCCTCTCACCCACACGCGACTCATTCGTCCTGATCTTGAACGAGATCAGCACGCTCGAGAAGGATATGCTCGAGCTCAAAGAGTCGCTCGCCGAATGGAAGTCCGTGCCGGACGTGCACCACATCGACGACGGCGCCTCGGCCGCCGACCGCCGACCGCCGGCGCAACGTGCGCTCATCGCTCGCGGACCTGCGCGTGCTGTACGCCGGCCAGATGCAAGCGCTGTGCGCTCAGATTGAGGGGAGCGCCAAGTCCGTGCCGACGACACCGGGAAAGGATGGTCCGGCTACGGAGGGTGTAGATCAAGACGTCGGCGGTGGCCAAGGCCAAACAAAGGAGGCGTCGAAGAAGAAGAAGAGGGCGTAAAGCGGGTCCCGGGTCCTTAGTGTAGAATTCAACGCTTCTGAACTCCGTACCTTCATATATGTTGCATGGGAACACGACGTTTACAATGATAATGTTCAGCTTATCGAGGACTGTAAGGTTTCGGGCGATGTGTACAGATGAAAGCGAATATATTTCGCAAAGGTACGATAAGGCTTACAAACTAAACTACAGGCATGTCGGACATGTATGAGGATTCAGTACAGTAAAGGTCGGTAAGGCTGCGACCCTTCCTGTATACGGCTTGCCATGGGAAAGACCACCCTTATCGGCCAAACGCGGTCAAGGGCATCTGTACCGCCTGTGTCAACCTTTTCAGCCTTCACAAGGCTCGAGAAGGATGCCGACTTCGGCGCGATGAAAAGACGAAGACGAAGCGAGCCGCCTAGTCGACCTCCTCGACCGACGGGCCGTCTTCGGGCGCGCCGCCTGGTGCGCCACCAGGGAAGCCGCCCGGTGCGCCGCCGAGGAAGCCGCCGGGTGCACCGCCCGCCGCGCCGTACAGCTTCTGCATGATGGGGTTGGCGATGCTCTCCAGCTCCTTCCGCCTCTCCTCGTACTCTTCCTTCGAGGCCGCCTGCGACGCATCAAGCCGCGAGATCGCGTCAGTGATGGCGGGGTCGAGCTTGGACTTGTCCGCGGGGTCGAACTTGTCGGCCAGCTTCTCGTCCTGGAGCGAGTTGCGGAGGTTGTAGGCGTACGACTCGAGGCCGTTCTTAGCGGTGATGCGGGCGGCGGCGGCCTCGTCCTCGGCCTTGTACTTCTCGGCGTCGTTGAC